AGGGAGGGCCCAAAAATAGGATTTTTGATTGGTTGGAACGGCCGGGCGGGGTGAGCACGAGAAATCTTAGGGTCGGGGTGGTGGTTAAAAATACATTTTCGAGGTTGGATAGCCTGGGGCGAGGAGGCTGGTGGTGGGTTGGTGGCAGTAGTGCAAGGAGGACGTCATTGTGCAATTTGCGCTTGGGTGGTGGGGAATAGAGATTGAGAGGAGGGTGAGGGGGGGGGGAGAAGTAGAACGAGTAAGGAAAGGAGGAGGAGATGGGCCACTCGATCCAGAAGCGTTCGCTGTTTATGGGGTTGGGGGGCAGAGTCATGGTTTTTGGGTCCTGACATCTTGAATTGTTAGATACCTTTGAATTTATGATTTACAGGGGAAGGTTTTTACCAGATAATGTCTAGTTTACGCATTAATGGTTTTACTATACCCCCGTCCAGCCTTGTTGCCTCTGAGCATCCGGCAAGATGAGCCGCCCGATGCCCCGGATTGGATATGTGACCCATCTCTTCCCCCCCTAGCCTCCCTCCACTACTTGCAAAAGTCGTACAGCTTCTCCCCCTTCCGGATTTGTGGTGGTTGATGATTGGAGGAAAAACGGGGCAATGTGAGCCGCACTCGGCTTGTTAGAATGACCTTCGTCCAGACCAGACCGCCAAAACAGCCGTCCGAATCCACGGATGAGTACTTTTGCCCTCAGTTACATTTAAAGCGAACGTTCAGGCGTCTATTTACGCTACATATACACCTATTTACGCCGAAATGTCAAGAAGTACGGGAGTTACACCGAACGGTATCTGGGTACGGTTGAACTCCCTGAACTTGCGCTTATAGTCAGAAAGGCAAAAGCGGTGAAATTTTGGTTCAAGATTTTTGCAAATTTCGGGGCTTCTTACTCCTTAAAGGTACACTAAAGTCTCGTTGGTCTGGTTACCGGCCGGTAACCGTCCGCAGGATAGCAAAGAGGGTTACGGTAGGCGCTCGCCGCAGAGCAAAACCGAAACCTGACTGCCAGCCTGGGGCAGCGCCTTAGACCACTAGGCCAAGGGAGAGACGGGAAGGGGGAAGGGGAGAGACGGTAAGAAGGGTCTGGGTCGGCTGCGGCAGCGAGCCCAAATTACCTGCCTCGAGCGAATTTTTTGAACGAGATTTTAGTGTACCTTTAAAGGTCAATTTGGGATGTTTTATCTATTGGTGCCACTCGTCTTCCCAGACTATTTTGACCAGAAACTCCTCCCCCATCTGGCCAATCCAACCAACCATCCATCTTGACACACACCTGCCATTCTACTAGCCAGCGAGAACGCGGAAGCCGCAGCCCTTTTTGACAAAAGAAAATCGGAAACCGCGCAAAAAGCCGAGCAGCAGCATGTCCCCTGGGGCCATCTCAGTTCTCTAGAAGAAGCGGAAGAGGAGAGGAGGTCTAGAGACGTTGAAGTCATGGCACTTCACACCCTCGATCTGCCCTCAACTTCCCTTCCAACACAAGTCCATTAGGGGCCCTTCCCCTTCACCCCCGTTCCATCCTTTTCCTTCCTTCGAACAGCTTGCCCTTTCCTTCGTCATCCACCTATTTTAGAATGCTCTGCCCAATCGACCGTGAAATTTGAGGCCCAAATGGTTGTTTACCATCTTCTACCTTTTTTTGGAACCCTTCCCATACCTTTCTACATTTTTAAAAGAAATCCCTAACAAAAGATATTCATTCTGTGACCCCTTCGTGCCCATCACCCCCCATAAGATGAAGCAGCCACCCACGTCAAAAACAAAGCCCGAACGGCCAGCCCGGAAAACATGCCATTTCTAGGGGGGGCATTCCCGTGCGGCCTTTATACGTCAAAATAATTCTAAATTTTTTGTAAAATCTTTCCTTTCGAAAGCTTGTGCTCCCCGACTATTTTTCGATATCCCACTTCAGGCCAAATCCTTATACATTTTTCTAAAAGATTTCCTTCCAAAAGCTCGTGCTCCTCGATTATTTCTCCACTTCCTACTTGACGACAAGCAGCTAAACAGCCAAAACCACGTGCGTGTTCCTCGGATGGCTTTTCTCAAATTTCGGCGTTGCAACCGGGTGCTCGGCTTTTTTGCGATATTGGAAATTCTAGTGGGAGACGGGGTGGAGCAAACCCCCCCTCCTCGGCATCGGCTCCAGTTTCACGCTTTGCTTTTGAACTTTGCTGGAATTTTTTGGGGGGTGTCGTGTGCAGGAAGTTGACGTCAGTTTTTAAGGTTTTCTGTGTATTGCTTTGTCTACCTTTATATAATCGTAAATTACATCTTGCAAGGCCTTTCCTGACGCGGGAATTTCCCTGCTCAATTCAAATTAATTTTGACCATTTCGTATTTTTGAAATTTAATTTGGGAAACTTTTACATTTTGACAATCTCGCTTACTTTAAAACCCCTTGAAGCCATCGCTATAATTCCCACACATTATTTTTGCTAGCCAGACTAGATTCTGTATTTTGAGCCCCACCCAGTGTTGATTCGCTGCACCCGGGGGGTTGTCGCGGCTCAGTTGCTGAACAACTGGCTTGGCTGACAGATGGTGTTCTCGAAATAATCAAAAAGGGAGCACGAGGCCGTCTCGAGGACAGTTGTCGTCGTGTCCGATCAAATACCCCCCTGGTTTCTTGTCGCTTTCCGGTCTTCTTTTTGCATGCCGCCTCGGGTGGCCGTGCAGACGCACTCGTTGGCTTCCCATAAACCGTAATTTCTATCTATTAAAATGTTAGTTTGCTAACCCCTTTAAAAACGCCTTTTCAGTGCTAGCTTTGATAGCTGAGCATGGGCTTATTCTTTGTCTTAAAGGGACGTCTAAGCCTAAACCCATGCCTATACTGAGCCTAAGCCCAAAGCTAAGCCTAAGCCTAAGCCTAAGCCTTAGCCCGACCGTAAGCCTAAGCCCAAGCCTAAGTCTAAGCCTATGAGTAAGCCTACCGTAAGACTAAGCCTATGCGAAGCCCAAGCCTTAGCCTAAATCTGCTCCTAAGTCTTAACTTAATCCTAAGCCGCCGTAAAGCTTTTGGCGTACAGCTTTTCCATTAATTACAATTATAAAATCTACCTATATTTCATTTCTGCCTGCCCCGTTTCAAGGGATCAGTGAGCGCAACGGCCGGGTTGAAATTCGAGACCCCGCAGGTTGGGTGAGGTGGCCACCCCTCCCCCGAAAAAGAGCACCTAAAAGGTGGCCCCCAAACCCAAACAAATCGACGGAAACGATGCGCGAGTCAGGGGGAAACGTGGAGAAAAGAAGAAGCCAACGTGGAAAGCTTCTTCTTGGTTGACCCGTTCTCTTCATCGTTGAGTTGGCCCGGTCAATGTATTCTTTTGTTTTCTTCCGTTTTTCACTCTCGTTTCAAGTTAAGGGCCCCTCCTTCTCCCCTACACCCTCAACTCACCGATCATCGCAATGCCACCTGACTAGCCCTCTTTCTCACCCCTATTTTTAGCGCACAAATAACCAATCAGCTGCTCGGTTCGAGGTCGTTTATCATTTTTATGTTGTCAAACAGGGAGAAGCTTCTGGGAAAGAAATTATGAAATTAGGAAAGCAACGGAAAGTCTAAATTGCAGCTAAATTCGCGGTGCTATTTTTCGTACAATTACAAAAAGTTGTGCAAAGTTTGTTTCGAAGTTTTTTTGGAGTTTTATATTATTAAAAACGAGCACTGTTAGAAAAGGTCTGGTTTAATTATATTGATTTTCGCCTTCCATTTTGCAATTATATTGTTTTTGCCTTAATGCATTTTTTAACGATTTTGGTTACGAAAATTGTAAATCCAGTTCTAACTTCTTTGCATTTTCATATTACAGCCAAATTTTATAGATACTGGTACATGTCGGAAATAAAATTATACTTTTTTGCATTGCATGTCGCCTGGGTTACTGTAGATGTGCCAATTTAAAATACGCGTTTGCAATTTTCACCGTTATTCGTACTCCCTCGTACCGTCGTCTTCACGTTACTGCCCCGAGTCGAACCCCCTCAATTTTCACACAATATTTTTAAACGAAAAACATGTGTGAATAGGTGGTGGTGATGGCTAGCAGGGGAGGAGGAGCGAAGCGGGGGTCTGGCTTGGAAAAATAGGGACAAATATTTGCGATGACCCTAGCCCCGCCTCAACCCTTTTTCCAAAAAGCAAGAACGAGCCCTAGTTCGGCCCCTCCCTAAAAAAGGCATCGGGAGGGGGAGAGACTGCTAGTGATACTTTTCTGTTGACCGCACCATTCCTATTGCTCAAAATATTGGGGGGGGTTATTGATGGGTTGAATACTGTAAATTTACGATATTTTTGGATAATTTAAAGGGATTTGATAGATGAATGCAAAAAAACTTCAGAGAATTTAAATTTGTCGAAAATCACTTTGTCGAAATTAAAATATGTCGACAATCGAACACCCGAATTTTGGACTTTTCAAAATGCTAAATATCCATTATTTCAATTCGAACCTCTCAATAAAATTATTATGATCCCCATTTTCAATTGCCATCCGACAAAAATAGCGGCCACCCCGGCAGCCGCTGCATTTTGCTAGTGCGATACCGGTTTTTTTCTGGGGGTAGGGTGCCTGACTAGGATGCAAATTAGGGCCGACCTGGCAGGCCACTGTTTCGACCGATCATACAGCTCTCACGTGTCGGCGCGTCAACATGCTCGTACTCTCGCACCCACATCATATTATGCTCAGCTCGCTTGGATTTTGGTTTTTGGAATTTTAAGTGCATTGGATTGACTCCAATAGTTGTTGCCGTACTTTAGGTCTAGGTTTTTGCTCCTCACCTAGCGTTAGCTAAAATAAATGATTTATTAAAGGGTTCCGCGATTCTCGGAAGTGATTTCCATTTACTATTTCAAGATACCGTCTTCTTCATCACACCCCGATATATTCAAATTTTTTCTATAAAACTATCCAATAAAAAGTAATTTCAGGGATATCCCGATCGCACGTGCATTCTCCCGCTCCCTTTCCTACCGTTCATTGCCACCGGCGATGGTAATGCGACGGAAGTCGGTACAATATGGTGATCTCGATCTCGACCGCATCATTCGCACCCTTACACAGGTACGGTAGTAAATCCAATAATAATAGTAATCCATATGGTATCTAAAAAAACCATTCTTCGGGGTGGTAACCCGGTCTCACAAACCCCAATCAATTCCTACCATTTATGGTCAGTGACAACAATTTGGCGCCAAATATCTCAAGGAATCCCCCCTGGCTCCCGACTTTGAGAAATAGGTTTTGGAAAACAGAAAGCAAACAGAGGGAGTGAGGGGGATCCGGGACGCGGGGCGTGAAGGCTCAAAATGAGTGGCCCACCACTCCACGTCGACGTCAATCCCATTCTCTCCCTCCTTACAGAAAGCTCATTTTTCGATCACCCGCCTCTTGCGCGTTCGGTCGGGTTGAATGGGAACGAGTCAAGCATCAGGGGCAAAGGACAAAAAAATTAAGGGATGGGCAAGGCATCACTATCGATTTTTCTGGGCATATAATCCTTGCAAGTCCCTTTAAAAAGTTGCGACCTTCTCAACCTCCCCTCAATGGTCAGCAAATACCCTCTTCCGGTTCAAAACTCTATTCAAACCCACCCCCTCACGCCCAAAAAGCCAAGGTCAAGCACCCAACTAATTTGGCCCGCCACGCTCGCGAGTCTGAAACTAGGTTTGAAATGTTGAGGGCAGACCATAGAAAATGGTTTAAAATTTAAAAACAAAATTATTTTTAGGTGAAACCATGGCAAAAATCTCTCGACATCTCGGAGAGCGATATCCGGATGGTGTGCGTGTTGGCGCGGCAAATCTTTCTGCATCAACCGATGTTGCTCGAGCTGGAGCCGCCCTTGAAAATTGCGGGTACTGTGGCTTAGGATTGAATTGTTTATTAATGCATGCTCAAAACTCTTCAAAACTCCTTTAAGCCACCAACTTTCAGGCGATATCCATGGTCAATTCTCCGATCTCCTCCGCCTATTCAACCTTTCCGGATTCCCCCCAGAATCAAATTACCTATTCCTTGGCGACTATGTCGACCGAGGACCCAAAAGTATCGAGGTGAGCATTATAAAACCAGATCACCCCAATTTTATTAGGGAATTTTTGTATATCTTTCTATTACAGACAATCCTCCTCCTCCTCTGCTACAAAATCAAATACCCCAATAACTTCTTCCTACTCCGCGGCAACCACGAAGTCGCAAATCTCAATCGAATCTACGGGTTTTACGACGAATGTAAGTTATGCTTCATCAAGTATATTCACTGAGAGAAGCTGCATTTTTGCGAAACCCTGGAAATAATTCGTTTTAGGCAAGCGTCGCTACAGTGTGAAGCTTTGGAAAACGTTCCAGGATGTATTCAATTGTATGCCGGTGGCTGCTTTAATTGACAATAAGGTAATTGGATTCTTTCAGCATAGTCAAAAAAATAAATTCAGATTTTCTGCTGCCACGGAGGTTTGAGCCCGAATTTGCGCAGTTTGGATCAGTTGAAGCGGGTGGCACGGCCGTGCGATATTCAGGAAACTGGTGAGGGATTGCTATATAATAGCTCTTAATATTGATTATATTTCTTTATGTATTTTAATATATATTTTAGGGTTACTATGCGACATTCTCTGGTCAGACCCGGATAATTCGGTTGTCGGCTGGGCTCCAAATGAGCGAGGAGTATCCTACGTTTTTGGTGCCGATGTTTTAACCCAGTTTCTACAAAAGATGGATCTGGATATTGTGGTCAGAGGCCATCAAGTAAACTTTGTTTTATAAAAATTAATTTATATCTTTTTTAGGTTGTCGAAGACGGGTACGAATTCTTTGGTCGTCGCGGCCTTGTCACAATCTTTTCTGCCCCGAACTATTGCGGAGAATTTGACAACGCTGGAGCTGTGATGAACGTTGATGAAAACCTGCTTTGTTCCTTCCAGGTAAATATTTTAGAAATATAGCTATCAAACCAGCCAAATTCGCAGCTTTCCCCTCTAAAAACTGCTCCCAAAATACCGTACACCCATTACCTATCCAGCCAGTCCCACCAGTCCGCATCATCCGCTCCCTGCGGCTATTCTGGTAGAGTAACGCCAAAAATTCTTCTTTTTGCTTGAAAACGCCCATATAAAGCTTCACCTATTTATAAGTTTCGCATTTCTAACAAATTTCATCGTTTCTATATCAATAAAAGCTCAACATCGCAGCTAATCAGCATATTTTCGAACAAATCAAAAAATAATCGAATTTTTTTCAGATTTTGAAACCGATGGAGCATCCCCTACAAAAAACGACAGCCATCGGCGGGCTTGTCAACCTCGTCAATATCAAGCTGGCTTCAGAAAATGGCACCAAGACACCAAAGCGATATCGTCGCGGAATGCTCTAGATTTGTTCCATCAATTTCGCGGCTATATTACACACCCCTGTACGTATTCTGCCCTGAATAAGGGGAAATTTCGGGTTTGGGAATATTATTTTCAAAAGCCTCTAAAATTTCCCCTTCTTTCTCTCCAAACATATCACCCTCTCCCGCTTAATGGCTAGTGTTAAAAGCTAATAAAAAGAATACAGATTTTTTTTGTCGTCGAATATTTTGTTGTACTCAGGTGCGCTCATCGATTTCGTGGCTCTTCTATTTTTTACTACCAATATATTCTAAACTTTTCGAATGCACTCCCCCGTTGAATTCACGTGTTCCCGTTTTCCACCATGATACCCTGTGAAATGTATCGTTTTTTTGAACTCCGAGTACTTGTTTTCTACCAACCGCCTTCGAGCCGGGCGGTTCGTCTACGGGCCCCTTTCAATAAAGCGGTATCTTAAAGTTGCATAACCAAAGAGATAAACACAATATAATCAACAAGTTAAACAATAAAATAAACAGGATAATAAAACAAAAACAGAGTTGGTCACTTAAATTGAAGCCAATTAGATTGGGCTGACCAAAATCCTGCCTCGTTTATACCTACAATATACAACATACTTACATACTACAGGGTGAGGCATATATATGGCAACACTTTCCCGGGTCTCTCAAAAAATGAAGAAAGCTGGCTGGGCTTCAATGATTTGCCGAAGTATAGCCACCAGTGTCCTGTAACCACTCTTAAAATATTAGAACGCAGCAACCCTACAAATTTTTGTTCTGAAGCAAAAACTGTGCGTCGTAAGGGTGGCGGTGGCACGGAACCCCTTGGAAGCCAATTTCAGCATGGTTCAGAAACGTCCTTTTGGGCACGAATGGCCCCAAAAAACATGTGTACCACCTAGTAGTGACAGATAAAGATAATTAAAACAATTCATTGCCTTTAAGTAGGCAGAAATTTTCGAATTGTTCTCGGCTAGCCCCAAAAATCATAGTAAAAAAAGTAAAATTGCCTTTTTTTGATCTTTAATTGTGGAATTGCTTGGTTTCAACATCTGGAATTGGTTCAATCCGATGCCTACAATGTAAACAATTGCTTAGATAAAACAATACGATTGGCAGTTAATTTTTAGTGGTCAACATAAGGGTGGTGAGGGGTGGGTAAGCGGGCGTTTTTTGAATATAGCAAAATTCCCTCGCCAGTTCCCGACTAAAAGAATTTTGGTAAAAATAAATACGATCAAACTAAACTTAATTACAAAACCATGGAGCAGGGCTACCAATTTCCGGGGTTCTAGGAGCAGCGTGCCAACACACTGCTTTTTCGACAAAATCGCTAAACTTCCCGCTACTATAAATCAAAAATTAAAAATTTTGCAACCGTTTCCATTTGTCTCCTGCAGAAAGAAACGCTAGTTCTTTTATGGGAAACATCCAATCCCCCGAATTAATTTTCCGATAGCAGGCAAATTAGCATGGTCTGGGGGTGTTGCCATATATATGCCTCACCCTGTAAAACATACATACTATATTATACAAAATCCTGCTTCACTTACGGTGTATTCTAATTTAAAATGCAAATCGAAGACTCCATATTTTCACAAAGCACCAATGAAAAGAAAGCGTAAGCCTAAACCTAATCCAAAGCATAAATCACTTTTGACAATGTTCATATTGACCAAAAATTAATTCAGTTAAATCCCACAGTTTCTAAATATAAAAATAATGCTTTATTGAATATTAAGCAGCCAAGGATATATTATTGGGCTTTATAAACCGAACACATCCATGAGCGACATTTTACTCACCAAAAATGATATATTCGTTGCTGATTTTCTGCTCGGTTTTATTTCTTCTGGGGACGTCCGTAGCCGATACTATTGGAACTTACCCTCCACGTAAGATCAGAAGTGCCTACGCTTTCTTGGAGTGGAAACAACGGCAACCTTCAAACAAACTTAACTTTCCAGTGGAAACTGTCAAAACAGCCCGTGGTCCCTTCGTGAAAATGATGTACGACTTTGAGCGTGGTGATACGCTGCGCTTGATCTGCATCTTTCGCGGAAATTTGCTAGGAAAATTTGTTCATTTCTAAAAACTGGATTCTAGCATGCAACTTGCGATGGCGAATCTACCATATGAGATTCCTCACATAGCCAATATTCCTCTTTGGATTAGTGTTGATCTGTCGACAAAAAAGCTGGAATTTGAGCGTAAACGAAAAGTATGCAGCTGAGAATCCTAAAACCTTTGGAATTTAGGGAGTTTTGGAGAGCCTCGGATTTGTTCGTTTTGATCCAGCACGTTTATTATACTTGCCACGATACCAAGCCCATGGAATACATTTTGTTTTGAGGTATAAGGCTTTTTTATCATTTCGATGCTTTTGTTGTAGTTATCTTGAATCCGGACAGATAAAGCTAACGGAAGAACGATCTGGTGTGGATTTCACATTACCATATCCAGGAGTTTTCGATTTTGTTTACGTAACGTTTTGATTGCCTGGATTTTAATAAGTTTCAGATGTTATATGATGGAGTAATGTATTACGATCACCTTAAGAAGAAACGCGGATCAAAGCCGGTTCCACCTTTAAAAAGCAAGCAAAATACCTGGTTTTAAGGCTCCTCATTACTACACCTTACGCTCACGTATCGATCGGATGCCGAGGTTTCGCGACGATGATGGAGAAAAGGCATTCAGGGAGATGTACCCAGGCTTCCGGTGTATGTTCGGAAGCAATCTCTTCCAAAAATTCCTCTAGATGAAATAGTGCCGCATTTCTACTTGGACGCTACAAACCTTCAACTAGGGCTTTATGATCATATCGCGATTTGTGTTTGGGGGGCCGCACCACCAAAACATGAAAAGGCGTGAGTCTAGAGACCGTCTTTGGCCATTTCGACTTGAATTTTGAACAGAGATTGGAATGGGCGTTTAAAATGCTCACAAAATGTTGCAGACCACTAACTAAAATAGTTTTGGCGGTATTGTTAAAATCATTTGAATTTTACCATTTGAACAAGGATTTCACCACTATCGGGCTTGGCAGCAAGTAAGGTGAAATTCCCAAAAACCCAAGAATAAAGCCCAAAAATGCATCTGGAAAATTGTTTAGGGAGTTTTGCGTTAACTTGAGAAATACAGTTTGGTTCTGGCTGAATCACGTAGATCTTAAAAATACCCTTCCACAATTCTGCCCAAAGTTCCAAATAGATTTGACCTAAAAATTCAGACTCACAATTGCCCTCAACGAGTTCCCATACAATGCAAATGTCGATTGGGATCTACCAGTATTGCTGACCTTGGGTGATCGAAGGCTTTATTTACAGCATGCCGTTAACGTAAATGAAAGAATATATACTCTACTTACAAAACAACATTAAGGGCTATACTAAAGTCTACACGTCAGTGCCGATCAAGAATCCTGAATACTTCTGTGTGGCTGTGACGTGAGAACATCGTTAGAATTGACCTTAGAATGATGAAAACTTCAGGTTTTTCTCGAAAGATTACCGTTTGCACTACAAGATTTGGAGCGATGATTTGGATGTAATTTGATACGCTTTTGAACGTTTACGATTTGTAGGTTCAATTCGCGACTGCTCTTCCGAGCTACGCCACTATGCCCTCACACTTATCGGTCTAGTCATATTAATTCAATAAATATATGGCAATTGTAGGTACGAGGGAGATTTGAGGGGGCGAGAGCTACTAACTTCTCTGTGAAGTTCATTCATCATGTGCCGGTATGTCTTAATTAGCATAATTTAATGCAAAATAGAATAGTTGGAATAAGGAACAACTTAAGAAAAATGTATCACCGGCAGAGATCGAAATAGTGGTGCACTTATTACCACTTAGTTATTCTATGATGGTGTGCGCCCGAACAGATGGCATCCACGAACTACCACCTACACCTACCCGCCGGAAATGAAAGCTGAACTAGAGTATATCTAGCGAATTACATTATAATTATCGGATGCCGTTTAGGCCAATTGTCCTCGAATACGACAAAAAAAGGGAGCTACGATCGAACGGATGGAAACCACTTCGGAAAATCAAGTCGGCGATTGATGGCGTTGACGAGGACGTCTATGAAAAGATTGATCCCTCTGATTACGATCAATACTAGATTTAAATTTAAATAAATGTTGTGCTGATTTTGTATACTACGTTACTCGAGGAGCTTGAGATATGAAACTCGCAGAAAAAGGTAAAAATTTTGTCTCTATCTATATTTTATCTATTATTGTTGGCATTTCATTGCCGGTGGCTACATCGGAGCCGGAACCCAGAAGGTATCGAAAAATTTTGGATATTTACCCAGCCGGCCGCCATCCACCAACGCCCCGAGGCGTCAATCCGCTCCCATCCCGGCAGATTCACGCTCTAAACATGCAATTCCGGCTTTTGATTTGCTTTTCATTAATTGAAACGACCCTTGGAATTGCTACAACTGATGGATGTATTAATGTTTGTGAGTTAAGAGCATAGATTTGAATCTCAGCTGTTTTCAGACCCTCCGCAACCAGCCGGTTGCCAAGATGCAATAAATCCGCGAACAGGCGTGTCCGATTGCTCCGCCAGGAAGTTTGTATACGGCGAAAATTCAATAAACCATCAAATAAAATAGAAATCTCTGCAACGACCCGATGTATTATACGGTAATGACGAAGAATTGTCCAAGAACTTGTAATCGATGTACCATATCCAGTAGGTGTTTAGAGGGATTGAGAAAACAAAATTTTTGGAATTGAAATCTAATCACCTATTATTTTTTTCAGCTTGTTTTGATCAAATTAATCCACGAACTAGACAAAGCGAATGTGGCTCAAAAGTTGCCATGTGTAAGCAAGCCGGATATCAGGTATTTCGCCCCAAATGTCGGCTACACTTTGCTTTACCCCCAGTCGGAGGTTTTTGGTTATAACTTTTTTATTTTACCATATTGCAGGCACAAATTAAAAATCTTCGTATATTTTTCGACGCTCTATCGAATGGCCTTGCAAAAAACCCGACAAAATAAGCGAAAATACTGAAAACTTTGAGACCCTTCGGCTGTGGGGGGAGGGTAAAGTAAAGTCTTACCCAAACATCTTACAGTGTAGAATTCTATTTCAGAAATTAATGCGTGAGCAATGTCCGGTGACGTGTGGATACTGTAAACGGCCTCCAACCTCACAGCTTGCACGCCAAGCTCCTTTAGTCAAGACGCAAGCAGGTAGCGCGGGATTTATTGGAGTTAATTCATTTAAATAATACATAATAGCATCGTCGTTAAGACTGATTTTTCATTCCAGTATGCCAAGACCTGATGGGCGAATGCCGATTCCGGGCAGCATGTGGTTATTGCATCACTTATCGTGACATGATGTACATATTTTGCGGCAAGAGTTGCGGATTCTGTATTTAAGGCTAATTCTTGCTATAGTGTATGTACATAGATTTGCATTTGCTTTGTACTCGTTGTGCCGCCAAATAAATGCATTGAGTTGCCTAATACTGCATTATTTAATTCATTTGCACATTCCTTTTTTAAATACGAGGGTATCCGAAATTCTAGAGCCCTTAGGGAAAAAAGAAAAAGAAAGAAGAAAAACCCTAAAAGCCCTAAAAGCATATTACGGAAGAGGGAACCACTACCCCAAAATTATTCGAAAGATGGTGGAGAGCTAAGGTCCGTGATAAGCATCGATCGAGAAGGCGACGCATATATGTGCATAGCTATATTTTCCATATAGGCTTCGCGCAAAATATTCGCCCTCATAAATAAGTAGGGTAAAATGTTAAAAGGCCGTTCGCGAGGGGCACGACCACTGCTTGGCACCGTTTTTTTCGAAGGCAAAACACCCATCCTGGTCAACATCGCTTTCAGGATTATACACGAGCAGCCGTACTGTGTGAATTTAATGTTGACGTGGATCAAGCCGGAATGGTGACTCCGCTCTTTTTTGTTTATTCAAATTAGTGCAATTACCAAGAAATGTTTTTTAGACAGACGCGCTAGACGGAAGCCGTAAATTTCATTGGCCTACTTGGTTCGGGATGTTGGGCCCGTGGTCGATTCTGGAGTCTACTTTTGGGTGTGGCGAAAATGGCATGAATTCCTTGATTTTTAGAACCATAATCGTCTGCTCACTCCGGATACACGACAAGCTGAAGCGGTGCACGATGAGCGAAAAGTCGAGGCGCCTTCGAATCGAGCTATTCCGGGCGCTAATAGCTCAAGTAATTGCTTCTAGCAATAAGGCAATCGAAAGCTAACCATTGATGAACGCAAAAAGGACCGAATTACGAAACCAAATACTTCAGACAATCATCCCAACGATTTTCGAATACGCTCCCTGCATCGTGTGCCTCGCCTCCGCCATGTTCGGCATCCCGTTCGGGATTACTATTATTCATTATACACCGAAATTACTATTAAATTTATATATAGCAATACCTACTCCTTACTGTATAATTCGACTTGTTATTAGGAAAATCAAAAAGCACTTTATAAAACTTACGCAGCCTTGATTCGATCCTTCACATTTCTTGGCCGGTCCGCCGTGGGCAGCTTCTCGTAGAGTGCTACGAACTCGATGATCCCATCAAAAAAGTAATACGTACTGTTTATCAATTGTTCATTACTCAGCAAATCGGCCTCGGTGAGCTGCGGGGCGAGCACCTGGAACCACGGCTGTTCGACGCTCATGTCGGGCAACTAAATGAGAACGTGACTTAAAAATCCGACTCTAAAAATTACCGGATGCTTTGCCCAGATACAGACAGCGTACACGACGATGGCAGCGATCTCGGCTGCCGTGTAGCGGATCGACCAATCCGTATATGCAAGTCTAAATTAAATCTCAAGCGATATAACGGTAAAACTTACACATCAGAGGCGAAGAAATAGGCCGCTTCCCGGATGTAGCCTACAAAACGGCTTTTAAAAGGCAAAAAAACCGTCGTTACCGGCATCCAGCGCCTCCATCTGTTTTAAGACGTGTGGATGCGGCAGGTCGAGCATCAGATCGAATCCTAAAACATGTGGTAATCACTAACCACAAGAAATACCGATCGTCTGTAGCAGCATCGTTTCAAAAAAAGACATTCGACCAACGGCCGCATCGTAAAGCTGAAAAATAACATTTTGCTTATTTTCAGCTACTTCACCTTGTCCGGGATCTTCGACACACCGAAACGCAACGGCCACGAAGCGACGAGAATCGAGCGTGGGCTGCGCGGGCAATCGTCCGATTTTGCCGTGAGAAAAACGGCGGCCAAGCAGACGTCCTTAATTTGAGGAATTCCTAGAGTAATGATAGTTGTTACCCGAAGGTCGATATTGCGGAACGAGTGCACGTAGAAGAAGCGATTGGCGTGGACAATAGCTGAGCAGATCGACATCGTACGACTAAATAACGATGAAAAACAGGTAAAAAGAACTAACAACTGGAATTGCCTTTCGACATTCGCGTTGAGCCGATCGGCGATCCCATTGATGAAGCGACCGATTTTCTGGCGGAGAGTAAGCTCCTGCTCGTAGGTCATGTGCTTGCGGGAGGCCGACTAAAACGGATAAGCAAATAGAATTATAGGCAAACGAAGACGCTTACAAATTTCATAAGCTCTTCTTGCGTGTGAAGCCAGCGATCCCTGGGGGCGGAAGCGATCTCGGTCACAGCCATCGCTGCTAAAAAATACGAAGCTTACAATGAGACGTTTTCAGAGAGAATCGAGTTTCCGTACGGGATGAAGCCTATTTTGTTGAATTTTGCGTTAATTTCGAGCCTGTTTTCAAAATCTGCGAAACAATCAGGTAGAAAATATTATAGAGCTTTTTAGGGACGAAAAGGGAAAAAGAAACCCCGAACTTAGTTGATCCTAAACAAAAAATGAAGTGAAGCGTAATGTTCAGAACAACTCCTGGAAGCAAAGGAAGGAAGGAAAGCAAGGAAGCAAAGCAACTCAGCTCTTCTTTATAAATAAAAAACATAGAAGAACTTTTTAATGGCTAAAATACCCTTTGGAAACAAAGTTAGATCCCTTCTTTGAGGTTAAAAAAACATCTAAGAATCGAGTAATGGCTAGAATACCCTTTGGAAACAAAGTTAGATCCCTTCGTTGAGGCTAAAAAACATCTAAGAATCACGTAATGGCTAGAATACCCTTTAAAACAAAGTTAAATTCCTTCTTTAATACGAAAAAAAACTTCTAAGAATCTAGACATGGCTAGAATACCCTTGGAAGCACAGTTCTAAACCTTCTTTGAGGCTAAAAAAAACATCTAAGAATCGCGTAATGGCTAAATACCCTTTAAAACAAAGTGATATCCCTTCTTTAAAGCTAAAAAAAACAATAAAAACCCTTGCGAAACAATATTCTCTTGTTTGCCGATTCTGATACCATTAGTGCGCGAATGACCCGGGGATGGATGTTTGGGAGTCCAGATGTGGGGACCATGACAGTTGAGCAACGACGTTTGAGCAAATCGAGAAAAACGACGTTTGAGCAACTGCGACTTTTAAGCAAACACGGGAAAACGACGTTTGAGCAACTTTCGTAAGAAAAAAAAGAAAATGCATGTAAAATAGCCGTTTTCATAGCCTTTTCTTAGTTTTAAAAATACCTTGTGCTAAATAAAGTCTTCTAAAGCTTAAATTATACCCCGGCGAGGCCGACTTTCGCGCCGTGGTTCCCTTTTGATGCCACTTTGTGTACATTCACTCAAAAAAGGTAGTTTTATCCGGTTTTCTCTATATTGTTGGTTTTTCGGTACCATTTCTAGCTCAGATGCATCCACATGTTTGATAAAATGGCATTTGGAAAAGAAAAACGAATCAAAACATGTCTTTTATTGACGATTTGTTAGAACTTTCAGGTCAAAACCCAGGTTCGATTCTTATGTCTACTTTCCTGATATTATAAACTTGTTTCTTTACGTATTCTAACAAAAAAACGCCATACAGAAGCACAAAACCTTCAAAAACTAGGGTCTTCAGGACATTCAAGGCTAATTAGCTGAAAGAAATACATTCCCTGTGAAACACGGCCGATCCGGGGTATAATTTAGGCTTTAGAAGGCTTTATTTAGCACAAAGTATTTTTAAAACTAAGAAAAAGCTATGAAAACGGCTATTTTACATGCATTTTCTTTTTTTTCTTACGAAAGTTGCTCAAACGTCGTTTTCCCGTGTTTGCTTAAAAGTCGCAGTTGCTCAAACGTCGTTTTTCCCGATTTGCTCAAACGTCGTTGCTCAACTGTCATGGTCCCCAGATGTGTGCCCCCGCCTCTCCCCGGGGCATGCCCTGGGGGTACGTTGAATTCCTGGACGGGCGGACGTACTGACATTAGAAATTTATATATAGTAGATAACATATTCCTAGCGGAAGGGAATGTGGCGAGGACGACTATAACACGCAAAATACTAGAAGACTGCCGAGACAAATGTATGTAGAGACCCACCTGATGACCATAACTACAAATATCGGACTGCCCCCTCCCCTAGCTGCATTAGCAGCCAATTCACATAGCTCGCGTTGAGTTATTGGATACTCCAACATTTCGTTGGAACATTCCTTTGTGAATATTAATACAGGTTGTCCCAAAAAAAAACCCCCGACCTCGCGGTCCGCAGTCGAGTCCGATTTTTACCATTTAGGAATCTATCGAAAGCACTCGAAAAGGCGAGAAAACAGGGAGGGTTTATTTTCTTTATTATGCATTTTTTATTAGCTAATTTTACGTCTAAAAACCATGAAAACTGCTGATTTATGCGAGATCTGCATGCTAATTTGCGAAATTCCTGTTGAAAAATGGCCGCTTTTTTAGAAAAAAACTTTAGTATCGATAGAATGAGATTAAATCTTAGACAGCAAAACCCGCTTATTTTCTCGCCTTTTCGAGAGCTTTTGATTGATGGCTAAATCGTAAAAATCGGACTCGATTGCGGACCGGTAGGTAGGGGGGTTTTTTTTGGGGACACCCTGTAATATAGATAATACACTCAGTAAAATAACTATAAAGGCAGTGGTTTTTGTCGAATATCTCGGCGGTGTTGGCACTTATCGAGATGCAATTTTGAGAATAGGCTTCTGAAAAGCCACTTGATACCCTGTACAAATCCGGATCAAATCCGTTCGTGGAAAGTCCGATTTTTAGCAAATGACGTTTTCGAAACTGTAAAAAAACTATAAAGGCAGTCGAAAGAAATTCATTCAAAAATTCCCAAATTAGTTTCTTTGCAAATTTACAATACAATCATCGTTGCTAGACCGTTTTCTATTAAAAATTGTTTTCTGGCATTAATGGTAGCCCATTTTTTGTGATTCGACCCGTCATGGCCAGGCCAGCTGATGCCTCCCATCTTGTAACGTTCTTTAAAAAAATTTCCTTTGTCGGAGCATTATTCTGGCCGCGTCCTTAGCTTGGTTTGGGGCTTTAGTATTGTGGGCCAATTGGAAACGCAATTTGAAACGTCAAGAAAGCGGAGGCAATTCTATAATGTAATCTCTCGCAGGTGCGGAAGCGACTAGAAGTTGCTTAAATCCCAGCTGAACTCTTAATTTTCGTGCAGGGTGACTTAGGCTGCTTGGACACGACTGCTCCATGTAATTGTGCAGCTGAACGCAATGTTTCTAAGCTGACATCTCGTCAGAGACAAAAATTAAAGACCCAAGAGAGTCGAGCTTGCATCGGGAATTTCGAAGGCGTTCCACGGATCCACCGATCGGCCGAACCTACGGTCCTAGTTACGATTCAATCGTGGTTTACGTGTTTCTTAATCTTGACATGGCTTTTATTTAGTCCGGGAAGCATGGCGACAAAACTTAAGGCTAATCCGAGCTTTCGCTGATGCTACCCCCGATAATGTTGAGTTTCAGGCGCCTTGGACGTCAATTTTCGCCACCGCCACGTGTTTTAAAGAGCAAATATAGTAGCAAGCCGGCATAGAGCATCATATAATTTCCCTAAAAACAAAAATATAGTCCGCTTTTTGAAGCCGTTGCGAAATTAAGCCTCGAGTTCGAATTTCGCCGTGACAAATAAGATTACTTATTTGTCCACGCGAGCACCTGGGCTGCTTTCGGTGCCGTTTCTAATTGGCCCACAATACTAAAGCCCCAAACCAAGCTAAGGACGCGGCCAGAATAATGCTCCGACAAAGGAAATTTTTTTAAAGAACGTTACAAGATGGGAGGCATCAGCTGGCCTGGCCATGACGGGTCGAATCACAAAAAATGGGCTACCATTAATGCCAGAAAACAATTTTTAATAGAAAACGGTCTAGCAACCATGATTGTATTGTAAATTTGCAAAGTAACTAATTTGGGAATTTTTGAATGAATTTCTTTCGACTGCCTTTATAGTTTTTTTACAGTTTCGAAAACGTCATTTGCTAAAAATCGGACTTTCCACGAACGGATTTGATTCGGATTTGTACAGGGTATCAAGTGGCTTTTCAGAAGCCTATTCTCAAAGTTGCATCTCGATAAGTGCCAACACCGCCGAGATATTCGACAAAAACCACTGCCTTTATAGTTATTTTACTGAGTGTATTTGACACGCGACGTTGATTCAAACCACACCCCGAATTTCTCAACTTTTCGATGGGTCTAATCAGCTACATATGTTCGTTGTTCCTCTCCCAAACGACCATGTAAATATATAATTGTGAGGTTAAATTTGGATAAATTTCTGAAAATAGGCATCATCCTCCCTTCCATAAACTGTGGTCTACCCCATGTGCTGATCAGACGCTTTTCCGATTCGTCATTCTCTCTGTTGAACTTGGTGGCGTGGGCCATATAAGATTGGAAGGTAGAGAGAGGGCCCAAGAGAAGCAGGGTGAAGCACTCGTTAACCCAAGGGATGGGCAGGTCGGGTTGAAGGTTTTTTTTTGTTGGGATGGGTGTTTGCCGAGCTGGGTCTCATCAAAAGAATACAGGGTTGGGCCAAGCTGCTACGAGGGTCCAACTCTCAAACAGATCAGTCGGGCCCTTCGGCTCTTCCGGCGGATAGCCACGTTGGGCATGGCAGGCTACAAATGATTCTAAACATGTTTTACAATTTTCTTTTGAATATTTATCCAGAAAATTTCTATTGTAAAGTTTTTGAGCACTTTTCTGGGCCTATAAACACAACCTCCGGCTGACAAGTCCAAAAAGCAGTCACATGGTGCAAGGTTGTTTTTGGTTGCGATGTCTAGCATTGGATATGCAATGGCCGGTGCATTATGTCGCCCTTTTCCGGCCGACACCTGTCCTTCACAAAGGGTCCACACGGAGGTGGAGCTGTTGCTAAGCTATGCCGAGTCACCGATCTACGTACTGTGTCTATGAACCTTTGATCAAGGGTTGAGAATGAGCTTTAAAGGGCTCAGTCAGTTAGACGGAGAATGGAGAGCAACGTTAAGAAAGTTTACAAAAAGGGGCTTTGGCCTTTAGGACCATGGCAATCCGAATTAGGAAACCGCTTTTCTTTAAGAGCTGGATGTCCCATGAAATTTTTACTGACTTACGCTTCTAGGATTTGTACAAAAAAATGCTGTTGGAATCGCGAATCTGTATATCGTAAACCATCTTCAAAAAAATAGCCATCTAGAAAGCTGTATCAGCAAGAGGAATTAGTCTGAAAGCGTATTTTGGAGCTTTGCGTAACTGTCTAGACCTAGGCTGCATGAGGGTCGAATCTGACCCAACTACGTTCCTTGCAACAGAGAATCAAAGCTTTATTAATTTTTAAGCGCATTAGAAATGGAGGTTGAAGAATATTAAATTGATTATCCCGGATTTCGGACCCTGGCAACTTTCCAAAAAATCACTGTCCCACATCCCCAGGCGCATCCTTTTTTTGGTGCCCCTCTTCGCACGAGCCATCGTGAGGCCATCCATGGCTCGGGCCCATTTTTAATAAGGGGAGCCGTTTCGAGGCTTTTGTCCATAGGGCTTCTGAAGGCTTCTGAAGGCCTTCCTAAAGGACCCCCGCCCCGCCCCATCCCTCCCTGTGGCCACTCATCGCACCGATGGACCCCCGCCGAAAATTGGCAGCTCTGAAAACAGCCCCGCTAAAATTCGGCATTTTCATTGAGCCACGGCGATTTTTGGAGCCTAATATTGCTGCTCTTCCTTTTGCGCATTTTTTTTTGTTTTCTTCTGAAGTTTCCTCATTTTTAAGTTGGAATTTTTAAGATTTTAGAAAGTTCCCCTCGTCTCGCTGTTCATATTTAGAAAAAAAAAATAGATTTATGCATCACAAAATCTTCTTCGCCACTTCCGCTCCAATTCCATGACCTTTTCCGAATGCCCTCCATCCTCCCAACTTTTATTCCTCCGCCCCGGATTTTATGGCGAGATTCCGAATCGGGCCCAATATGCGCTGACGAGCAAAAAAAAACTATACCAGAATTTCTGCTTACGATTAGGTACATTAATTTTAGTTTTGTGCAACCATATTTTTATTGATTACTATTAAAATATTTGTTTCTTTTAAATTTTGAGTTTTTATAAATCTTCCTCATTTTCCACCGAATATTACTTCTTAAATTCATTGTTTTAGGTGATGGTGAGCAGAAATCTACTACGGGTATTTTTTGCAATGTAAGTCGATACGTTTTCACACGCGGGAACTTCACTTTAATGTATGGCCCCCGAAACACAGAGATCTAATTTGTTAGTTCGGGGTCCCATCTTTTCCCCGACCATTCATTTGACGTAGTAAAAAAAAAGTCCGTTAAGGGCTTGGCCCTTTCGATGCACTCAAAAATCGCGCGTCCGCCACGCATACTAATCGCTCTCTCGCACGCCCTTTTTGGTCGGAACTTCTTTGGGAGGGGTTGGTTTTTGATGTAAAAATGGTTGAACACTAAACAATTACATTTAAATAGCGTTTAAGAAGATCTTAATTTTACGAGCTATTTTTTCAATAGTGAGCCGTTATCTCTAAGTAATACCAAACGTCGCAAACTATCAATATCGTTACTATGGGGGTGGGGGTGTTGAGACGTTGTGGCTGACTGCTGCCAGCCGTCGTGGCTCGAAACAATCAAAAACTCAAGTAGAGTCTGGAGGGCCCATGGCTGCACAGACTGTGCAAATAATATCTCTCCAACCGATACCCCCGTGGCACCTCAACCCGATAATTCCAAAGGGTTTTTGTTTTTGGAATTCGGGAAGAGCAGGAAAAAAATGTTAATTGATCAGGTGAATACTAAGAATAGTATTCTGTTTAAGCTAACCTAAGTATTATTAATATTTCTGAAAAATCGGTATCTAAAGAGCTTAAAGTAGCCTTGAAATCCTCCTACGGGGCTTCGTACCCCTTCCCCCCACCGCTAATATAAAAGCACTGGAACGAATCATTTTGAACGATGACGGTATCTAGCGCAGGCTCTTTAAAACGCGGGACACCCAATTTTTTCATTTCTGAAATTAAGCAATGACTCTTCCAAAACTACAAAAAACAAATTCATGCGAGTGTGCTTTTTAGTACAGTAACAATAACTGAATTACCCTGCAAAATTAAGAAAGTAATTCTCCTAAGTCTTCAAAGCGTTGTAAACGTTCAATTAAATCCCTCCTTTAATAATCGGCTAAAAACAGTCTTGTCGCGAACTGACCGAAAAACACCGGAACCATTTATTTTTTCATATGCAGAGTTGCTGAATGAGTGGAATGAGGAGGCAGAGGGGACCCATTTCTCAGCCGGATCCGATTTCCCGCACACAAACATCCGGGATTCCGCTCCATTCCACCCCCTCCGGCCATCCCCACGCGGTTTAACGGCAATGATGGGGATCGCATTTTTGCTGCGAAACTTTTGAAAAACGGAGTGCGAGGATATCATGACATCAAAGATGGGAATTTAGAAATTTTAGGAAAAATCTTAGATCTCTTAATATACTGCATACTCTTAAAATTCACAGTAGCAGATACCAAAAACAACCATCAAGTCATCTTTTTAAATTTTATTTTAGATGTATTCTCCACATCATCACCGCAAAACCACCGAAAAATCTGAACCGTATGCGGAATCGAGGCAATATGGGGACGAAGAATATTGACATCGCTTCGCTGCAGAATACCGGCCAAAAAATCACCGTCTATGAGGTTGGTGTGAAAAATATAGTAGAAACGCGGAATAATCGGTCTCTTCATTCTTTCAGCAGCTCAATCTTATGCCTAATCCTAAGCCTAAGATAAGCGAAAGCGCGGCTTTTTTAGCCCTAGTGGATGACTTTCCATTCGAAAAACCGCTGAACGTAGTGGGCCAAAAGCCATGGGGGTAGACTCGACTAATCGGCCGTCATAATAAGATTGGCTTCGACGAGCGTGCCGTTTTTTCTTCTCTGTTCCCGCCGCCACATTAAAGCCTGGACGATAAGATATTTCCTGAAAACGTTCACTTTAAATGGTCTTTACATTCGTCAATTTCTAGATATAGCGTTTTGGCCAGAGGTGTGCTTTAAAAAATTGGGTAGTTATCGGAATGCAGCGTTTTTATGAAAACAAATAAATGAAACCAATATAGTTCTAAACTTTACTTAAGTACATTAACGTCAAAAATTTTATATTAATTTCTAAAGACTTATTTTTAGAATCAACCTTTATTTTTTTTGCTGCCATACCCCTTCCCAATAGTTTTTCGATGCTTGTTTTCCGTAGAATTTTTTTGCCCCAAAATAATCGCTGCCCACCCCCACACAAAGAATGGCTAAAGCCACGCAAAGCAAAAAACTAAAATGAATAGCAGTTTTTACATGCATCCGTCCTTTCTTGTTCTGGCGGACTACTCTCCTCCAATCTCCAGCCCCAACCACATTCTTCCCCCCACATAACACGGCAATTTGGGCCCCACACACACACAACGGGTTGAGAGCCTAAGGGCCCAGTCATTGGGTCCTTTCTTTTTTGTCTTCTTTCTGTTTTCTTAACAGCCCCCTCGCCGCCTTACATCACCTGAAGCATGGGTCCACCCTTTTTGGCAACATTTGGCGCCCAGATGGGTGCGTTTTTATGGATTTTGGCTTCTACTGATTGCGATATACTGCACAAATTTTGGAGACCTTTTTAAGTCTTACTGGAGTATTTGACGCGTTAGATAGCCTAGATTTGTCTCTTGAAAGTTCATTGAATATTGTCTGGTATGCATTTAAACGATTTAAGTGGAATGCAAATTCTTGGTTTTCTAAAAAAAGGTTGTCAAAATTTACTGTGCTTTAGATAAATCAAAACTCTGATTTTTAACCTAACTGCCCTTTTGAAGGAACTAGGAAGGCAAAGTCACCGCGTATTTTTCGATTCTCCCTCATTTCCGATTTTTCTCCTGAAAATTCCCTTACCAATCCGCTAAAGGACATTTTTCTAGACCCCAAGAATCGCCGAGTTCCAACCATTGTTTCAAAAAAACCCCTCCACCCCGATTCACGATGAATATTTCGGAGACCCTCCTTAGCACTCCTCCCACTCCTCCCCATTTTTATCCACAAATACCGTAGCCCATCCTTGAGTACCACCCTTCACTCCTTCTTCTTCTCCTTATTCCTCCATTTTTAGCTCCCCCTGCTCCCTCCTCGATGCGTGCAGCGTGGTCCCCCCACATTAGAAAAAGTTGGCCTCATTTTTTGCGCATTTCCATCCCTCCCATCGAAGCATTCCCGAATCGAGTGTGCCGTGCCGGGGATTTGAATTCATCAGGCTTATCCCGATGCGCCCGAAGATTCCCCCCGCAGGACCCTTGGGAGAATTTCTTTTTGCAAAGCTTCGGCTTTCACCTAGTCCACAACGTTTCCAAGTTTCCACAGAGTTTCCAAAACTTTCGGTCTTCTTTCCATCAACTCTTCTACCAGTGTGCCTTATCCAATTTTTATAGTTTAGAGTTTAGCCTCCCAGGTATGCACCCGTTGAATTTCGGGGGCAAATTTTCACACATTCATTAATTCGGGGGTGTGAATGCACATGACCCGAAATAGATGGCGGTTTTTGGTTCGGGGCACGAAACATACCTAAGAATGAATTAAAATTAAAATTTATCATGCTTCAGGAAGATCGTGCCACTCCAACTTCATCCATAGAGCTTTTGACCGATGAAGGACATGTGAAGGACGAGTTGGAAGAGCTATTAGACGAGGATTTTCTGACGGAAAAGTGGGTTTTAGAGAACAACAAAAAATAATACGATACAATTTTCAGAGCCGCTCCACTGGAAATCAGTAAGGATAGCGAGCCGACAGAAATAACGCAGGCGCCGGAAAATAATAAAGAGGAAACAACTTCTAGCACAACACCACAGGTCAGTTTTGTCGAAAAGATTTTTTAAAGGGCGGATGAAGGCGTCGGCAATGTGTATATTTTTTAAATGACATAAAAGATAGCTTTACAAGCTAGGTCGGGTTTAAAGAATCAACATTCATTCAACAAATGTTGTTTCTGAATGCAAAATTGTTTGCTTTCTAGTTTTCCCCACTTTTCTACCTAGAGAAACTTTAAATAAATTTTTCGAACATCTATGGGAACGTCGGGTAAAAAAAGATGAAAGTTACAGTAGGAAAACATTGAATTTCTTGTAATGGCTGTCGTTTTTGGAACTTTAGCAACCAGATATCCTATTTAGCATCCGTAAACAGAATTCGCCGACATAAAATCTCCTTATATGAAAATTCGTGTGGGTTCAGTTTTATCGTAATAAAATTCGCCCAGAAAAATCCGGCGAAACGAACATTTACCTAAAATAAATCAGAAATCCAAAGTGCCCCCCTGAAAATCTTAATTACGACACCGATCTGGGCTATTTGAGTGGGTGTGCGTGTGTTGGTGGGTAGTAGTTGTATATCGCTGTGGGATGATGCCTATTTGTCGGAACTCATTTCTCGTTGCTGTTTGCCATCCTTCCGCGCAACATTCCATTCGACACCTCGGCACCCCGGATTCGATTTCAGACGCAGCACCTTGCCATCCCAAAGGCGACACATAGAGAACAACCACATCCCTCTCAATTTCTTTTATCTCAATCCAGTCATACCACAGATTTTTTCGCGAATTGATAATAGCGGCATTTTGTTAAGTTCGAAAGCTTGAGCATTGGATCAGATTTGTAAAGTTAGAGCAGCTAAAAAATCTTATAGGAGAATTGTGATGGTTATTTTACTAGGTACAACAGAATTTTACTAAAATAGGAAGTTTAAAAACTAGAAATACGAAATTTCTACAGACTAAAATGCATAAAATAAATAGTTAGAATGATGTTACGTAGCTTGATCCAGGTTATTTGTCGTTATGGTAATTCAAATACGTTAGGCTTCAGAGTACAACTTATTGCGTTACAGTACCCTTCAATTTCCTACTTGACCTTGAATGTTTGCGCAAACGCGTAAAATTATACAGTAGCCCTGAGTACTACCAAGTTCGCTCTGACTTGTTGGAGTTCTTTTTTGACTTCCTTGACGCATTTTGGAGCCAAGTTCCTTGTTGTCCAATCTACATCCCTTTGTATGGTTGCCAAGTGGCGTCGCTTCCCCATTTCTTCTTGCGCTTCGTCGCTTTTTGTCTGTTTCCGGTGTCTGGTTGAAGACGAATAGCTTTAGGGGGTACTATTAGAAGTCTGCGCATTCGGAATTTCGTTTTCTCACGCCCTTGCAAGGAAATTAACGGATTTTGTTGAAGTTCCACACACTTACTTTTTAAGTATTTGCTTACTAAGTTCCAGTCCAATATTCTGAATTTCTAGGTCATTACCGTACCCTCATCGCCCGTTGCCGAGGACCCCAACAAAATCTCGGATACGGAAATCATGAAAGATCTACTTACAAATGGATATGATTGGAGAGTCCGTCCCCCAGGCACCAATTGTAAGTTTTCTACATAAAAATTATTATATATTTTTTGTAGCTAGTATTCTTGGGGGTGGTGCTGTCATTGTTTGGGTTAATATGTTGATTCGAAGGTAATTTAAATGAACTTGACGATTCTAATAGTCTCTTTAGTATTTCCAAAATCGACAATGTCAATATGGAATACAGTGCCCAAATGACGTTCCGTGAGAGCTGGGTGGACAAACGACTAGCGTACGGTAGGTGACCACAGCCTTTCAAAACATAAATAAATCGTTCTTTTCTAGAACACCTTGGTAGGCAGAGCCGTTTGCCGTCGATTCCCCCCATTGTAAAATAAAATCCGCCCTTTTGGCGTTGCGGCGATTTTTCTTCTCCGGCTTTGTGTGGGACTTTCGTTTTTTGGTTTTTTTCGCTCTCTCTCTATTTCTCCGGGTTTTCTTTCTACTGCACTGGGATCCTTGGGTTGACTTATGACTTCTTGGGCACCTATCCCGGAAAAGAACGGTTGTAGCGTTTTTAAAGGAAGGTTTTTAGGCGAGAAAAGCATGGGCGAGACGGTACCGGATTTTGTGATTTTGGCGGCTGGACAACAGATTTGGATGCCGGATTCGTTTTTTCAGGTGAAAACAATATCAATACCCAAATTTGTTGATAATTTTATCCTACAATTTCTTCGAATAAAATTTATTAAAATTGTTTATTTAGAACGAAAAACAAGCCCATCGCCATATGATCGATAAGCCAAACGTCTTGATCAGGGTCCATAAAGACGGATCAATTTTGTATTCAGTTCGAATTTCGCTTGTCCTCTCCTGCCCGATGCATTTGCAGGTATGCAAAAAAATCGGAAATTATAGTTTTTATCTTCCCAGAACTACCCAATGGACGTACAACATTGTTTGATAGATTTAGCCAGCTACGCGTATACTACAAACGACATCGGTACGCTTTTTTGGTTGTTTTTCCATTAGTTTTATTTCAGAATACAAATGGAAAGACCAGGAACCCGTGCAATTGAAAGCCGGCTTAAATTCGTCGCTTCCTAGCTTCGAGCTGAGCGACGTACAAACAACGTACTGTACCAGCAAGACAAATACCGGCACCTATTCTTGTCTGCGTACTGTATTAACGCTAAAACGCCAGTTCAGGTAAATTTCATACTTTATATACCAAAATTTATATTTTTAGTTACTACCTCCTACAACTCTATATTCCATCAACTATGTTGGTCATCGTCTCCTGGGTGTCATTCTGGCTCGATAGGTATAAAATTTTACGGTATAGTATGTACTTTCTGATGCATTCAGATCGGCAGTTCCGGCCCGTGTAACCCTTGGAGTTACCACCTTGCTAACAATGACTACGCAAAGCTCCGGTATCAACAGTAAACTACCACCCGTCGCCTATATAAAGGTAACTCTTCAAAGGGCGTGCCACCAAAAAATCTATTAACTTCAAGGCAATCGATGTCTGGATCGGTGCCTGTATGACGTTCATCTTCGGCGCCCTGGTCGAGTTTGCCATCGTCACATATTTCGGGACGAGGCTCGATCAGAAAAAGAAGTCCCGAGCTGAACTCACCACAAAACAGCCATTGCATACGGTAGTTATCGAAACACTTTTTCAAAAAGTAATTTCTAGCCTGCCCCGGCACCTGTGTGGGTACCGCGACATGCTGGTGATATGAAAAATGACCAGCTTGGCGACATGCAAACAAATTTGCTAGCAAATAATCGAAAAGTAGCACCTTTAAATTTACTTAAAATTAAACCTCTAGGAACCTGCGTTAAAAAGAAACCCATTTATACGAATGTGGCGAAGAAGTTTTGGCGATCAAGATTTACCGAAAAAGCTGGACCTTGGCTCAAGTGAGTTCAAAGTATCACTTAAACTAAATGCAATAATTCAGGACTATTATTCCCAATACTATTCATCAGCTTCAACATACTGTACTGGACAATGTTTGGGAACCCCGATACGAAATCACCATATGTTTAAGTATAAAGTGCTATTGTTTGGCGTCGATTTCTAACCCCTCATTCTTCTCCGGAAATTCATAAACCGGTGCTGCTCAAGCTCCCCCATCGATTCCAGTGACTTGACTTATGATCTGCATTTATTTTATGTTCATGATTTTTGAAAATTACAAAAATTCTTCTCCTTCCTTCATCTGTGAATAATGTGTATGTGCAGAAATTAGCTAATGTATCTAACGCTATAGAAATTATTATTGATGTTTTGTTACGTCCGGTGCAATAAATTGATCTGATTTTATTGAATGATTTTTGTATAAAAATAGTTACAAGATACAAGAAAATAGATAAAAACAATTTCCTAGATCCCGTTAAATGCCATACAATGAGGGTAAAAGCCAACTCAGACGCAGGAATTCCTCCCGTTTGCCAGTGGATCCCACTCCTTTCATCCCCCTCTCCAACCCAATAACCATTCACTTTGCTTCTCAATCCCTTTAATGTCCCCCGCTGACTTGCCGCTGTGAGACGCTGTGAATAAATTGTCGGTATCACCGCACCTGCCCAAACCTGTCGCGTTTGGAGGTGTTAATAGGAACGACGCTTGAATCTGGGATCTTTGCTTGTAGATGCGCTCGTAGAAGAGCCGTTCTTTCTAGTTAAATTCCCCTCTTCCTCCAATGCTCTTTGCTCGTTCGCCCGACTCCAAATTCTGTTGGGAAAGTGACACCCCCTAGCGAGCGAAAGCCAAAATCCCGATGTTTGCATGCCTGAAGGTGGATAATTGGCGTGAGAAAGGCCGAGTGGAAGGAGACGCAAAAGAAGAAGTTGAAGCGAAGGTGAAAGGCCGGCCAGTCCGGCACGATTGCCCTTATACAGGGCAATGTTTCGCCCTCACAAACGCCCCTTAGGAGTACGTGTAAGATTCGCAGAGCGTACTTTACTTCTGGAAGTACATCCACTGTAAAAAGGATAAAATATTGTTATTATGTGGCACTTTGCATGTAGTGTCTGAGAATATGCCATAATTGAGGAATTTTCGGGTATGTATGATATGTCATTAGGCGCTTAATAACCGAAGCCAAAAATAGCCAAACATACGATGCAACGCTGTTTTTCGACCCGACATAAAAACAAAAATCCAGAATTCAACCGCTACACTATTAGCTCCATCTCAAAACCCCCCGGAAGCCAGTATCAGGAAGCAAGCAATCATCCCCAAAAACACTCACTATTATAGCCCCATCCCCTTCCCAAAAGAACTTGGTGTCAATAGGTGCACGCCGTACAACCCCCGTCAATTGGCTCAGCTTTGCCAACCTCGCCGAGTACATCTCAAGAATTGGTATACCCGAGACTGTGACTGTTTAGGTCGTCAAGGAGCTCCGGAAAGGGGGCATGAAGTTGGTGGGAGGCCTGGAAGAGCCTAGCATTTGTACGGCTCTTTTTTTGAACCTGCATTATTTATATACTTTGTTAAAATATTTTTTTTAAATAGGAAAACTTCCAGTAGGTCCAGTTCGGCTTTTTATCATAATTTAGGATCTAGAGGGATTTAGGAATGCGATGAATCCAGAAAGTTCACACTTTTTGCAAAGGCGGGAACGCGCTGCAAAAACTCGGCCAGTCGAACTTATTTCTGGACTTTCTGGGTTCTCGCTTCATTTTGGCATTGTTTCAAGGCTTCGTTTCTAGCGTATGCCGGTTTTTTGATAGCTTAGCATAGTTAACATAATATACCTGTCGTAATCCAATAATATTCATCTACCCGCTGATCCAACATCATTAAAGGCTTCATCCTACCATCGCCCCTCGGCATTGCTTGCCTATCTTTGCCATCCATTTCCAATCCCATCTTCCAGGGGCAATCAACCCGAGCACCCACCCCCAAAACATTCATTGTACCTTCCCCTCCTCCCTATGTACGTAAGTTTTTATCCCAGCTTCCCTGCCTGCAAAAGCGAATGGCACGGAAGAAGCATTGAATAGGGATGGGCCGAAGTGTTCGACCGGGCATATTTGTCCCAACCTTGGAACGCTTTCTGCCATTCAACGGGGTCAGCCTTGAGGCTCTAATGGATGGGCTGTTACCCGCGCTTTCTCCCCGGAAGTGTTGTTTCTCTCGGGGTTGCGCTTTTTCGTGGTTTTCTGCTGCTGCGATCCGTGTTGGCAACCGGAATGTCTGTGGGCTCCAGGTGCCCTGGGTGTCGGAAGCTTGTAAAAAAACATCGGGGTTGAATGCGTTGAGGTCGCTGGCTCGACCTCACAGGGTGTGGCTTGTGGCCGAACAACAAGAAGTTGGGTGGCTTCAGATGGGGGTGTTTTGTTTTTAGCCTCATTATTTACGCTTCTGGATCTTTGTTTTTGAATTCAGCCAAATTTCTAGAAATTTCGGTTAATTTCTATCTGAGTTTTAAACAATTAAATAGCTTTTTACATCGTCCCAAATAGATAAAAAATAGCAAAGTTTCCCAGAATAATGGCTTTTGGTAAAAAATGTATTGTTCAACAAATGAGTTTTGTAAAGTTTTTTCAAAAATTTCTATATGATGGCAAGCGAAGTCATTAAAGGCCTTCTAAGAAACCATAAGACATTTCCTCTGCTCCCTAGTTAAAAATTTTTAGATTCTTAGCTTCCCAACCCCTTTAATTCTCTCGAGGAACCGCTGGTAACGATAGTGAAAATCCCCTTCCCAAGCACATATATGTAATATCCAGCCGATGATTCCCCCCCCTCGTTCATCCCTAACTTGTTGCCAGCCGTCGATCAGTTACAAGATGCCAATATGCCCTCAAGGTATGCTCGCATGGCAAATGCCAATTATGGGAGGGAAGAACGGGAAGTGAAAGGGCGACAAGGGCGAGAGAACAGATCCAGAGATAGAGAGCAAGCACGAAGCTCCTCCTCCTCCACCAAACGCGCACCCTCCTAGGCTCAAGGGTCCTATCTAGAAGTTTTCACGCACCTGCTCGTACCTTGGTTGCCTTATTTTCGCACTTTAGCATTTGTTGGATTAGGCCTGACATTGCTGTATTTATCGGAAAATCTGGTCTCGCTTGATCTTTGTTAGGCTTTCATTTCTATTAATGCTTCCTCTATAAAATACCTTAAACCTCCCAAACTTTCAGATATGCTATTCTTTCTATTTCTTCTTTTTACTCCCCAACAAATATCTTCACAACTATGTAACCCCTTTGCAAATCTCTTCAATTTGGGCAACCTATTTGGTGGAGGCGGTGGCTGTGGAAGGTAATACAACCTTTTAAAGGGACTTTAAAGCCACTTTGTTTCAGCTGCTGTCCCAGCCCATGTGGAATGTCAACCCCTTCTTGTGGCGGCTATTCGCCCAGTTATTCAGGCGGATATTCTGCCAGCCAGTATCCCAGCTATCCCGTATATTCAAGCTATCCAAGCCAACATGCTATAGCTCAGCCACCTCCACCACCACTTCCGCCACCACCGCTACCATCCCCATTTTATCAGCCCAGCTTCCCGGTGGGTTAAAAATACAAATATGCCTTATTATCGTTAATATAAACCTAGCTCGTTATTTTTGCGCCCAACGTACGAAATTTAAGAGTAAAATGATCGATTTTGACAAATACTAATATTCGACGAATTACCTTAAGAGATAATATTTAGCTAGCACAGCCGATCCCACCAGCTCCGCAACCACCAACTCCACAGTACAACTCCTACGGATTGCAGCGAACCGGTGTTCAATCGTATCAAAACTTTGTCCCTGCCGCTCCACCTCCGCCACGTCCACCTCCTCCCCGCTATGAGACCCTACAACGCAACCTACCACCGATTCCGCAGTCAATGGTACCGACGAATAATGCAATTAACGAGGTGAGTTTTTGGCTTTAATGGGAGCGTGCTAGCCCGTATTTTAATGCAGACCGCAAGACCTGAATAAATAATATTATTTTCAATCCTCTAGATGATTCCGGCAAGCCCTGTCTACATCCAGCCGAGCAACCCTCTCCCGGCTCCAGGCAAGGTTACTGTAGATCCAACAAAGTGGCAACACACTGCTGAACATACCGTACCTGCCATTCAAGAATTACCCGACAATGAGGTACCTTAAAAAGACCTTTTTAATTTACCTATGTTTTAGGAAACTGAACCAGAAACCGACAACGGCCAACCACCAGGCTACGAACCAAAACCCGTTGAAAAGGAAGAATACGACCTAGAAGAGGTAGTTTTAATATATTAACTCATATCCATAATTCTAGGAGGAATCGCAGCGAATCCCGGTCAATCGATTGCCGATCAATCTACCTGTCGACCCAAACCCTCCACCCCCACCGAGTGACTATGAAGAACAAGAAGAAACCGCAAATAATGGAGTGCATGCAGAACCCGAACCGGCAAACCCATTGAAATACACCCCGGAGCCTGAACCTGAGCCACCTCGTCCAGACCCAAACATTGCTGTTCCGACGCCATCCACGTCGCCAGCTGCTTCATCTACGGACTATGATGATGAGACAAATGTCGAGTCAGAGCCTCCGATGAAGCCGGCTCCTCAAGCATCAATTCCGCCATCGTCAATGTCCGATTATGGGGATGAAGCTGATCAGAATGCACCCCCTGCACCTCCAACTGATTCACAAGTAGAGAAAGCGCAAGTCTATCAACCAACGTCTGGTGATCAAATGTCAAATATGGAGTCTGCGGGTCCGGATACTGAATGGGGATTGAATACGAAGGAGACGATGCCCATACCAGAACCTACACCTGGATTTAAGGTAAGTTCCGGTATGATTATGATGAAAAAAATTCACTTTTAGCCAACACCTTCGGAAATTCCATCAAACGGAGAGGATACAGAATTTGGAGTGCCGGATCGGGCTGGTGCCTACCATTTGTTAGAAGATGCCACAAAAGCACCACAGCCTCCTCTAGAACCGCCAAGAAGTCAGACACCAGGTGGGTTCACAAGTTAAAGTTTTCGCACTAAAATACTAAAACAATTTTCTATAATTTTAATTTAGTCCCAACATCATACGGAGTAACCGAACCGCCAATCCCTGAACCAATTCGTACAGGTCCAAAGTCGTTGTTAAATAAAAAGCATTCTCTTTCAGATAGTACGATAGTGACGCTAAGCCCAGGCCTTGGCTATCACCGCCGGCGAAGGAAGTTCAAAATCTACAGCCCATTGCTGAAGCAGGCCAGATGGATCTAAGCTCCAAGATCCTTTTTTTAATTTGAACCCCCGTGCTTTCCCCTATTTGATACGTGTATCTAATCGCTTCTCCTACGCCACCGCTCAACTCTATGCCCATTTATTTAATAAATTATGTGAGAAAGTACGCTGTCTTGAACAGAATTTCGTTAAGTACCATTTATTAAGGCCAACTTTAAAGATTTTAAGAGAGATATAGGGAATGGAAAGCTGGAGGGAGCCGGTCGGTCGGGATTGTGTACCTATAACAATTTTAAATCCTGAAGAGAGCATTGTAGCTCCTAACCTGCAAATTTCTTGAAGGTTCTTGGCATTTAAAACCACAAAAACGGGAGCTTGATCTTCTTTTAGGGTCATTACCGGCACGAGGAGAACACCTTAAAATTGTTTAAGTTTTGGGGGCGTTAAATGAACCGTCGTCTTCACTGCTTTTCGCGGGATCTGGGATAAAAACGGGTTCTGCACATAGTTGGAACTCATTATCACGATGCCAGAGAAGGGTGGCACCAGTATGGAGATCCACTTTCACAATCTAGAAAAGCTACACATTTACAATTACCATAGCTATACAAACCCCGGCCAAATTTTCCTTCTCCTCATCAAATAACAAAGTCGATCCGTAAACAAATTGATAAGGCTTCATGTTGTTTGCATCCCAATTAAACCGCGGGAACTCGAAAGCTAAATTTTTTGTCTTTAAGTAGTATTCATTGGCACTTACAATGCTCGCAAATTCTGGCCGATTCGCAATAGATGGAGCCATCCGGCTGGAGGATGGCCTTGGCTCCACGACCATGGGGTGCTGACTAAACGAGGATAACAATTAAAAAGTGGCTCAATTACCGTAGCCAAGTCGCTGCCGGGTTCTGCAGCTGTCGGTATTTTAATCGGCAATACCATACGGTGGAGATAGGGGCGCATTTTTGGATTCTAAATGAAAATAATATATTTAACCATCATAAATTTCGAATCCTCTGATTTTTATCGAAATAATTCTTTAAAAAATACCTTTGTAAAACTGCCATCTCGCATGTGATCCATTAACAAATCATCAAAAGTCCCTGGATTTTCCATGTGGCAAAAATCGACGTCTAAATTTATCGATCTTAAAAACGCTTAAATCCCAACAAATAAAGCCATCCTCTTCATAGGTATTTGCATGATGGAAAGTGAAGAATGGAGGAGCCGTGTACTACAATCGAATTGTTTCAGGTTTAATTTAGTACAAACTCGTATGGTGTGTCTACTTCCAGTCTTCCGATCGACAACAATGACGTTCGTGTTTGTGCCCTCTTTCCAGTGTAGTGTGTCTTTGAACGAGTAAGACAAAATATTTCTAAAAGTTATAATTATAGTTGTGTTTTTAATTCAAGTTACCTCGCCATCAGTTTCATCAGCGATATACGAAGCGGTGTCTCGAAGAGCACGATGTAATTCGGTGACATGCCAAACGAATGATGGTATGCCGGGTTCCAACGATCCTCATATGGCACCGAGGCATAGAGGATTGTCTCGGAAAAATCGCTTTTATCTCCTGAAGATTCCCATAAAGCTAAACCTCATTCACGATACCCTTAGTTTCGGTGAATACGTATTGCTTTCCAAACAAATGCCCCGAGTTGTACACATTTCCAGCCAGATCAGTTTGAGGGTGTGCCGTACAAGAATTGATTGACAGCACCTTTTGGAGATCCTCCTGAATTTGCTTTCAAAACTAAAAAATCTTCCCCACCCCAGCTTTTGTGCCAAGTGTATCCGGATCGATTTTGACGACTTTTGGGGTTTCAGTTAGTGCGTAGACAGCATCCGAGAGCTGGAATTGGCATAATTATCGTTTATTTTCTTCATACCAACCTGAACAAAATTCACCACACAATTATCCCATCCATCTTCTTTAATAAACATGGATTGAAAGCTAATGCATTTTATAGGCAGTAGAAAATAATTAATTACCGGCCATAGAGTCCTTTGCATGGATCAGGAAACCGGACCGTACCAAATGACGAAACGCATAAACGATTCGCTTGCTCGCACATTTTATAAGCCTCAGATTCCAGGAATTTTGCCGAATAGAAAAGCTTAAAACAGGCCGAGTTTTTTAGTCGTTTCCATCAGTATACCTTTCCATCCTTTAGCTGAAAACGTTGCATATAGGCCATTCCATCAAACCAGTGCTTCACTTCGGTATCTCCTGAATTTTTGCCTGTGCTGTGTGAGGGTTAACCTTACCGTATTTGAATTTCCCAGGTCCGTTTCTTAGCAATTGGCCTGTAAGCCAAGCTGGTGGAGAAGCGCCTAATGAAACAAGATTTGCAGAACCGTAAATATTTGACAAACCGATACGCTCGCATTCAAGCGGTTCATCGATATTTTCAAAATTTTCGAAGAGCTTGTTGCAGTCCATTTCTAAAAGAAATATTGAAGACGTGGCAGTATAAGCTAGAAACGGCAAGCCTGAAAAAATTTGTTGTCAATATGACTCGAAAACGCAAAGCTTATGTATTGTGGCTGCCATGGTCAAAAGATAAGGGGTCGATTGACCGGGCGGCGAAAGGAGCGAGAAGGACCGGGGAACGCGACGAAAAAAAGAGCAAATATGACATTGTCGTTTGCTCACCACCCCGTTTCCGCCACACTACAAATACCAAACGAACCTGGATGATGAAAAAGTGAAGGTGAGCAACATATCAATCGGAAAACCTAGAAAGGGGACTACAAATGATGAAAATTAATGAAATAATATGAAGGGAGAGAGAGAGAGAAAGAGAGAGAGAGAACAATCGAGGGAGAGCGACAGAGAAAGAGCGGGAGAGCGAGAGAGAAGAAGAGAGAGGGAGAGAGAGAGCCTTATAACCAAGAGAGAGAGAGAGAGAGAGAGAGAGAGAGAGAGAGAGAGAGAGAGAGAGAGAGAGAAGAGAGAGGGAGAGAGAGATTGAGCGTTAGAACCGAGAGAGAGATATAGAGAGAGAGATAAACGAGAGAGAGATAGAGAGAGATAAACGAGAAAGAACGAGATAGAACGAGAGTGAGGACGAGCAGACCCGCGAGGGAGAGAGCTGAGAGAGCGAGAACGAGAGAGAGAGAGAGAGAGAGAGAGAGAGAGCGGGAGGAAGATAACGGCAGAGAACGAGTGAGAGAAAATATTGTTGTGTAGAAGTGTTGCTATTTGCATGCTGCATCCGCGTGACCCATAAACTTCTTGCAAAAGGCACCGTTAAATGTCTTATCTTGGTCTTTAAGTAAACGCTGTGGAAAAGTTTCAGCCTTTTTATGCGCCATACGAACTGTTTTCAGTAGTTCCCTGAAGCCCGAATCCAGTGCACTTCCACTGTAGATTCTTGGTTATAAAAATCACTCCCCGCCACACGCTGTAAAATTTTGAATCTCGGTCGGGGGTTCCGGCGATGCTAGACGATCAATCTGCAAAATGTTGTCGTCTACTGTCCGGCTGGAAAATGGGGGGCCATCTCCCCATTCATTCCGAACATCGAACGGCAGCACCAGCCTATTGTCATCGAAACGACGGCTGCCAGGAACTACGGTAATTAAGTGCCGCCACACTTTCTGAAAGTTTTTTGTTAGTGGGTGATTCGTTTGGTTTGTTCTGCTTCTCGACACCTCAAAAATCAGGAACTCGAATTTTCCTAATCACTACATTACCATAGGATAGGCTGAACCGACCTAAAGAATGCCGGAAATGTCGAAATTAATTTCTGCATCAAGCATATGTAGTTTTCCAAATTTCGAGACTATGTAAATGCGGCATTCCGCTTTTCGAGATTCTGACAGAGCCCATCGAAATGTTTTAGTTGCGATCCGACACTGGCTACTCTCGCCCTCTCACAGCTGGACCCTAAATGCGCATAAATACTCGGCCAGATGGGCATTTTTTAGGAGCGAGTCTGGAGTGGGAGAAAGGGAGAGAGCGATTTGGCTGAGGCCGAGTTGACTAGCAAATTTCTCGACAGTTATGTATCGGAACGATTTAACTTTGTCGCGGTTAGATCGGTTTGAAGTGCGAGTTTCGCAGATACGTATATTTTTGGCAATGGTAAACGACTTTTGAGTCGCACATTCTTTGACATTTATTCATGTATCGAAACTATTGTATTTCTTGATTGATTGACTTCCATGACCTTTCGTTGTTCCCTTTTTATCGTAAAAATCGTAAAAAACGCATGCGTTGCATCTAAAGAAAGCATGCGGTTTTATAGTGAATGACGGTCGACCCTGCCCTTAATATGAATCACTCCATGAACTTTCCCGCCATCCACCACCATTTGGGGGATTCGGGCCGATGAGTACGATCTGTCACAATTTATTTTCTCAGCTGGCATTATTCCAGTGTTATTAATTATTCAAATTGAAGCCAGTTTTGTTATTGTTCTTCTACATCTAAATACTATCGCGGCTGTTGCCACTAAAATTAGTCATTTTTGGCAGCTTCTCAATAAGTCAATACATTTATTATTAGGTATGGTATCGAGAAGACCGTAAAGGATCTCGGATTCGTCAAAAAAAACTTATCATATATGCATTTCATGTTTTAAGGACAAGCTGCGTAAAATATTATTCGAAAAATCTGTTCATATACACCTCCAAAGGTCAATTCCAATTCCATCCATCTCATTTCCGCATCAACCATACACCACCACATCACATAACCCGGAATTTTCGTGCCCAGCATTTCCCTTTATTTGTGGAATGATGTTTTGCCCGTATGATCTTCATAAGTACCAGACAACCCCCAAAACAAACCGTTTTCCAGTGATAGAAGCCGGATGAATGGCCGCCGATTGCATGTTTTTCTGGGACTTGCAGCAGCCGCTTTCTTATTTTTCTTCATTGCGTCTAATTAGTAAGTAAATTGTGAAACTAACTTTAGTTTTTCAATAGCTTTAAAAACGCCTTTTTTAGCACTCAATTCACACAGAAACATCAAGTGGTTCGGGCAATGAAGAGGCCAGAATATAAGCTTGAGTCGTTATCGGAAATTGATGAAAATGTGACAACGAAGAGTTTATTAATCTATAAACTTTATTACGACACCAGGTACCTTCATTAGCGTTAAAAACTAAGTTTGCACCAGAATGAATCCGCCCCGATTTCGAATCCTGGCAAATTCACAGTGTCGACGTGGAGGCTCTGTAAAAATACATATCAATGGGAAAACCTTGGCGGTTGATAGGGTTGAGCCAACGGAAGGTGAGCACAGGTATATTTGCTACCTTAGTAATAAGCAATAACAAGTTGTAATTTTTGTTAGGATAAAATAGATCTTTCAGGTGGATGCCCTTGGGCATGGGCGCCGCAATGTCGATGGGCCACTTTTCATCTGGTTTCTGACGCATACGAGGGCCCTTTGACAGCAGAGGTAAAATATAGAAAGTTATTACACATAAAAAAGTTTAGGTCTCCATTTCTTCCAACGGTCGTAATGTAACGGTTCCGGTAATTCCGGTACCAAAGGTTTACAAGCCAGGATACACGATTTGTGTCCCACCATTATACTGGTGAGTTGAAAACCTTGATTTTATTGGATTATCGGTCTCGTCCGTTTCAAAAGTTTAAGCCGCTTTTTTTAGGTATACAGACTGGGTCCGATTGTTAATCTTTTTCGAAGTATCCCGTTTTATCGGCGCCACAAAATTTCTCATGTGGAGCCATTCGGTTTCGACAGATGTGCGACGGGTTCTCGATCATTATGCTGATACTGTAATGCCTAAATTGCACTCAAATTCACCCTTTTAAGGGCATTCTCACACTGATCCCATGGACGTTAATGCCGCGCTCTTCACGAACCGATCCGAATCTCTCGGTCTACCGTATCTCTCATAGTATGGCACACCTCGAATGCACTTTACTCGCCGATACTACTGTAGCCTCACTAAATGATGTTGATGAATTTATTATTAATAGGTATCAGTTTTTATTCTATTTTATCGTAGGTTTCAGGGCTAATGGAAATTCGTCGGACGCTACGTTTCGATATTTCAATTCTATATTTGACAAAAATACCCGAGTAAAAGCTGTAAATTTGAGACATCACGAACTAGCGGTTGGTTAAGGAGAAATTAAATTATAATATTCGATATTAAGTTTTCAAATCCACTAGAGATACGGTCAAATACCTATTCCCTCAAGGGACTAGACGACATGGCTATCTATGAACATCGTGGGCCTGGAAAAGTACGTTTCAAATGTCCGTTAAAAAGCAAAAAGCGTCTTTAGCTATATAATATAACAAGTATTTTTAGAATATATTCCACCCAAAATACGTCGAACTCCTGACGACACATCAACTCCGAAAATTCTTCTCACCTTCCTTCAAAACAAAATTTGTAAAAACTATTTTAAAAGCAGAACAGAGTAAATTTAGGTGGATGAACGATCAGCCCTACTCCTCCATTCTCGATACAATTTCGGCAAAAAGAAAGGGAAGAAGCTGGCGTTTGAGAACCCAGTCTTCACACAAACTGCAAAATTGAAAGAACGGTACCCTGTGCCTTCAATTTAATTCCGTTTTTTAGGATCGAAGCCAAAATCGAGGCCATTTTTGGAGCTGAAGTCCCGAAATATTCGAGTGAGGCGAGCCAAGTAATGGGGAGATGTTTGCAGAAGTAAGATTTTTTGCGTTCTTAATTAAAAGACAGAAAAATAAATGTGACTAGTACGTTAGGTGCGTTCAAACAAGTATATAATTTAACGACAGTTTTTGGTTAGCCGAACTGGTGACGTTCTAGGCTAACAAAAGATAAAAAACCCTTAAAATTTTCGTTAGCATTTTATTAGTTTTTAGGGTGTAAAAACGACGGTCAATGGTATTTTTGATGGATGGTGTTCCGAAGGAAAGGGATTGTGTGGGGGATCTTTTCGGGGACCACCCTGAAGAATCTTGGAGGTGGTCCCGGCGCGCTGCCTGGGAGGTCCCCGGAAAACCAGGAATACATTCATTTATGCCCAAATGATCCTTATAATAGTTACCAAGTTTTTAAAATTAAGTTAGACTCATCGAAGTAAATCTGTGATGTTTATGGCCTGGCAAAAATTGAAAAATCAAAATTTTTCTCTCCGCCAGGTCCTTGTCAGGAATTAGAAAAAAAAGCATATTTTAATATTTTTATTTCTTTAACCCGCTTTTTCAGTTGGCGACGCAGCAAGTACAAATGCAAAATCCCGATCCACGGATGCTGGTCCGAAATGACGGCTCTCGGATATGAATGGGATTTTGCGAAGTCCACCAATGACACGGTCGGATATACTGTCTTATGAACTCCTTGAATCCGTCTTGTCTTCTTTTCCCTACTTTCTTTAATCCCGGTGTTCCCCTTCCTTTCTCGCCGTCTCTTACGGGTTGCCTTTTTCTCCGGTTTCATTCAGGCACAGAATAAATTAATGCGTTCCGGTCAATGGGTGTGTCCTCACGTGCAAAATTATTCTTTTTGATTGAAAAAGGGGGAATCACGAATTACGTTGTAATCAAGAATGTTATTTTTGTTTTGATCAATTCGTTTCTAAAAAAGCTTTCAGGGTAATAGGAAGTCATTTTGTCATATTTTTCGTTAATAGGTAATAGGAAAATAAGTAATTAATGCTTGTCATTTTAGCTGGTTATCACCATACCTTGTTTCATATGCAACGTCTCTACGCAAAAGTACTGTAGCAAGCTCTGTAGCGCCTTCAAAGCTCAGCAAAGTCACGTTAGGGCCCTTCCGGCTCCTTCAAAGCTAAGTTACGGTAATTTACGATGGGATCACCATCTCTCACTTCACGGTATCCCCTAGATTTTCAAGAAAAATTAATAACCCAATTAAGCTAATTAGCCTGTTTTCAACGTGAATGCCGTATCCAGACCTTTAAAAATTGTTAGAAAGTCAGATTTTGCGTTTCCCGGAGCCCCTAAGCCCTGGAAGCTGCCCTAAAACCTCCAATCCTCACCTCCAAACCCAAAAACTCAAAGCTTCTCCCATGGATTTTCATAGAATTTGATGCCCGAATGAACGGACGGGGATAAATAAGATACGGTGGGCGGTTGCGGGCAGTCGGGATTTGTGTGAAATCGATGGTGGTGGTGGCTGAGACGCCACATCCACGGGCACCACTCCGCTGTTCAGGAGATAATCCGCTGGGATGAGCCCGTATAGGAGAAGAAGGGCCCAACCCCCCCCCCCCCCATGGGTCCCCCCCTGTTGGCCCCTCCTCGATGGGCCCTTCTCTTTGGGCCTCAACGGGTAATTTCATTGGGCCCCGCCGCGCTCGCTTCGTTGTCATATCAACTCACCTCTGGATGCGGAGGAAGGGCGGGACACTCCGCCACACATCCATCCACGGCAAATGACTTCTTTATTCTTGACATTAATGCAATTTGTGCACGGATAATTAGGGGTTTGCTGGCTTGGTATTGCTTTGTTATTATATAGACTTGGTTTTTGCTATTTCGACGTGAAAGCGTATTCAGGAGGGTTTTTAAGGTCTGTTTCGGCAGGCTGTCGCGCTGACACTCTCTCTCACGCTGTCTCCCTCATTCTCATTTACTCACGCTCTCTCGCACTCTCGCGCTCTCTCACTCTCTCGATGTTATTAACACTCATTCTCTCTCGCTCTCTCATTCACTCTCTCACTCATTCTCATTCCTTCACCTTCTCTCACGCTCCCTCTACCTGTCTCACTCTCTCCTTCTCTCTCTCTTTCTCTCTCTCTCTCTCTCTCTCTCTCTCTCTCTCTCTCTCTCTCTCTCGCTCTTTCTGCCTACCTCTCTTTACTCACACTCATTCGCACTCATTCTCAGTCTCTCTCACTAATTATCACTCACTCCCACTATTTATCTCTCGCTTTCCCTCTCTCGCTCTCGCTCTCTCCCACTCGATCCCACACTCCCCGGCATTTTCTAACCCCTTTAAACCCAAACCCTGTTCGCCAAAAAATTTTCGCTCCCAAAACGAGCGGATTTTAAGGGAGCCGGAGCCAGATTAGAGAGGCCCCTGCCCGAGGTGAGAGCCTTCAGAGGGGAATTGCATCGACTAGAGCCACAAAGCTACCTACTTCCCCTCTGATTAATCTAATCCCTCCCCTCCCCTCTCTTCACCCTCCCGAGAATCGGCTCCCAAGAATCCATATTGTTTTACTGCTTTCCCGTCTTTTCGCTCGGCTAGAATCGACGGTGTAAAATTAGTCGACGTTACCGATCCCGACCGAAAACCATATATTTCCAAGCCTCCTTGATTCCTCTCGAATTCAATTTCAAACCCTCTCCTCCTTTCAGGATAATTTAACACCCCCTCAATTACCCCCGCTCTTCGAAGGACCACAAAATTTATGTCGGGTTCGAACCGGCTGCAGGTGCAACGCGCTGCCCCACAATCAGAAAGCTCAGAACAGGTCATCTACATGATCATCTACGGATCAACAATCCACATTCAGACACAAGACGATCCGCCGGCACGCTTCAAGTTCAATCCTGAGCGCCAGTTTTACTTGCTCAAGCTTATTTTTGGACTGTTATGCATCGTGGACATTACGCATTGGGGATACTTGCTCAGGTGGGGAGCAAGAGATTGAAATTACGGTAAATTATTTAGAGATGACAACGAGAACGACCCAAATACTTGGAAATTCTACATTCGCGTCGACCATGCAGAAATTTATTATTTGGTGGGTGTTGATAGACTGTTTTAAGGAAGGCTTTTGTAAACCTACCGTAATTCCTCTCATATAAGCGGGTGCAGTGTTTTTCAAAGGCTTTGTTTTTCGCTCGACCGGAAGAAATAGCGAAATTCGAGCCTAATATGGATCGAATTTGACGAATTTTTCTTTTTGATTATGACCCTAAACTGCCTAAAAATTTTAATAAAGCGAGGTAGGTATACCACTGTAAATGCTTACCGTAAAATCAAATGTATCAAATCATGTCACATTTAGATCGCACGGATATTTGGCGACATTTTCGTCTGCGTTCTCGGCCTCGGCGCAGCGATGTGGACACGAAAAACCGTGCTTACGGCGCCATGCATCGTTGTCCAGCTCATTTTTGTAGTCTACAGGTTAGTATGATATTAGGTATACACTTATTTGATCGATCAACGGCGATTTAATCCGCTCGTTAAAAAAAACGCCTAAAACAACGATTCAGGTCAATTGTTTGGCCGATTCGACACTTCAAAGGCGTTCTGCACGACAAGCTCAAAACGCACCCAGCTCGAACGGAGGATATTGTATGGAGACTTTATGGTTTGGCCTGAACACGGTTGTTATAGGCATTCATCATGTGCGAATTTATGCTGCCTATGGCTTGGGGACTGTTGTCGGTGTTAATCGTCAGAACAATGCGGGTGCTCAGGTAAGCAGGGCCGAGAAAAACGTCGAAAAATATCGAAAATCTTTTTTAACCTTTTGCCATGGAGCTGTTATGTCTGTGTCCAAAATCGACTCATCCCATTCTGTCGATCATATCGATTTTCAGACAATATGAACAGTTGAATGGCTATGCTCATCCTCCAGTCATTGTCCTCACCGTGAAGAATGAAGAAAACGACGAGAGCGTCCAAATTGAACTAGCTTAATTTTTGAAACCTTTCGTCACATGAAACGCTACCAGCGCCCGCGCAAAATCTGTAGTCTAAAAATGCTCATTGTGCACAGTGGGACGGCACTGTTCATTAAAATTGCTTCGCTAGAAAAAAAACATTGTTTTACAATGACGGTGATTACATTTTCGAATCAAGACAAACCGATCGCTTTCCACCGAATTTCTCCTTCTATTCGTTGTAATTGGCTAACTGCTTTACGGGTCTTCGCTGGCGAAGCATGGCTGATTGGCCGTAAAAACCAAGCGTCTTCGGACAATGAGTTTTCTTCGAGCCAATTTACCAAATTCGAATCCGTTTATCCGTCGTACACGTGCAATAAAGTGTGCTTGAAAACAATTCGAAAACGTACAATTTGTTGAAACGGCAGGCTAAAACAATCTCTACGAGTACGAGTAATTCACAATGCGAGTAAGTTAGAAAGTTCAGAGGACCCTGTCAACGGGAGAAATTAATACAAACAAGCGAGTCGAAATCAATATATAATAATGCTAGGCGACTAGAATGGATGATAGGTCGGGCCGGAAGGGAATAGAGGACCAACGGAAAGGAACAAAAACCTCGCCTCTTAGGCCCTGAAAACGGGCCGTTTCTAGGAAATGTCGTAAATTGGAAAGCATCACAAAGTACCTCGCATTGAATTCTTCATCGCTATTACTCCGGGGTTAGTAGGCCAGTGGGGGGGTCAAGGGGGGAAAGGTCTTTTTAAACGAAAACGAACGAGTGTCATACCGCTTTGGTAATCACAAACAGATATTAAATAGATACACATTAACTAAAATACACATAGGTACCTAGGTTGATTGGCCGATGCGGGTCCCGTTCCGCAACGTGTCGCACTTGTCGAAGAATTTCCTGCAAAAATGTTTACTTGGCATAAATCGAAATGCTTTACCTGACATGCTTTGGCAGTTCGTCGGCCAGATAGATGAATTTGTGCTTGAATTCACGATGCGAAGGGAACTCCAGGTATTCCACATCACGCTTGGCGGCTCGGGCAGCATCCTAAAGTAAATGATTAACCAAATAGACGGCCTTTGTGTAATAAGCATTTTGAGCATTGAAATACATTGATCCGCTTCAGTAAAGCGCTCACCCGTAGCATACGGCCTAGCTTCACCGGTATCACGTGGTCATCCTCGGCATGTATTATGTAGATCGGGCAGGTGATGCTGAAAAGAAGCAATTGGTTCGGAAATTCATTCAATACCACAGATTGCCAGCGGCTGGCTCCAACAAGGACACCACTTGATCAGAAAAACTTACTCCACAATTCTCAAGTCGCTATCCATGTTGAGGCCGACCGATCGGAGCGGGTTCAGGATCAGCAGATTCACCAAAGAGTCGGGCATCCAACGGATCGGCTGAAAGTAACACTTTTGAAAGGTATTTCAGGTAGAATCAAACTTTTACCAAATATCGTCAAAATAGAGCGACACGCAAGAATGAAAAAATACCAAGCTGAAGGGGTGGTTCATCACCGCATCGTGAAGATTGTTGAATGGCGATTCAAGGACGAGACCGTGTGGTGCCTTGCCCTCCTTCGACAAATCCTGGACCAACCTCGTCGACACACTGAAATGATCAATATTTCAGAGAAATGAGAAACGCAGAAAGGCAAATTATTCTAAAAATGTACCCAGTGCCCATTGAATGCCCCCAGATGATGAGCAAATTGTCGCCGATGCGGGGCAAGAGCCATTCGTAGACGAGCCGTGAATCCGCCACAATGCCGTCTTCCGTTGGCGAACCCTCACTGTCGCCATAACCTTAAAAAGTAAAAGCATTGTTAAAAGTCAAGTGCTACGATACCTCGATAATCGAATGCTATGACGTGGTAGTCCATGTTGTTGAGAACATTGTAGAGCTGACAACGGTGATCGATTGTCCTGAAAAAAAACTAAAATGTAAAAAAAAACATTCAACAAACCGATCAAAGGAATTGCCATGTGCGTAGAGAACGACAGGAAACTTCATCCGGGCCAGCGATTCCTCCATATCAGCATCGGATGGCACGATACCCTTCTGCTTGAACGAATCGGTCAACGACTTCGGCCAAGTGTGCCTAGAATAAAGTTTTAATCATTGTAAAAACACCAAGCTACTCTATCCATAAAATAAACGTACCAGACGCCAAGTTTTCCCTGCTCTCCTTGTAAGTAGAAGCTGCGACCAGTGTTGAGGACGTTGTTCGAAGAAACATTTTCATAGTCAGTCATCGGGATCTTCCCTGAAAAAAAACAAGAAAGTGAGTACAGAGTTGACGACCATCGCAACAAATCCTGAAAGCTAAAACCTACGAAAGTTGAGGAAGAAAATGTGCTGCATGTGGTTGGGGAAGAGGAAGATGAGCAACGGCAGGCAGACGAATAGGAGGAAGAACGGGATCGCCGCAAGGGCCAACGAGATGTGTAGTAATCTGAAATGGAAAGATTAACGCAATAACGTAAACGCTTCAGGGAACTTATTGATGGTGAACCCGTTTCAAAAGGTTTTATCGCGCGACGCCTAGCTAATCAAGCGCTATGCCTAGCGTGTGAAAATCTGCATAGTAGCAGGAGATTTGGCTTGCCCGTCAAGATGGGATCTGGGGCGAATTAGATTAGCGAGAAAAGATACTTGCAGCAGCGGCTTCTCCTTGACCACATCACCGAAAGAAAAGATCTAAGGGATCCAAGGGGTTGACCCGTTTCCACCCCCAACGCCCAGTCTGCTCGGACGAGTTTTGTCCGGCAAAACACCCTCGCCCATATACACGCATTTGGGCTGCGATCCCAGCCCGTTCGGGCATTTCCCGGGGCAAAGATTTTATGAATCCCCATTGGTGTTTAGCGAGCTTTCCTAGTCCGAGAACCTATGCGACAGACTAAATCAAGAAAGAAGCTTACGGGAAATTCTTTTTCTTAGATAAGACCGAATACGGCTAACCCCCGGTGAACCGTCGATAAGCGCCACTATGCAAAAAGGCAAAGGTTTTGTTCTGAGCACAGAAAAGTAGAACCCAGCAGGAAGCAAACGCGCAAGACTAAACGGCAGATTTGCCACCCACGAGGCGCTTTTCCAAATTGGCGAGATAATTAGAGTGCTAAAATTAAGTACAAACCTCTAGGCAACGCAGAAACAAGGATTTTTTTTATCGATATGAAAACAGAGCGGAAATTCGAAAACGCTCTGAAATTTTTCCGATGGCTCCTATGCGCGGCAATAGGTGTCAAACGTAATATTGCTCGAATATTTCAAAATTTTGTTCGCGCTTACTATTTATAAAATTGTTTAAATTAAAACTCGTTAGAAAAAGTACCCACATTGCAACCAGTATCGGGCGCATTTGGGAGGCAAGCGAACGGCAGGGATAGGAGCCAAAATTTGACCTCATACTTCGCCTTTTCGCGGTATTTCCGGGTATGCTAATTGATCGATTCGTAAATCAGTTTAAAATGTTGGGTCTCTAAGAAGATTTTGTGAAAGTAGAGGGTGGCGGTTAGGGAAAGAAGAAAGATGAAAGCTTTGGCTCCTTCCGAAGAACCCGAGCGCGCCTAAAGTCGATCCAAGCAATTTATCTACCCGTAACGAGTCATGCATGGGAGGCCAAGCTTAAGCTATTCGGTGCCTTTTCTCCAGCACGACGTTGCCGTTTCTTTTTAGTGCTGGGGCACAGTGGGAATTGGAAACTGGGGATGGGGGCCCGAGTGGCCTACTAATTAGGGTGATGGGTTTGGTCCCAAGTGACCAACTTGCCACATGAGGTCATTTCGGAAATTTTTTGCAAATTCAGTTAGAGAACCAATTTTTTTCCTGGCGGTCCCGGGTGACCTAGTAATCAAATATAAAGTGTTTTCGAATTGTTTTTAGTAAGTTTTAACTGTAATTAAAGCAGAATAACTTTCAGAAAAATTTAGAAAAATGTTTGAAAAAGTCGAAAATTTGGTCATTTTGGGTCTTTCCCCCCCGCGAATCCTAAAGGTTCTATAGGATTGTTCGACCTAATTTTTATTTTTATTATTTTTTTTTGGTTAAAATGTGTGTAGTTTTTATGCTCAGGAATAGTTAAAAACAATTTAGAAACGCATCCGCAATTTATAAAAAAATCTAGGCTTGTGCCGAAAAAAAATTTGGTTTCCCCCGGGAATACTTCCCCCCGCGAATCCTAAAGAACCATTTAATTTTATACGCTCAAAAGTTTAAGTCTAAGTTTCGTTACATCAAACTGATACGATTGATTTATCTTAAACTGAGCCGGAAGTTATTTGGATCACTTGGGCCTTGCCAAAATTTTACGTTTTAGCCGAAAGCACTTAGAGCGGTGCCGACGTTTAAAAGATTTTTCCTTTCGCTAAACGGTGAGTAACTTACAAGGAGTGGTTTTTGAGTGTCATTGGCAAATCCCTTTGTGACCTATCTCATTCGATAGAGAATTGAATTCTGAACAACCACTCGTTGTTCATTTTTGCAAAACGGCTCTCCCTGATTTTATAAAATTAAAAAACTAAAAATTGAATTTTAAGTACCCCGTCAGGTGCGGCCAGCCTACGGGATTGCCCCTAGGAGATGAGTTCTCTCCGCCTCCCCTTCTCACCATGGGTCGTGGCCTAGTGGTTAAGGCTTCCGCCTTCAAAAATTTTTTGCATGATTGTGGAAAGTTCGATTCCTTGGTAGAAAATTTGTTTTGCTTTTTGTTAATAACAGCGTTTGCAGGCGCTTAAATAAGTTAATTGATTCAAAATAATACTGATTACAACGTTGGCTGCTCTGCGCGCTTCAGGAAAATTTACAAAAAAAACAAATATTATGCTCCAGGTTAGTGTGAGTTCTCTCAATTTGAAGTACAACCTGTTTAAAAATACTGGGGCCACTTATAATACAAAAAAGCAAAACAAATTACATCTACAAGAACCGAACTTGCAACAGATGGAAAAATAAATTTTGGAAGGCAGCCGCGTTAGCCACTGCGCCACTTCTGATGGTGAGGGGGTCGCGCTTAAAGCCTCTTCCCCTAGAGCTGGCCCCCATGATTTTGATGCGACGAACCGACCGTTAGCCAAAATTCCATTAAAAGTTTTTTAATTTTATAAAATCAGGGAAAGGCGTTTTGCAAAAATGAACATCGAGAGGTTGTTCAGAATTCAATTCTCTAGCGAATGAGCTAGGTCGCGAAGGGATTTGCCAATGACACTCAAAAACCACTCCTTGTTAGTCGAAATAAGCAGAAAGCTCTCAAAATAAATCTCAGACCTAACCAATTACCTCGAAAATCATCGTTTAAGCTGGTCAACAAAATCCGTACGTCAAACCGCAACTTACGCATAGATAAATAGAGCGACGCATATCACTACAGCTACAATAACAGTGGTTAGCATGTGTAGGGCTCCCGTCTATCCCGTGCGACCTCTCCGGCGCTTCCGGCGATCGTCTGATTGGCGGGTAAATGGAATTTAGCGATAATAGAGTGAGTGTCTGGGGCGGTGGGTACCGGGCGAGAAGAGGCTCGGATGGGGGGAACCGTGTACGACACACAATAAATGACGCCTTGGTGGCCGGCTGGCGCTCTTTTGTCATGACGCAGACGGGCACATGAGAGTGTTGGGAACAAATGATAGTAGGAGGCAGGCCCTTTCGAGAAATTTGTCAACGGCATAATGTCCTATGAAATAAAAAAATAGTGTATATCGAAATGATTAAAGGAATTAGAAAGGCAGAAGTGAAGATAAATCCTGGCCTAGGCGGGTTTCGGTACGTTAGAAAGAAATACTATGCAAAACTTTCCCCGAATCGGAATTCCTTTTCTAAAATTGCGAAACCCTTTCGATATAACAAAATAACACTGTTTTTTTGCATTCAGATCGCTGCATATTCCCGACTTTACATATTTCTAAAAATCTAATTAAATAATTTTGGGGAAAAGGGCTATTTCCTGGGCTAGCAAAAACTGCTCCGAGGTGTTACCTCACGAACCTTAATTCCAAATTCGGAAAATTTCGAAAATTCGCAACCTAGGGTATGGAAAAAGACACCAGACCTTAAACCCTCAAAACTAACCTTCTCAAGCAAATTTTTCCCCTCGTCGCGGCGATACGCCAGGGATCTTCTGCATCGAGAACCTTCTCGTTTTCCTGAAGTAGTCCATATATTTCCGGGTCCCTGAAGAGGTGCTCGTCGCAAATCTTCTCGCAGTGCCCCGCACCCATCGCTGAAATCGGAAAATGACGTTTACAAAACCCAACAAACGAGAGCTTAAACTCTGCTTTAGAATGGATTAAGACATAGAATTAACAATAGGAAAAAGGCTGGACACGTGTAATGTTGCTGAAGCCAAAGTATCGCGGATAGTTCAGTCGGTTAGTTGTCATCAATCTACCCCCAGCCGAGGCCCCACTTTTTTTCAACGAATGCTGCCAGGCTCTAATCTCCAAAAAAACGGAGGCGACGCTGATAAACGGCTCCAAAAATACTCCAAGAACGGGGCAAAAAAGAAGGAACAGGGGTGGGTGCGTTGATTATAACGCGGAACTTGAGAGGCATAGCGACTAAATATGGCCATTCCGGTTGGCAAGGAGGTTGTTGGGAAGGCGGAGAAGATGCAAAAAAGGCTGGGCGGGCCTCGGGCAACTCCTTTTCTTCGTAGACTCTTTGCCTGGATAGCGGAAGGCGAAGCCATGCTTGGAAAGAGGTCGACGGGCAAAGACCAAAATACCAACCAGCTCAATAATATTGAAATCAAAGACGAAAGGAGTTGGCAGCTGAAAAAAAGAACTAACTTGCACGAAAGACATAGCGGATATCCCTCATTAATGCGCCTGAAGGTTAAAGGGCAACTTCTGAACACCACTGCCTCTCCTTTCTAAGCCCCTTTAAATCGAGACTTTAGACCCGCAATGTGAGCCATAAGGAAAAGAACAACAACAAAATCGCCTGCGAAACGATTCGAAGCAACAATTCCGCGCCAAGACATGCCCGGTTATCATGTAGGGAGGGCCCTTCACCGGCCGATGATGCGGTCAGGCGTTTAGGAAGTGGGTAAATAAAAAGGAGGATGAGGCAACGGCTAGCGCGAAAAAGCGGGGGCTTGTGTATCTTGGCAATTCTTGCAACCCGGGGAAGATGGTGGTCGGAAAATTGACGTGTGGACTGGGGAGGAGGTTCTGATGCATATTCGGACGGGGGTTGAAGTCCAGCGGGGTATCAATCCAAGGCCGTTCTTCCTGTTCCAAAAAAAAGGAAGGGCTGGTGGTACCGGGTGCGAGCTATACAGCATTGCGAATCGTGGGTCGAAGTACGCCATGAATTTGGCGAATCGAAGGAAGATGTTGGGGAAACATTATCGGGGAAGCTAGGCTATGACACGGACGGGAGCCAGCACAGGCGACGACGATACGATATGGGCTGTTTGAACGATTAGCAATGGACAACCTATTATGATAGTTCTATTAACTTATAGTTTTATAGTTCTATTAGTGAGTCGAAATCCAAGCGGAAATTGTGAAATGAGGGTGTTGCGCGATAAATGGCATGGCTGGTTGACAGGATCGGGGATACGGGATGAATGATGCGCCGGAAGCAGTGTCGACATATTAGGAACAAGAAATAGCAGCCAATCGGTCGAGGAGGGGGAGGGTTGGGTCGCTGATCGCTCACCACTCCAACTTGCCCAGCGGCACACAACAGGGGAGAGCTCACCGGCTGATCTGTGAAACGCGCTGCCCTTTTTGATAAGGCACCGCACATGGTGAGTGATGCGATGAGGATACCCCCCTTCCGGTGGTTGATGCTATTTATAAATCAGTGGCAACCAAGCATGCCAAGTTGTGCGAAGTTCATATACTTTTTTCCGAACCAAACCTGCACAGTTAACCACGGAGCCTAAAACCCGTACCCATTCATGTACTCCGCTTTTTATATTTCTATGCACAAAGCTAAAGAAACTTTTTTATTAAACACATGTAAAGTACCGGTAAAAAGGGTAGATAACCGGGTCTCATCCCGATCTGTTTCCGAGAGGCATATTACAGGGTAAACGGGTGAATAGGGTACAAACACAGACAAACACAAAGAAAGTAATCAAGGCACCACCATATGTGCTTTCACAAAAATGCTATTCTCCTAAACGAAATTATTAGATCCCATCGGGGCAAATCCTTTGCACATTCTTCTCGATGGCCTTGTGGAGTTCACGCAGCTCCGCGTTTCCATGAATGAAGTTGAAGACCTCGGACAACTGGGGGTGGCGGCTCGCATCAGGCATCTCCTGAAAAGTCATAAGAAACAGAACGATCTATATCATCGTCAATATTTCATGAATAGAGGTCCTAAGGCAGCTGTAATGCAAGAGTAAAATAACGCCACCTTCAGTGCCATCAGCGTACGAATAGCAGACCGTCGGAGCTCCTCGTGCTTGTCAAGTTCTTGCTTCACGGCATTCACCTTGCTTTTCAGCGCCAATTGGGCCTAAAATAAAGTTGTTTGGAACTTGAATTTTCAGAATACCTTGATGTGTTCACAGATACGATCCAGTCGTTGCAATACATGGGTAGGGGTCAGGGTCGAGAGCTTGATCAAAGTAAGATAGGTGAGCAGGCGGATATCGTGAGCATCCTAAACATGTTCAATTATAATAAATGCTAACAAACCTTCATCCCTTCTTCCATATAATTGATCACTTCAAAAATGTCGAGTTTGTCGGTGCAGGTGCCCAAGATTGTGTACAAACTGAAGCAACGTAGATTGAGCGCGTCAAACCAAAACGCACCATTCGAAGGCAGCCTTTCGCAAGTCTAAACCCTCATCGACTAGATGCTTGAATGGGCCCATCTCGACCTCGACGATCAATTCTTTGCGAATCTTGGTCTCCGTGTAGACTTTTGGCAGGACTGCGGCCAGATGGGCACGAATCTGAACTAATACGTCAAAAACCCGCACAAAACATACCAGTGAGCGCTTATTGTGCGCGGCAGAGTTTAGGGCAATTAAAGCAAGGCGACGCACATCCAAATCGGGATCGGATAGGATCGTAACGAAGTCCGGCATGATCTAAAGGATGATGAATGAAGAAACGACCAGTCCTCACCACTTGGAGATGAGTATCAATCGACTGTCGCTCGGGCGAAATCATGTATTTGATTGCAGTGGCTACAACGGCACGCACATTGGCAGATTCGGCATGCAGGTGGACCTGAAAATGAATTTTGAAAATTCACCTCGCAATGGAAACTGCGCGGAATAACGGCAAATGCATACCTTCAAATCTTTGAGGAGGGAGGGCTCCAGAATGCACAACTTTCCAATACATTCCGCGACAATATTCCTTGTGCTCTCCTCATTAGCCTCAGCGTGCTCAAAAAGTACCGGCCAAATCTAAAAACCATGTAAGCCAACCTAGTCCACACCAACCTTTGGAATGTACTGCTGGAAGCCATCTCGCGAACTTTTCGATTGAGTCTCGCAGAGAATAATCTAGATAAAAGTCAGTGAAATCAAATATTTTACTACCTCCTTGATTGAATGCAACAATAGATATTGGCGGTTGCTTTCCTGCATTTGAGTGAGGATAAAAGGCAGGAACTTCGGGAGATTTCCAACCTAAAATGAGACTAACTCTCGAGAAGCGTTACTCACCGCCATGCCACCAAGAGCATTCGAAGCGGCGTTCTTCAAGTCTTCATTCTGCGACTTGAACGCTTCCATAATTAGAACCTCGACTCTCAAAATGTGTTTTTATTATGCTAGGAAACACCCGCTACCCAATAGCGTCAGAAGTGTAGATAGAACTGCATTGGCGCCCAAGTTCTCCCAGAGTCAGCAGCGAAAACAAGCGAATACCGTCGGTGGATGCACGGTTTCCAAGCTGCTCCCTCAGCTTCAAAGCCAAGTGAACCGCCTAAAAATCGACATTCGGCCCAAAGAATGATAGCTAAACCTTTTCTTCGTCGTGTGAAGCTGCCGCCACCGTGGCAGTTGTTGCAGAAATTGCACTGTAAGCTTGTCGTGGCAATTGAACGTTGTCGTATACCGGCGCTGTGATTTGGTCAAGCAGATCCTGAAAAAGACTGATTGTTTTTCAAGAACCTTCGAACCTCAAACTGCGGCTTTCCCGGAATCTCGTTTTCACAAAGCGCGCTGATCATCTCCAGTCCAGAATTCAGCAAAACACCCTAAACCAAGAAGGTTCCTTTTAGCAATTTAAACTAAATTACCTGGAGATAAGCCGATTTCAACAGGGCGCCATACTTGCTGATAGCTTGAGTGATGTAAGGCGTTGTCGATCGCGGACACTTTGCGAACGCCACTAGAGGTTCATTTCACCGAATATATGAAAAAAAACCGACAGGCCAAGCACTTGAAGGAGTTTTGGGTAACAAGCAAATCGTCGTCTTCCATTGCGTTAACGACTTCATGGAGAACGGTCGTCATCACATCATCAGCCAGCATTGAATCATCGAAACGGACGAGAATGCTGCCCAGCAACTTCAGGCTAGCGATCTAAATCTAAATTAGGCAACCAAAAAAGTTTCACCTTCAAAGCACGGATATTTTTGCGGAGGAATTCGGCAAGAAGTGGTAGCAGGCTTGAGAACATCGAGCTGGGGAAGGTGATGTTGAGAAGCGACTGAACGACGGCGTCCAAAGAACGAAGGGCATAGATACGAGTCAACTCGTTACGGCAACGATCGACCAACACTTCTAGCAAATCCGGGATCTATTAATAACTTTTATAAGCTAGAAACTTTGCGAAGTACCAGCTCCGGGATAGCATCGCCACATTGCGAAATAAATAGTCCAGCAGCGATGATGGCTCTCTCCTTCACCTCCTGGTCAAGATCGGAGGCTTTGATGCGCGGATAGGTAGCATGGGAGAGCTGACTGATCAACATGTTGTCAGAGTGGTCAGCCATCAACGGTATCAGCTGGTCGAGAACGCCGAGCGCCTCGGACGTGACCTAGAGTTCCGTTACAAAGGTCGGATCGAGTCCAAAGTGTACCTTGTAGAAACTATCTTCGATCCCATTAATGACAATCCGTGTGATGGTGGGCAGATGCGGAGCGATGAGAGCGGGAGGATGAGATTTGAAAGTTCTTAGCATGGGTTTTTTAAAAAAAAAGGAAATTACATCGACAAGAATTGGATTGCATCGATTTTCATTTGCGACGTCGTAGTTTTCTGCGCACACATCGTAGCAATTGGCTGCAGGACATTCACGAAATGCTCAGTGAGTGCCCCGGGAAGAGTCCTATAAATCGCACTTTGACGGAAAGCCGTAAAATTCACAATACCTCACAAGCGCGCTCAACAAGGCAAAACAATCCAGACGTGTGCGTGGGCTGCGGTGTTTCAGCAGCCTACCAACCGTCCTCACGATACCGGGAACCTGAGCGTACAAGGCTAAACAAATGTTTTAAAGTCCCCATCGAATTGCAACCTTTGATCAATTCAATTTGCTCGTCCGAAAGGGAGTCCGCAAGCCAGGCCGTTTTCCCAATCACGAGGCGGGCATCACCAAAATGCTGAAAAAAAACTGATGCTACTATAGCAAAAGCGTACCGCCAAACAATTCAACGGGCTCGGAATGAACGTTCCAATTTGACGAAGCAAAGTGACCGCAGCGCCAAAGATGTCAGTTCTATAAATGATTAAAGTCCTAATAGGATACCAACCGGACGTTTTCCTCGCGCTCCTTGAGACGGCCGATGAGAATCGGGGCGTAGGTGTTAATCGAATGAAGCATCCGCTCACGACGAGAACAAACCTGAAAACACGATAAGTATGAAAAATGGACGGATTTTCTCCTCTGACCCATATCTTAAAGTAGTAAAGCTAACCAATGCCTCAATGACCTTCGCAGCCGCGCGGCGGATTTTCCAGGACATATCGTCATCGTCGGAGATGTCTTCTTCCTCTTCATCGTCATCTGACCAGCAAAGTCGAGCGTAGAGAAACAAGCAAACCATTCGCTTCCATTTGGTCATCATCGTCATCGATAAAGTTAGGATCGTGAGCAATGTAAGTGATGCTCAACGATTCGAGCTCATCGATAAATGGTGCGATTTCTTCGGGGCAGCGCAAGATGAACACTTCGAAGCACTAAAACCGTGACGAAGTCAGGTCAATGTTTACCTGCAGTACAGCTTCTTTCAAATCGTCATCATCGGAAGCACGGCAAGCCTTTAGCAAGGTAGGAACCACCTAAAACGTCGTAGTGTTGCCATAGGGAATACCTCGGGAATGTATTTAGCAAAGCGAACAGCGCTAGCCTTTGTCACATAGGCAATCGAAGTCGCCATACCCCTCACCACAGATTCATTGCCGGTGTTTTGCAACCTAAAGAAATGTAATAACGATTCGAATTTGTACCGTTCAAAAAGAACTGCGCAAATCTCGTCGAAGATGGTTGGATTGCACGAAGCAGTGAGATTACCGAGGGCAATAATAGCCCGTTTCCGAATGGCTGGTCGCTCCGAGCTGAGGATGGTCAGCAACACGTCGCGGATCTGAAAAATAGAATCTCGCGAGAACCGCAAAATACCTGAGAATGATGTTCCGTAATGGTTTGACCGAATCGTAGCAAGATATCCCCCAGGACTTCAAGCATCTCCATACGGATGGGCGAATCGACGTTGTCCTGGTCTGAGCCAAAATTGAAAAGGTTGAAAACCGCCCTACTGAGAAAATTGGCGAGCTGCGGAGTAATCCTGCGCACCATACCAACGGCACCGATACGATCGGTGTGCAGCTCGGTAACGACCGTCTGAACGGCTTTAAATACTCCGGCGTAAAAAAATACCTTTAAGGCGACCGAAGAGACATCCCGGACATCAGGTTTATTCGACGCCAAGTTTTGACACAATGCATCAGCAACCGTTTCCGCCTAAAAAGGATGCTAGTTAGCCAAAAACCTCGGTTCTACCTGAGGATCTCGACAACGCTGCACAAGGACACCAAGGCATCGGACAGCCAAGTTTTGTACCTCGCCACTACGGTCTTCTAGCAGCTTGAGAAGCTTGCGGACCACCTGCGACAATAAATTACAGTAATTGTGAATACTCCTGACGATATATTCAGGCTAATGTTCTGAATAAATACCTTAATTTCTGCATCTTCGTCGAGTCGGGCTATAGTCTTGTTCAGTTCTCCCATCAAATCGCTGATGGCCATGAAGCGAAAGTCCTAAAATGTCGAGATGTATGATAGACCTCATCCAAAGTCGTCTAGCGTTCGAAGTCCAACAGTTACGGGGCTTTATAGGCTTATTTCCAAGAAATCATCAAAACTTGCCTTGTCAGGGGAGTCCATCTTCTCCAACCAGCCGGCGATTTGATATGCTTGAGAAGCCCCGGCCATTGCTGAAAACATCAGTGCTTACTTCACGTAGCTAAATAATGAAAATTTAGACCCTAACAAGTCGAGGAGTGGAGAAATAGAATCGAAGGACTTGCAAAAAAGTTGGGGAATGTTGACCGGTGACCAGGGGGACGAATGCTACTAAGAACGGAGAAAACCGCTGCCGCGACTATGAATAGATGCAAAAGGGGGCCGGAAGGGGCATTGATATCTACATCTGGATGGCATCAGAGGTCAAAATTAGTGGCAGTTTGTAAAGCTCGAGTCCAGGGAGCTGGGAGCCGAAAGAGCTCAGGGAGCTTCCGGAGGTATATTAAAGTATAATTGACATTAATTTTGGAGTATTATACTAGTATTAGTGCATTACTACAAGATTTAATAAGAATTACGACTTTTATAAAGTTATACTGCAAAACAGTCTTGGGCTCCCCGGGCTCCCTGGGCTCGAGCTTTACTAAATGCCAAAATTAGTAACCCTACTCTAGGATTTAGGAAGGGAATTTGCTACTACGAAATCAAGCTTTCACGCTTTGCAACGTAGTTATGCGGAATCAGCGTGAAAACTACACAAGAATAGGCTAAGGCTACGCTTGGCTTGGTTAGCTTAGGTCGGCAGAGCCTAAAAAATGGGTATCATCAAAATCAAAGTATCACAAAGACAGTCAATATATTTGAACGAAGATTGCATTAAAAGCAAGGTAACAATCAAACATACCGAAAAGCCCCGCCTGATGAAAGAGAAAACAGAATCGGCCAAACAAGGAGAGCGCGCTCACGCTCGAGCGTAAGCGTCGAGCCGGCCTGCACTAGAGGAGCGAGGGGTACGGTAGATCTGCCGCATAGTGCCAAATAGTTTGCAACTTTTCTCCCCCCTCTCCCCCCTCCTCATAGCCGACAATGGACCATGTTTACCAGTTACTTTATGGTTTGTAGGGGGATGTTGGGCATTTAATAAAGCTCGAGCCCAGGGATTCGGGAACCTAGGGAACTTCTGGCCAGACTGGAGATATACTAAAGTATCATTAACATTAATTTTGGTCTATTATGCTATTTTTAGCACATTACTACAACATTTTATGAAGTTTACGGCTTTCATAACCTTATACTGCAAAACTGTCTTGAGCTCCCTGGGCTGGAGCTTTACTAACTGCCGTGCTGTTGTGCTGATGAGCGCTTCAATTATAAAAGGGCGGAATTTTAACCAAATCGACGATTACTAAGCGTATCGACACTTTGGCCTTCACCTAGGCTCTCAGAAGCCCGAAAAACGGTCTTTTTCAGTTTTTCCAGGACTGACATCTAACACTCCGGCTTGTTTATGACCGGTCGAGGGCTCCTTTCAAAGGGACTACTGAACTTAAAGAGCTCCGAGACTCCTTTTTTATGTTTCTGTTTGCCTGTGAAATTTTTCTAGTTCAGAAGAAATCCGCTTTTTCATGGTTCTTTGAGTCATCAGTTTAATGTGAAGAAAGCGGGGGATCGCTGCGATTTATGGCTTCAAGTGCCGAGTCAGCCTTACGTTTTCGCCCTCTGCCAAGCCCATCTTTCAAACGGTTGGCCCTAATTCTTCTACCCCCGCATTTCCCCACCCTCCGCGATCTTGCTACCCCCCTACGGATTCCCACGTCTCGATTTACGCCGGGGTTTACGATTCGCCGCAGCTATACCCATTTTGACCTGGGGGCTTTGAGAAATGAACGGGGCCGTGTTGTTGATCTTGCCCCTATTTCTTGCCGTCGTATTTGCCGAAGATGAGACTTGTAAGTTGCTGTATTTTGGGGTTAGTTATTTACTCTATTGTTTTGCACCAGGTAATGTACTCCGCATCATCACAGGGCAAGTTACCGAGAACCAATTCTGCAATTTAAAAGATTTGCTGCGTGAACAAATGGCTGATGAGAAGGATGTGATAACGTTGGATTTACCGTAATATTTTATTTTATTTTATTTAGGGGGGGGGGGAACTTCTAATAGTGAGGGGTTTTATATTTGTCGGTTGATATTGATAATACAAATTTTGGGATTCGAACGCTTTCAGAGTGCGACCGAAGAAATATTCCGTGGAGTTGATTCGCGAAGAATTGGCGGGAAAGGCAGCCACGATTTGTAGGTTTTCTATTTCGGAAAATTTCGTATCTACGCCGTAGAAAAACGGTTTAACACGAAAAACGTGTTTTTTATGAATTTACGATTTAAGATTGTGATCCCAGCAATACGATCTGCCGGGCGGAGGGTCAGCGGATATGTGTGTGCCCGCCGACGTTCATCTGTGGTTCCGAGTTTGGAACTTCATTTCAACGGTGCAGCAAATTGTCATTTTTGGGGGCATAATTAAAGGAGTTTGCATGCTGCAATAAATGTTTTTCGTCTGAGAATATGGTAGTAGTGCTCTGAATAGATGTTCTGGTTCGTTGGCGCGGGGGGGATTTTTAGCAGTCGAAAGAATAACTTTTGCAATGTTACCATTTTGCACATTTTGACGTAAGATACTAACTGCTAATCGTGTTTTGCGCTCTTTTGGCCAGAAAAAAATCATTAAAAATGTAAAAATGTTCAGAAATGTTGGGGTTTTGGTAAAAAAAATGGAAGAAATGGTCAAAAATTTCAAAACTGTACTATAAATTATTGCGTTCAATCTGACCTACTGGTTTTGGTATCGTTCGAACCGCAGAATTTTACTCTACAATCCTTGGTACCGGGTTTTCGAAATTACGCTTTTTCTGGAAAAGTCACAAATCCTAAACTTTTAGGTTAGCGCTACACTCGCGCATACTGAGCAAGAAAAACATAGTCAACCCGGCTAGGGCCCGGTGGCCCGTATGAGATTTCCATTAATGGATGTGGGAAAGGGTGGCGTTTGGATGACAAGTTGACCCATTCATCCGATGGGCTAGGGGCACAATTTTTGGGCCCTCGCACAGAGGCGATTGCCCGGAAAACACGGCAATTTGTCAGCTGCCGGAATCTATTCATTCGCTTTCAATTCTCGCCCTTCACCATCCGGGCCCTCCTTTCGGAAAGGATGGCCTCCAGATGTCGATGTGATAAGGCGAAAAGCCGTTCAATTAATGTGAAGAGTCGTGGGGTGGGGGTACGGTAGCTTTGGCATTTCAAGGTCAGCAGGGCGTTACGGTATGATGGAGACTGGAGGCCGCTTTTATCGTTTAACCAGCCAAAAGTTCTGCTGATGTGAAAATGCTTTTTGTTTGTTGTCTGGAATGTAGGTTTTCGATGGCCTCGTCGATCGAACGGGCTCGTTTGGCCGCTTGTTGCTCCCTGGAAAAAAAGTAAGCATTAAAGTTACTTCTAGGCGGGAAACGAAATTTTTCAATTACCTCAACTGAAGACTCCGCCGCATTTCTTTCTTCGTAATGGTCGGCGGTAGGGCAACCATGTAGGCGCCACTTTTAGTGATTATCGGGCTAAATGATACCATAGGTATAGCATGCAATTCAAAAATACCTTTTTCGCATACAAACGGCACTCGGGGAAATTCGGAGGGCTGTGGGGAATGCGGGTTCCGGGATGGGTGCTGGTTCTGGAAAGTTAAAATTATATGCATTAAGCTTAAAAATGGAATGTTTATTGGAATTTAAATAATTCTCGATTTCTACAATTCATTTAAGGTGCTAGAAAGGGCGCGAATAGGTACTTTCGATCGACTAGGTGTTGACAGCTACGATATCGGCCGAAAGACACGCGTAATCGCCGATACTGAAATTTTGAGGCCTAGGGATTGTCAAAATGCACGTCAAGAGGCAATTTGAAGCTTTTTGTAGCCGTCTAGACCTAGTTGCTTGAAGGGGTCGGTTTTGGGACCCCTCGAGTATGATCCAAGGTCTTAATGTAAGTGATTGGAGATGTTTTTCGTAGCTGTCTAGACCTAGTTGAAGGGGTCGATTTTCGGACGACCAAAGGGTCAACCGAAGTCGGATTTCTAGTGGAAAGTAACTGTCTAGACCCAACCGACAGAATGGGTCGACGGTGGGACTTCCCAACCCCTTTAAAACAATTTCCCAATGGCTATGGAACCGAACGACTTGCCGGTGATCGGGGCCAATCGTTCAAATTCACCCCCCTGCATTCCCTAAGACCAAACATTCGGTGGGCCCCAAGTTGTGGTGTTGGGCCATAAATTGGGGCAACCGCACTCTCGATCAAGGAATGCTGGAAAGGGCCCCCAGACGGAGGACTAAAGGGCCCAAAGGGTGCCGCTGGCCACCGAATTGATGGCTCAAAGGGCGCCCCACAGTTTTTTGTCTGCAATTTTTCCCGGGCCTCATTTTACAGTTTTCGCGGCGTTCGCGATGGGGGGCACAACACCGGGTGGTCCCGGCAATTCAGTGGATGAGATTGATGGGTGGGAGAAGTGTAGAGGGGGAGTTAGATTACAAAATTTGATAGGGTCTGGATCCCTTGATTTAGATTATTTTGGGTTGTACCTGTTTCGAAGCCCGATTTATGGGACTTCTCTTATATATGCTCCAATTCACGGTTACGCGAGAGAGTTGAGCGTCCTTTCCAAGTTGAATTTTGGAAAACCATGGCAAAATATGAGTTGAAAAGTTTTGTGCCTTTTCGCGCAATTGTGCTGGTCCATGGAGGGTAAGCTTGAATAGCGCTATAAATAGGAAATTTCCGTGCCGCCATTTTTACAAGTTTCATAGTTATATCGTGACAAAAACGGCAAAATATTCAAGATCCAATTACCAAAGAATTACCAGAAAATCCCAAAGGCTCTCGTCAATTCCGTTATCTAAATTTCAAGGCTATGAAAAATGGAATAGAAGACCCCCTTAATAACCGATTACAGTACCCCCATCAAGGTTACTGAACTCATTTAACCCTACCGTACCCCCAATGGCCGTTTTCCATTCCTCCCCATCACAGCTGGTTGATGCCCAACATTCGGCACTACCGCCCTCACCTCCTCCAAAACGTGGCCATGCACGCCCTCCCAGGTAGCCGCCCGTTGATTGTATCGCCTCGTTTTCCCAAGGTGTCAAAATAAATGCGCCCGCCGGCGCCGCTGGCTAGCGATCAAAAGAGAAACGGCCACACACAGCCGGTTCCCACCACTTTCCACCAACACCCACATCGCAGTTTTTCACCCTGACAGCCCATTTTGGGGGCTTGAATGTTTTTTTTGAGGGTGCGTGCCAGCTTTTAATAGCTTTTAGTATAGCAGTATTTAGTTTTAGTTTTGGTAAGTATTTGCTTACTTTTCGTGGCTTTCGAGGAGGTCTGGGGTACGCGTGGTGCTTCTACCGTAACCACAGGGGTGGATGAGCTGGGAGAAGGGCCTGAAAAACATCATGTCGTGCGATAATATTCTTATGACTGGGCCAGTTAGTTGATGTGCCAAAAGTATACCAACATTTTATGGATGTAGGCGACACGGGTTGTTGATCCGTCGATTTAAGCTGGCGCTCAATTTGGTCCAAGGCGCGACGTTTTGTATTCAATGCGCATAGCGGGCAGCTAAAGATATTTTTATTAGCTTGAAATGACATTGGTGCTGAGACCCGAGCTAGCCGAAGTCAAGCCTAAGCCTAAGCCTAAGCCTAACCAATTGACTTTATTTTACGACCTCCCATTTCCACGTTGATAGCTTGAGCCTCCAAAAAAAGTTGGACACCGAGGTGTGAGAGAGGTTATATCGGTGTCAAGGTAGTTTTGGCCCTCTAAAGGGACCACGTATTCCTTTCCATCCTCTTCCCCCCCTACCGCACCCTCGAATTTATGACCGAATGGGTGGTGGAACAGCCGTCCTCGGCCATTCACCAGCCCTTTTGTCGTCGAAAAAAAGCCCCAGGCGAAACCTCATATTTATGGAGCATCGGATGAGGGTTAGAACGACGATCGTGGCGACCCAACAGCGGGGGGAGAAAGTCGGGCTGTCATTTTGGTAATTGGTCGAACGTTTAAAGGGTGGGGAATTGAATGGATTGGGGGATACTGACTAGTGAGGGGAGAGCTTTTGAAACGGCGCTGTCAGGTGGATTTGGTACCATAATCCGAATTTCAAAATACCTAATCCGAGCCGTCATAATTAACCGGGACCCGGAAACCAAAATAATGGAGCATTCCAATAGTACCACTTTGACCACGCTGCGAATGGCTTCGATAGGTGAATGAGAAAGGCGGAAAAAATTACGGGCATTCCTTATAAGGACACTTCTGTTTGTGCCCCTTCTTCGGCTGATTGAAAACTCCATGATTCGCGCACAGCTGGCACATATACTGCTCTTTTGGCATTTTCTGAAAATTTGTTTCTATTGATGTGTTTTTGTGATTTGTGATTCATGAGGAGATGTCACCGAAAGAGCTATCAGGCATACTGTAATCGTTACGAGGAAGAAATAAGAGCTCACTTTTTGAATTGAGTATTAAGTAGATGCTGTGAGCTACCCCGGAACCGAAATTCCGGCTTTTCCGTCTGAAAAAACTGATTAAGAGCACTAAAACTATGGGCTTTTAGTTCGAATCCATCACCCGAAAACGATGAACTTTTGATCGTTTTTGGGTGATGGATCTTATTAACACGAAAATTGAGTATCGTGTTAATTACCATAGGAAAAAGAGAGAAAATGAGAAACTACCAAGCCTGATGCATAAATGAGGATAAGAAAAAGTTATCGGCTTTGATGATGTTTTATTAACTCTTTTTAAGCTCGGACAATGCCTCGCAGCGAGCTTGGTTTATGACATTAACTTCTTTCGTTTACGCGGGTGTCACTCTCTCTTTAGTGTTTCATATAATTGCAAGCAAAAAGACTCGAATTTATGCGATAAAATCGATTCCATGGAATTCGCTTAGGAAGAGCTTGAAGTCTTAATGCAAGCCTAAAAAGCCACTAGGGGTGAAGTCTGGTTTTCGGCCGTTCAGAAATGTACATACCGTTAAGACAACTCAAAATAACTAGAGCCATCAATGAAGTTGAACAAAAACTAGAAGCCTGAACCGACAATATGGTATGGGATTGGTGAAAAGAGGTAGGAGGGAGTGAGGGTTGAAGGGTGGTGGAAGCTTTGACAAATGCGCCCCGAGGGCAAATAGAATGGGAAATTGGTTCCGGAAATCTCAAATCGAGGGCACATGATGGATCTCTTGATCCGGGGGTAAAGGGGAGGAGGAGAAGGAGGGCCTTAGCTAGAGGCGGTGCTCACGTTTGAAGGGGAGGGTCCTATCCAATAGGCAATCGAGCACATCTCAAATGACCTCAATGGCCGAATGTCAGGGACAAGGGATACGGTAGATGGGGGGGTTGGGGTTGTAAAAGGCGGTTATGAGTCATTTGAAGGCTGGTCGGCCAATCGTTTCGTTCAAATTTTGGGAAATCGAAAGGGTTGGAAGTCTAGGTCCAAGACTAAGTCTAAGCCTAAGCCTAAGAAGAAGCGTGAGCCAGACTTATTTATATCCTTCTCAGAAACTATAGGGCTAGGGGCGCAAGGGCCAAGCTTTCCGCCGATCATTTATGCACTGATTATAATTAGAGGTTGTTTTTTATGCCGAAAACTACGGAATTTCCATTCTGAGAGCAACGGACTACACCTATAGACATAGATGCAATCCCACGTCTAGTTTCACATACAATCATTCCTTTTAAAACCAACACCTCACCAAAATATTCCATTTTCCACTACACGATGCTCCGTTGTACATGACCGGGTGGTGCTGTCCCCTTCCCATAAATCGAACGGCCCGTCGTCGCGGGACCCCCCGCAGCGCTGCACGCCCTGTGATTTGTGAGATATGGAACGATTTGGCACGCGTTTTTCTTACTCTTTTTTGTCGGCCTACTGCCCTCCAATTTGTCAACGGCATTGTCAGGCTGCTAGTTGACAGCCAATCAATCAAAAGGCATGTAGGAAAGCTAAAAACTTGTGACAATACTGTAGAGGATTTCCTAATAAAGCTGACTGTCGAATTTCGTCGTTTTGGTGAGGTTTTTCGAAATTCTGCGCAAAGGCACTTTCCGAGTTCTGGTAAAAACCTGCTTTTTAACGTTTTTCAGCAATCCCTCGACCCTTCCGGGACTTGCATCGATTTGTATATTTTTCAAGCCGACCTTCTTATTTTCTTTCCCGTCCTAATTTCTCTACAAGAACAGCCTTTTTTATTTTATTAAAATAACTTAAATACTATATGTTGGGTACATTTATTTTTATTTTTATGAAATAACTTAAATACGCCATTTTCGCGTCAATTATGCAATCAAAAGAATTTCTAGGTAGTGAAAGGTTAACGTTTATTGCAAAATAAATTTTGTTTTTACACTACCTTGGAAACTACTGTATCTAGTAAGCTTTTTTGTTATTTTTATTTTTATGAAATAACTTAAATACGCCATTTTCGCGTCAATTATGCAATCAAAAAAATTTCTAGGTAGTGAAAGGTTAACGTTTGTCGCAAAATAAATTTTATTTTTACACTACCTTGGAAACTACTGTATCTGTTAAGCTAAAATTTGAAATAAACATTTTATCCTCCCGCATAAATGTCCAAAGTCCAAATCGATTGGCGTGAAAACGCCCAAGGGCGGTCAGTGTCATTTTTTAATTTTTCGAGTCAGCAACAACAAAAAACTTTATTGTCTCGCACACCGCAAAAATGAATTTGTTTGATGGAATAGAAAGGAGTGGAGGAGGAGGAGGAGGAGGAGGAAGAAGAAGCGGGACCATATATAGAATTCTATGATTCGATTTTGCCGTAGATTTATAACCGGGAGGGGTGAAGGGTTCTTTCTTTGCAGCTGGTAGCTGTTTACAGTAAGCAATTAAATGGGGGGCCACACGTATCAGTATAGGGGAGAGTTTATTTTGCAGAATCCTTTTCTGGGTTTTGTGTTATTGTTAGAAATGACGCCCGTCCTTCTTCTGTACACTTCTCAGCGGCTCGCCCTAGATCGACGCCTGTTGAAGGGGGAAAATCAATTTTAAGACGTTAATGAATTTGAATAGGGACAGTTTTTTGGTGGTGCGGAAGGCCGAAAATTCACCGCAACTAAGGCTTTGTGGTTTTTGGTGCTGGTTTGTTAGCGGGGAGGGGTATAATCGCAGAACTAATTTTGTTCCCCTTCCGCGCCAAAAATTAACTGGGAACCATTTTTGGCCTTTCCCCACCTATTTAGATACAACGAATTTATAAAAATAATTAAGTTTTACGAAAAATGATGTTTTACGCCCCCTGCTAACGAACCAGTACCTTTTTTAGGAAGCAAATTATGGTCTTATCTGAATACCTGGAGGTAGGGGTTAACCTTATGGTCCTCGACAGATCGCTTGCGACGACGAGGTTCCTGCAAATAAATATTTATATTATAATTATTTTATTTTATATTTATGTTCAATAAAATCCATGTAAAATAGAGATAAAGCAAACCTCATTAATGCTTTCATGGTATTTTTTGGCCATCATTGTCTTGTGCAAGCCTGAATCGTCAAGCAGCTCCTGGAGCGAGGCACCGGCCTCATCAGCTGACTTTGTGGCACAGCTAGAAAATAATATTATGATGAACTTAGCGATATCTGGTTATTCGTGCTTTTTAGATACAAGTGTTAAATTTAAAATGTCAAAGACTCACTTGAACATGTGCTCCTGGTCGCAAAGGCATTGCTGCTGGGCCTGGTATTCACGCGAGAATTCGGCTGAGTTGTCAAAATCCTCCAGGCAGCTAAAACGAATTGATAAATTAAATTTATTGAATTCTAAAACGCACCCATCCTCGGCACTGTAGCCCACGGGGCACGGGTTCGGGGGCTCGCAGTAGGCTGGCAGGACATTGTCGGATTTCACCTAAAATTGAATTTTTAACCATGGCCTTAAAACCATGTTGAATGGACGGGAAATTAAAATTCCCGGTCCCTATCCCATCTTATAAAAAATTAAACCCAAAAACTAACGTCCTGGCGCTCCTTGTATTCGTCTCCCTCCTTCAATGATTGCTCTCCTTCGCCGGCTCCACCTAAAGTAGGCACTATTTTTCATTATCGTAGATTTAATGTTGATTTAAATGAGCTCAGCGTTTCATTACATGGCTTTAATAATGGCTTTACTACTACTAATTAATCATGGCTTTACATGGCTTTTAGTAGATTTACCGGTCATATATTTGCTTCCAAAAGCGATCGGCCCGGGAACATTTTCCGCGTCGCGGCTCATCAGATCGATGAAGTCGCCCGAGGGCAGCATCGAGATGTCGCTTGGCTAGAAAAAAGGATGGATTTCTAAGTTTTGTTACGTATATTAATAAGTTAGTACGTGTAGTAATACGTGCTAACGTTCTTAACTGTATCCGGAAGTAATTTTAATAAAAAATTCTTGCTAAATAGTGTTAAATTGTTAAATTAACCAGCAAAGATAAATCTTTCTAGCTGAAGGCACGCAGTTTAAAGCCGGAATGCACTATAAAAACGAAGGTTTCCCTATTCCGCCATGTTTTGATTGTCTTAAAACAGCCACGACAAGCTGATCGTAAACCGTATCACAACGTAACCATCACCTACCGTCTCAAGGTTGAGCGCCGCCACGGCGACGCCGAGCAGGCAGAAGATCAGGGCTGATTTGGGGCACGTCATCTGCTCGGATCGGCCCCGTTCGAATGGAGAGACCAGGGCTGGTGAAAAGAGGGGGGCCCTCCCAGTCAGCCGGGGTGGGCCCTCCGGGCCCCCAAACCGATCGATGGATGAGGCCCCACAAGGGCCTCTTTCTGGAGGCCTTCTCTTCATCTCCCCGCTCCCCCACGTCTTCTGGTGATCTCTGCGTCTCTGCCCACTTCCTCGTCCCTCTCTCCTTTCAGAAAAATCTCGTTTTTTTCTGAAATCGCCCTCTGAAGGCTTCTCATTTGCTGTGGTCTCGCCCCAATCCGACGAAAATTCCCGCCTAAATTCATAAACGCTTTGCCCGGCTGAGCACTGGGGGGAATTAGGGGGATTTTTGTAGTCGCTGGGAAAGGGGGGAAATTGGGTAGATCTTTATGGAAAATCTGGTCTTCGAGCGGTGGAAATTTGTTATGGTGGGATAATATACCGTATTTTTCTTATCAAACCCCGGGTTTCTATGCGATGCTTCAGCAACATTTTTACATCGTAGTTCCACCCCAAGCCCGCTGTTTCATTTTAATTACACCTCAATTAATCCCAATGAAAAACCCAACAGATGTATACTGTAGTCACACGCCCGCGATTTCAAACTAAAAATTCCCGGGATCGCATCCGGATTTTAGGGATTACGTTTTCCTTAGAACCGACCCCAAGCATCACCTAATCCCAAGACTCCCATTTGCTGCTTTTTCCAGTTCCTCGTCCCTCAAGCGCTGTTTAATTTGGCGGCGCCAAATTGAATGATGGCGAACAGGAAAAGGGTTTATTTGTCTTCAGGGGAGAGCCGGATTAGGGGAGGAGAATTTTAAATAAAATAAATTGTACTTGGGTGATAAGAAGATGATGGAGGTGAGAGATATATTAAAATGTGGGGAAGATTGCAAAATTCAGAGGCGCGATCATTTGAAGAGAGAGATAAAAATTGCTTAAACTACAAGGTTAACAAGGATGTTATAAAAAAATCGTATAAATACATCGCAATCTTCACAAGGGGATCACTCGTCGCAGTCGTCTTTGTTGTGGGCACGAGCCTCTTGGACGAAACCTGGAATAAGATAATTTTTATTCAATTTTTCAATTAAGATCATCAGAAAAAAGGTGCACTCACCCTCCTTCATCTCGCGAACAATCTCATTCATCAGCTTGTTCCATCCAAGACGAATATTGCAGTTGTTGGTGTCGTATGGGGTCATGATAGCCTGATCCTAAAAATACAAGTTCTTGAATAGCAAGTTTTTATTTTGTAGCTAAGAGGCTTTTCAGCGTCGACTCACCAAGAACTCATTGTTCCCCCCATCCTTCTCAATCAAATGCTGCGTCTTCTCGGCCTAGAAAACCCAGTAATTAACCGGGAAACTACCGTATCCCCTACCACATCTATAATCTCGTCGGCCGTCACCTTCTTGAATACCGTATACGAATCGGAGCCAAAGTTCACACCCCTAAAGATGTTGATTTTGAGAAGCGAACGCTCAGGTCCGGACTACGTGCGCGCCTATAGACGTTTGCGCATATTTTTTTGCGTAATTAGGCGCCTACGTAGCGCGTGTCTAAACCTGCGTTTTAAAGGGATGGTGACACCTACAGGCTAAAATTTGACTTCAAACCAACTTGTAGTAATGGATCTGCCCAATGCGTTTGGCCATAGCAAAAACGGAAGCTGTGGGGCAAAGTCCTAGTGAGGATACGGTAGTGTCAAGGAAATTCTGGATACGACAAGCCTGAAAATAGGTGCTATTATAATTTTTGAATCAATATGAATAATTTATTGCTTAATAAAGCGCTTCAGCTTTTCCATTCAAATACCTGCAGTTGAAACATGGTATTCGACACCATCCGCCCATCCATAACTTCTTCCTCAGAAATACCATACATTTGGGCAAATTGCGGCCGCTTCTCCAATAGTGTACCCAGAATCTTGCGCCCAATTTGCGCGTGCTTGGCTCTAAAATAAACCCTAATAACTTTCAGTGGAAATATATGACTACCGCTTCCACGACTCCTTAACGGCTTCAATCTCTTCGGCAGTCAAACGTGTCTTCGCCTCCACTTGGGATACACACGATCCCATTACTTTCTTCTAAAGTTAAGGATTAAAGTAAATAGAAAATAGTAAAAATTTCCCAAATAATAGAAGATGTCTACCTACCAGAATCCACTGGAACATGAAGCAACCACCGGACAGGGCAGAAGCGTCGAGCTGGAATGTGAATTCCCCCCAGCCACCCCCCAGAATCTTCCAATCAACCTCACAGGCTTACTGCAAAGCCCCTGGAATTGAGAAACCGTGCCATCCCGTCGACATTTCTGAAGAAAAAGAAGAAGCAGAAAGCGGTCCTTGGGTTCCTTGATTGAAGAATGATGAAAGAAGACGAGTGTGATTGGAAAAAAAAGTCCCAATTACAAAGGTCAACCCATTAAAGGGGCGGAAACACCGCCTCTTCTGAATCTGTCGAAACGAGGAGTAGGACGCAGGGCGCAGGAAGACCCGTATTCGGGTGCAATTTGAGTGAAAAGGAGAAAAGGGAAAAATTTTGAGTTGAATTTGAGTAATTTGGCACTTTTCTAGCCATTTGTACCGTAGTTTAAGCATTTTGATGGATTTTCTTGGCCCCGAAACTCCATAAAACCACCAAGACAGGAACACAAAGCCATAAAAAAGCTTTTTGTCCTTTCATACGCCACAATGCAATTTTTAAGACCATTTCATAGGTTGTATTTAAGCGCAGAGGGGCGGGCATACGGTACCTGAAATTAATTTAATCTGTGCCTGCAACCAGAGGTCTTTAATTTTGCTGAAATAAATCCCAATTTGTTTATTTTATTGCACCTTGGTTATATATTCTCCCGTTATTTGTTTCTAGGTCCCCTACCGCATCGTATCGCCACCCCGTATAGCTGGCCCCCAAGAATGGCAGACATCAAGAAGACGACATCGGCAGACTAGCAACCGACCTCCACCACCACCCCCAACCAACCTTTCCCCCCTCTTTTTTCATGGCTATAGTCCCAAAAAGAATTGTATCGTTTCTCTTTTCTCTTTGCCCTCTTTTACCCAAAGAGAGACACAGGAACACTGGCCTGCTGAAGGTCCGGCAGCATTTTTTGGCCAAAGCTGACCAGCCGCCAAAAGCTTCGAGAATTGAGTCACTTCCAGAGATGCACGATGATCCTCCGATGGCTTTTTTCGGTGTCTCTAATTCTGGGATTTACTACGGCATGCCGGTGGCCATCTTCAGATGTTCTGTTTGTCGTCGATTCAACTCTGAATATTCAGCAATCCGATTTTCAGCGAGAGCTCGATTTTGTTGCTGAGGTGGGATGCTTGTGATATTTGATACTTGGGCCTTAACCCTTCGCCTAAGTCCAAGCTGAATCTAAAAAAATATTTTCCTTGAAAAACCAGCTCTAAAATGTTTTCAGGCGATCGATCAAATGGACGTCTCGGCATCAGGAAGTCGAGTATCACTCGCCATGTTCAATCCTATGGGTCGATTTGTCTTTCCATTTTCCGATCAGTCCGATAATCAAAATCTTCAAAATCAAGTTTTGGTGCGTTTAGTCTATTATTTGCTGTTTAAAAGGCCGTTTGCGAGAGGACCGAACAATGCTTGGCACAGTTTTTTTCGACCCTGTTTTTTTGACGGCATTGGAAAGAGCATAGTCGAATTAGTAGAGCTGCATAGTTTTGAAAGTTTAAAAAGTTAATTTTTAGGGTTTAAATTGGAGTCAAAGTTGCCGACCCTCAAAAATTATCTCGAAAGTTACTGGACCAAATTGGTCGAAAATTTGTCACAATACCTAATTTCGGATGCTGATCATTTCTCTAATACATCCAAAAGCGCGAAAATGAGCGGAACATGGTTAAATCGCGTACCCAAAACAGTTTTTCAGGGTTTTGTATTTTACGGGTTCTTGGCGGTCCGTTGTAAATAACCTTAAAAGATGCGCAAAAAAATTCTACATCGAATGAGGTATTTTTATACCGGGCCGACAGAAACCCTACTCTTGCTATAAAGCATTTACTGCGCGCAAAACAGCCCCCAAAATGAGTCAAAAACCTCAAAAATGACAAATTTGGAAATCGAATATATCAAACCATATCTAGAGAACGAGCTGAGCCCATTGCAAAAAAGAGCAAAAAGAAATATTGCTTTTGAAGGGGGGCTGGGATCGAACTGGCGCGGCCCTTGGATTGGTAGGCGAGCACTCATGCAATCCACCACGGCCCCAGGGAGGGCTTCCAGGCGTAGGGTCCGAGTTCGATTCCTCCCCGGATCCCAGCCCCCCTTCAAAAGCAATATTTCTTTTTGCTCTTTTTTTGCAATGGACTCAGCTCGTTCTCTAGATATGGTTTGATATATTCGATTTCCAAATTTGTCATTTTTGAGGTTTTTGACTCATTTTGGGGGCTGTTTTGCGCGCAGTAAATGCTTTATAGCAAGAGTAGGGTTTCTGTCGGCCCGGTATAAAATACCTCATTCGATGTAGAATTTTTTTGCGCATCTTTTAAGGTTATTTACAACGGACCGCCAAGAACCCGTAAAATACAAAACCCTGAAAAACTGTTTTGGGTACGCGATTTAACCATGTTCCGCTCATTTTCGCGCTTTTGGATGTATTAGAGAAATGATCAGCATCCGAAATTAGGTATTGTGACAAATTTTCGACCAATTTGGTTCAGTAACTTTCGAGATAATTTTTGAGGGTCGGCAACTTTGACTCCAATTTAAACCCTAAAAATTAACTTTTTAAACTTTCAAAACTATGCAGCTCTACTAATTCGACTATGCTCTTTCCAATGCCGTCAAAAAAACAGGGTCGAAAAAAACTGTGCCAAGCCATATTAGGGTCTGTTCGGGTGGCTCGCGGACGGCCTTTTAATCTATCGACCTCCAAGCGAATATCCCCGCTTTCTCTCCAGGCTTCTCCATACTCCCCTTGTGATCCTGCCACCACAAAATGCCTCCCGTGTGCTTCAGTAAACTCCATTGCCAAATTTGCGCTTTCCCAAGTAGGCTTTACCGTAGTTTTTACGGAATTAAATCCCAGTGCTAACCCGATATTTTGAATTTTTTTTCTAGGGCAATCGCCGCTCATCACCCGATGTCATCGTCGTCATTTCTGGCTCAAAATACCAAATTCCGGAATTGGTAAATATTCCTGATATTCTTAAACGCAGACCGAAACAGTTTATTCAGAAATGTTGAGCCAACTGTAACCTTCTTAAAAGCAAAATATACTTTTTAGCTTGAAAAAGAGGTGCTGCTCTCTCCAGTTTCTCCCATCCACGCTTTCTATATTCTGGTCGGTTCTTCATTTCCGGATGTTGCTGACCAACGCTATGAAGCTACGGCAAACACGCTAAAGGTAAGCTTATCACCAAACTATAATTCATTAATTATAACTCATAGTTAACAGCCACTGGCTTCGATGTTCTTCCCAAACTCAATTTACCGCTATGCCAATCGGTGCGCGATTTCGTTGGCAGAGGTTGGTTTTGAACCTTAATCCCTCCTGTCACTATCCCTTTAAAGTTTCGTATCCTGCCACTCCATCTCGCTACTATACACATTTGGTTTCTTAGCCTTACGTAAGGGTTTCCCTTCGGTCTCCAGGAGACGTCTCCCTAGCATGGTTGCGCGCCCTCTTGCGCGCTATTTTCTGCCCCCTTTTTTTAGCCGAGACCACACCTGGTGGCTCATCGTCAATTCTCGCATTCGCAAACACCCAAAAAGCGTCGCATCCCCCCACTGTATTATATTGCAAACTAACCTCTAAAATGACAACTATCGCTGATCTGTCGTGGTGGAATTTTTTGAATTGGAATGTCACGAAATGTACACAGTTCAGCGGTGATAGGAGTGTTTCGTGGACATTGCCATGTAGGTTTAAAGGAACGAAATTGCGCATAAAAAACCATTAATTTAAGTAAGATTTATACAATAATTTAAGGGGCTTGTGACAGGAAGAAAATGTTTATCAAACTAAAAATAGCTAACTTAAGTTTTTTTAGGTGATCTTGCCCATCCAATGGCTTTTGGGACATTATGCTGGATCGTCACAACACTATTATTCATCGTTTTTCTTCTAATTTCCTGCTGTTTATTCTATGCCATTTATGTCTACAGGGAAGATAGTATGGCAACGGATTAGCCTGTTTACATTTCAAAAATTTAGATAAAAGGCTAAAGTACGTGATAGCGGAAAAGGAGCGAGATTTGCGGAAGCAGAATGAGTACTTTACAGCCCGGATACATCGTCAGATGGAAGAACAGATGAGATTGGCAGAGAGGCATAAGGTATCTCAGAGTTTAATACGGTAGTATATTTGTATTCAAGGAGGATATAAAGAAGGCAAATGAGGAATTACATCATGTGAAGGAAAAGGAAAAGGTAAGTGGGTTTATGCATTTTCATCGATTTCCATAGAAGCATAGTTTTCAAAAATCCATAAAGCTGTGTATTTTAAGGATTATAACCCTGTAGTTTTTTTCAGTTACGCAATGAAGCTGTAAAAGCAGCGGAAGCAGCCTCAAAACCTCGCGAACAACCCCAACCCATCATCATCTACGGACAACCTATGATGGGTGGGAAAGCCCCTATCCCTCCAAGGCCCCGATCCCACGGCTCCGATACACAACCATTAACACAGACCTTTGGAACACAAATACCGGAAACCATCATGGCCCCAAATGCAATCCGGAATCCCGAAGACATCCCCCTAAAACCCCCGCCCTCGCACCAATTACATATCCACCACCCCTCGCCTCAACAAAACCAGCCCGCAAACAGCGGTCAACAATTTATGAATAGCCATTTTCCCGAAGCGGTGCCCAGGAATAATTCGGCATAACTTTTAAATAACTGTTATTTCTTTTCGAATGATTCGAATAAACTTTTCCCCTGATAACATTTCGAAATGCACAAAACGCAGAGGGGAACAGTTTATTCAAAATTATGTAAATTAGAAATGAAAGTTGTGCAGGGTTTTATATATATGCCAATCTAGAGCCTCCGTCTAAATTCTCTTATTTATGAACTTTTATAGAAAATAATGAAAAACGATCCCAAAGTCGTGATTCTCGAGGACATCGTAGACGGTAAGAGCTCAAAAAAAACATTTACGACCTCATTCCAGCCCAAATTCACGATGGCGTACAGCCTTCGACCCGCGTTTCGATCGTCATATGACGCCGAATTTCGACGAATTTAAGAAATGGTGGCGAGACCCGGAAGGGCGATTGCCGTTGAATTTTAAGGAATGGAGAAGGTGAGAGAATATCCGAACTTTTAATGATATCCAGAGGGCGACCCCATTCCGCACGAACGATAGATGAGATTAAGCAACCTGTGGCTGGTTCGAGGCCTGGGACAAGTCAGGGAGAACCAGCTGAACCGGATCCGGAGGTTAGGAATTGATTGGTGCCTTCGTTGGCGATTTAAAACCAGCTGACTAAAGAATCCGGATCCTTCTTTATGCAGTATTCTTTTTAAACCTTAGATTGTGGCCCGTGATGCGGGAAGACGTGAAAAAGAAGATAAAAAGCGACGCTGGGAAGAATGGAGAGAGAAACAAATTCAGCATGGCAGTTAGTACATATTTTATTACCCATTACATCCCTATTTTCTAGGCTGGAAACCAGGAGACTACGATCGCTTGAGGAAAGAGATTGATGAGGATGGTAGTGAGCATCCCAGTACGGATAGTGATTATTCGATCCCCGTTGGACATTTGTCTAGGTGAGCGGGAAGTTGAGAAAGACCATTAATAAAACGAAAAATTATAAATAATAGCATTCAGGGATCATCCGGCTCGTCATCTTCCACCTGTGGATATCATTTTCTTAATTGACACCTCAAGTTCAATCGGGATTCAGAATTTTGAGAAGGTTTGAGATCTTATCCTGATTCTCATCTACTTTAGATGAAATCATGTATCGAAGCTATCGTCCAAGATGTTGATGTAGCGCCCGGGAGATCCCGTGTAGCCGCCGTGCAATTTGCAGGAGAACCACAAGTCGTTTTTGGTTTCGATAAGTACTTTACGATTCAGAGTATACAGCGTGAGTCTTAAATTACCGATCATATATCAGCTTCAGGAGCTCTAAACCGAATAATCTACACTGGAGGCCCGACCCACCTCTCCAAAGCGTTGAGTTTTTGCGCGGGGGTACTGTGGAAAGAGCAGAATATGGCGGATGGAAAACATCGAAAACATAAATTGGCCAAGACTCCGAGGCATGATCGGCTACAGGTTGAATTCTCCTTTTTTGCACTTTGTTGTTTAGGTGCTTTGCGTAGCGTCTGATGGATCGTCGGAAGATAATGTGGCAAAATCAACTTCGATGTTGCATGAGAGATTACAGGTACTGTTTTATGAAAATAGAGAGAGCGAGAGAGCGAGAGAGCGAGAAAGCGAGAGAGAGGGAGAGAGAGAAAAAGCCAGAGAAAGATAGAGTAGGGAGAGAGATGGAGCGATAGAGCGAGAGAGAACGCGAGAGAGAGCGAGAGAGAAAGAGAGTGAGAGAGCGCGAGAGCGAGAGAGCGAGAGATAAAGAGAGAGCGTGAGAGAAAGAGAGTGAGAGAGAGCGAGAGTTAGCGAGAAAGAGAGAGAGCGAGAGCTAGCGAGAAAGAGAGAGAGAGAGAGAGAGAGAAAGAGAGAGCGAGAGAGAAAGAGAGTGCGAGAGAGAGCGAGAGTTAGCGAGAAACAGAGAGAGAAAGAGCGAGAGCTAGCGCGAAAGAGAGAGAGAGAGAGAGAGAGAGAGAGAGAGAGAGCGGTTACAAAACAGCCCCTTCAAACGTATTTTTCAGATAAAAGTATGTGCCCTCGTCACGAGAGCCTTCCATCGCCAAAAACTAGAAGAAATTACCCGATTCGACGGTGCCATTTTTGTTGTAGGCCAAAAAGAAGCCGTCAATATCTGGCTATGGCGCCAACAGGTTTGTATTTCTACCTAAAACTATCTAAGATTGCAGACTATGGTAACAACCACTTAATCACTTATCCTTTTCAGCGTCTCTGGTGGGAAACGTACTCCAAATACCTGGCAAAGGAGCGGAAAGAGCCGCTGAGCAGCAAGCGAAGTCCCAAGAAAACTGCCCGTCCCGAGTAATCAAGTGTATCTTCCAATGTCTTTCATTTTTGGTGTTTTTATAAAGAAGGTGGCCTTGGGGTTGTTAGCACGTAGGCAGATAATTTATCGGGGGTTCTTGCGGGGGTGTACATTTTTTTACGGTAAACAGGAACGCGGAACGGGGGGGTTCAGTCGGGGCATTTCCCATTTATTGGCTGACAATTGGTGATCCATCCTTGTTCGTCTACCTAAAATTTCGTAATTTAGGTGATTATAGAGATAACAGATTAAAGAGAATACCCTAAAAACTTGACATTCTATGAAAATTTAAAGGATTTAGCACTAAAAATAATTTGTTGGCAGTATTTATTAAAAATCAATTATTTTGATAGGTTTCAGTCAATTTGGTTGAGTTCATTGACAGTAAAAAGAGTCGAAATTCTATATTTAGGCTTTTAACCAATTTTTAACCAACCAACGTTAACGATCTTAAACCTACTTTCCAAATTTTAAGCAAAAAATATTAAAATCTGCAAAATGTGTTTTGGTCGCTCTCAAACTCCCATCCAATTTCGAAGCCACCAAAAAACCACTGCCTGCGAATTCAAATTTAAATCTGTTTACCAAACCCTAAAAACTGATTGAACCCCGATCGCGGCCATGTTTCTCGGGCGTTCCTACAACTTTCGATGTGGAAAAAGATATGGGGCACACCTCAATGAGCAGCGCTTGCCACCAGTAAAAGACGAAAAAGGCTCGCCGTTCGTGGACCATCTCCGTTTCTTCCGGCTCATTCCCGGCTGCCGCCACTATCAATAGCACCCAAAATAACGAGAGAAAACGGGAGAACATCAGTCGGGGTATGCTCGCGCACAGCAGAGGGAGGAAATAGATACAAGAAAGTGTACACACTCACTCAGAATCTTGTATCACCCAGACAGCCCAGCTTTTCCCACCCGTTCCCCCCAATCATACAACAGTTATGCTAGGCGACCTGGAACGAACGAACCTGCCATCCGAACACTTTTTATTATGCTAATGATACGGAGACGGGCAGGTGGAAAATAGTCAAGTTATTACGGTTGTCTGGCTGTGTAAGAGGGCAAAGAAATGAATATACAAATTATGCAATCAGAGAAATGAAAAATACGGGATTAGGCTAGGAGTCTATCACAATTAAAAATCGAATTTTTAAGAGAATCCTGATAATTAAAATTTGCTTTTAAGGTGCTGGGACATGGAAAAATGTAGAATTCACTTGAATCGCAATCGTGCTTTGGAGCGCTGCGTAATCCACTTTACTGTACGTCAAAATTCACCGTAGATCTCATCTGTAGTTTTTGTATATTTCAATCCAAGCCAGCCGAAATTCTAACGATATCTAAAAACCTTTTCCGAATATGAAAAATAGCTGGTAGGAAGGCATGAAATCCATGCTGCCAAATACACATAAAATGACCTTTTCCTGTTAGTCCTACTTCTAAATTTGGTAGTGTACTTCTTGGCCAGTTGCTTTCGCTTTTGTATGTTTTTCTGGTTCAAATAATCCGTTAACTTTGTAGTATTCTGTAGTGTTCACCCGGATCCAAAATTTTTCTCAGAAGTTCCACCCACCGGCCTACAGTCAGTTCCTGAATTTTCAAGTGTTTTCCGCTCAAGGAGCCCGTGATGGGGGGTCGCCCCGGAAAGGCGGTTGGCAAAAATCGAGGGATTGCCGCTGCCGCGCGAAAAAGCGGCGGACGTCGGGGTCACGGCTCACTTGAAAATTGGGTGGGCGGATGGGCCACCCGATTGGCAATGGCTGCACTCGTTCTCAATTCTGCAAAAACGAAATAATTTGATTTGGGGGATGCGGTGTTGATCCGTTGGTGAGACGGGGTGGCGGGGTTGGGATGGGTTTTAGGGGGAGGGATGGCCCTGCGTTTGGTGGGTTCTGGCAAAAAGGGAACGCCTTTTCTGCGCGGGGCAAGACGCTTGCCGAACTTGTCATTTTTTTCCGGGAAGCCGAGGGATAAAGTTTTGTGGGTGTGGAGGGGATGGGTTTCATATTGGGGAATCACTTTCATCTTTGGTTCTGTAGATTTGGGGTATGGGAGTTGATTCTTAGGAGTAACCGGGTTTTCGATTTTTTTCGCTTTCACACCGGTTTATTTTGAAAAATCTATAAAATACGGTGGTTCTCACGCAGCTATTTCAGTGAGATGATAAGTTAGCTTTGCTTGACCACGCCTGTAAACGATTTTCGATCCATCTCGAAATGTCGCGCCTCTTTTGTGCTTTTTTTTGCAGCTCACCACGGCCTGGGGTGTGGTATGAACCCTCAAGGAGTCATTTCTGTATCATATCCATTTGAGATAACCTCCCTGCTTCTAATATCTAGATCTCTATTTTGCTGCTTTTTAGCGTAATATCGCAATCCTTTTAGGTATTTCCCTATCAAACATGGGCCATCTCGCAGTACTGCTGTCTTTAATTTTGTTAAAATTTGGTATGTTCAAAATGCGTCAAACTTCAAAACTTCGGATCCTGAAAACCCTTATCCTTTAGCGGAAGCAGCACCAAAATGCGAAAATGCGCTTCGTAATGAAGTCAGGGTAAGGCTAATGAAAAGTTCTAAATCTGTTTATAGTGGTATTTCGATCAGACGCATCGGATATGCATGGCAACGAGGACGGATTGTGTATCACGTTTTCAAGTCGACGCCGAATTATTTGGGACTGAAGAGGAGTGTACTGTGAATAGAATGAGTGGGTACTAAATTTTAGCAAAAGATTGATTACGGCTGTATACTCCAAATCGATACGGTCGGCTGTATTGTTATTTTGCTCATTGTTTCGCACTACAACTACATTTAAATAATTTATAGCCTATAATTCCAGACCGCTTCTGGAAAAATGTGCGCGTACGCTGCCCGGTCGATCTACGACTGGCGACATTTGCCCGAACAAATGGTGATCGCGTGCCTTATCTATTCGATGCTAGAATGTGCCATGATGTACGTTAATCGAATTGTATTAACAGTCATGTTTTTTTCGCATACTAGCTACCAGATGTTGAATTGTGCGTTTCTAATCGATCCCCATTTTCCAGGATGGCTTCTCCGATATGTGCGAAAAATCGGAAACCTGCTTTACTGTTGAATACCTTGGGTTCTGTTGCAACGATGAAGCATTTCTGGGAGATGGGCCAAGTATTTTCCCATCAATCTAACCAATCAATAACTTGCACTCCAGACTCGGGCATCTTCAACGTAACCGGCCTCGGCGGCCCCGGATTGAACATCCAAGGAAAAGCCGTCGCAAAGCCGCCCACCGAAGCACCAGTAAACTGCAACGAAGATGGGGATCGTAATGAAGTCGAAGTTTGTTGCTCTTCCCAATTTTGTAACGCACTTAGTGGTACCGTAATCCGCAAGGACGCGGTTGTGTGGCGCAGCGTATCCAATGCTCGTTGCCAAAATTCGGGCGTGACATTCGGCGTGATGTGTTTCCGGATGAGCAGAGCTGTATGGACTTTTGGTTCCGTAAGTTTACTTTAGACGCGAGAATAGAAAGATTGTTATAGCCAACGAGCACATCCTGCGAACATTTGACTGTGGTGAAGCTGGATTTTCTGCAGCAGTTGATGCAAATGGTTCTCCATATGTTTATGAAAGGAGGTATTATGCAGAACGAAAACGGTTTTTTCACCTGGCCGAGGAAAATTACGTTTTTTTAAATTCATAAATGTTTAGTAGCGTCATAGTAATTGTTTTAATATTGTTTTAGTAAATTTTAACTATATAAATTGTGGGGAAATTATCTAAACCATTTTGATTGAAACTCCTGAAACTCGTGAACTTTTACGTTTAAGAATAGTGAATAGTTTAGCAACAATTTCGCAAAACGAAAAAGCCCGTTTTTCCTTGACAACAACCCCCCTTCGATAATGCAAAAGAACCCGGAAAACTTGTTAAAATTTGTTCAGTCTCTGCGGCTCGGCACACGATTCCGATTTTTGCAATCGAGATGAAGTTTGTAAAACACTGAATGACGTTGGGTACTGTTGTCAACGATCTTCCGAAGGTTGGCTCATATGCCTAAACCTTGTAAAAAATTAATTCCTTTAGGCCCATTTAAATACGCACAAATCGGCAGGGTAGGTGTCGTGGATCCGTTGTTGCCGGGCGACTCGCTCGATTTTCTACTCACCCAGCAGCAGCGCTTCAACTAATATTTATCGTCAACAGGGGTTATTTACTAACCGTTTTATCGATTAATTTACGCTAAGCATAAGCGTTTTAAGGATTTTATATTATTTAATGCTATCTAATTACTAAAAAGTCTTAGAAGTATTCTAAAAAAATTAAATTCTATCTTTTACCCATTTTTGTCCATAATCAGCTGTTTACGAAAATTTTGTTAAGCTTTATTTAATTTTCTGTTCAAAAAACATCCCAAAATCTCAGGATACATAAATGTTGTGTATATCGTTGTTGGGACCAGCCGCTAACAGTCCAGTCCCTTATAATTTTTTCTAAACAGGATTGTAGTCTTTGAAATATGATTTTAAAGGGAGAGTGCCAGCTGACCGTGCTTCTTTTTGCGCCATAAATCGTGTGAAGTATTCCATTAATATGTGGTGATTTGCAGAATGATCCCACGCCTCCACTGCGCTTCAATCGGATCCGTCGTGTTATATTCGGGAGGTCATAGATCAATTAATCAGATAAGGACCGCCTATAATGCCAATCTCATCAAAATATGATCTGAGTGCATCCATGTATCCTTATGTATCTACATATACTAGTACGGCTAGCATTCCACCTTTCTTTTTCAAGATTTCGCAGTATAAATAAAATATTATTTTGCATAGACTTTATCGAACGTCAAATTTGCAACTAAAAAAACAAACACATTTGTATTCTGGGCAGTAAAACCAGAGATCATTATTTTATGCGTCACGGATCCCAAGCAAAACACCTATTGAACACCTAGAAAACGTTGGTCACCGGAGTTTTTGACAAATGACGATATGGGGCTGGTGTTAAGATTGTAATGCAACGGGTTTTTGGGAGATTTTAAGGAAAGGCACTTCAACAGAAAACAACAACAAATATTTAGCTTTATGGCTAATATTGGCAATCCAGGCGGAGCTTCTTCAAACGATAGTAATCGCGCATAGCTTCATCCTAAATATTTAGTATGTTAACATTATAACCGAGCTTATTTGGGTCATTTTTGATAAAGTTACCAACCCGATCAATTTGCATCCTCAGCGCTCGTTTGTAAAGATCAAGCGCTTCTGCATCAAAAATCTTCTGTGGCATTTCCGGCATCATTGGCATTGCCATTTTGTTTTCGGGTTCCAAACGATGCTGTTGAACATGAACGGTTTCCGGCATCAGTTCAGACTTCCGTTTCCGTTCGACGACCCTGATTGGCTCAGGCTCCATCTTAAAAACCGAGCTTTTGACACCAGTGCCTTGACCAACCTTGATAAAGCTTGGAGGTGCTTGTGGTGGAGGACGAGGCCTTGTGTGGTATGGTCTCGGAGCTAGAAATAAGAATGAATTATAATGTAAATAAAATTTCGCCTACTATGATTTTCCGGAATGCGAGGAGGGGCGCTGGGTAAGGTGGTGTCCATCACTAATGACGAGCTGGGTTGAGACTCTAAAAATTTACTGTATAGATTTTTGAACTATTTATTACTGAAATATATAGTTTAAAATAAATTTTTATTTATATATTTTGTTTCGTATTCAAAATATTTAATTTGTAAATGTAAATGCTGCTTGGTTTCGATAAGCACACGTAAGAAATTTTTGCGTTTTAGCAACGTACCAGAATCCGACGCTCCGCTTGAACAATTCTTTCCCATAAATCCCAATTTCTTCATGAGCGTCACATCAACCGGCCCCTCACTTCCGCCATAGGATCTGAAATTACTTGTTAAACACATCATTAAAATATTAAATGTTTCCAAAAAATTCGTAAGTCAAAAACACTTACGCATACTCTCGGTCCTCAGGCCCACGTGACCGCACCGTCGAGCTGAGACCCATTAAATTATGATGAGAATTTGTGAATCTCACTTTTTAACCCCCGGTGGCCGACCCCGTTGCTTTGGAGCGGATAGCATCCGGTTTGAAGCCGCTGATTTGAAGAGATCAGCGAGCAACTGTGAAGAAAGTTCTTCTGAATTATAAGGTCCAATATGAAAACTTGCAAATAAAAACCTTGAAAATCCAGGGGTTTCCCGGAAATGACTTGACAATTGATGGTGGCCGGGTTATCGGTTTCTCCTAGAAAATAGGTAGTTACTAACGCTTAAAAATTAAAATTCAAGTAATCATGGTCCCAAGTTATACCTCTGTTTTTGTCCATCGCATTTTCCTTGAAATCGTGCATGGCACACACTGAAAATTGACTTATTATAACCGTTATTACGAAAAAGGGGAGGGTTGAAACCGGTGTGAAGCGGAATGGGCATCGCGGGTGTGTGTCGATATTGGAAATCGAAGTGGGTCGCCATAGAGAGGCGTTTTAAAAATCAATGGGTTGTATTGATTGCTTGGAATTCACTGTAGCGGCACACTAATGGTAGAGATTAGATACAGCGGTAGCGGGCAGTTCAGCTTGTACCGGAATTGAGTTAGGGGTTTTAAGTAAAAAAAACTATTTCTTACTTTATCGAAGATCTGCTTAGTTTGTAAAAGGAGAAAAACGCACAGAAAGTTATTTCCTAGAGTGGCTGGTCATTTATCGTATTTATTTACGCATGGACAAATATGGACTGTAGCAATTCAATCTTCATTGACCCAGAAATGGAGCTTTGAGCTACTAAATTTATAAAAAACCGCCCAAATTTTCAAAATACAACCCTTTAAATGGTTTCTATTTAGCTTGAAAGTTATCGAAAAGCATCTTGTCTACGAATAGCTTGAAAATATTTAAAAAACGAGCTACGGTAGCGGAGCGTTGCCCGTACATGAGCGGAATATTGCGCTTTGGTGGCCGGAGAAAGGGTGGGGAGGAAAAGCCGCTGGATGGCAATGGTGTTGAAGGGTGGTGGGGCTGAAGGGAATGTTGTGGAGTGGGCAATCGGTCTCCAAGGCAGATATCGATCGTCTCGATCGATTATTGCGCCCCGCTCTAGCCCCTAGTCAGCCGGCAACCCCCCTCTTCGTCCGTGCGACCAGCCCTGTTTCAGGCTCCCATTCGGACCCTCTTTTCATTTTTAGCTTTGGTCAGCGGTCAACTACCACGAGATATTCTTATTCAGATCAGGATTTGGAAAATGTGCGAATAATTTAAATCAGCCTTTCAAATTCGACAAAAAACATTTGTATAAAATTCTTATTTAAATACAAACATTACTAGTGCCACGGCAGATAATCTAAAGCATCTGATATCAAAATATCTGTAGGGCATCGGTTAAAGGGACCTCTACATCCAGAAATGTCAGCCGTCCAGCGATAGTTATCGGTCGGTGATAAGCATGTCAACGGTGCTTGCTTTGCTTTTGCTTGCGCTTTCAAGATTCCTTGAACGATCGCAAATGTTTGAAAATTCCGCGAAATGTAATATCTGCCATTAAAGTGTGGTTTTCTAAGAGCCGTAGTAAATTATCTAGCAAAATAAACTTTATTCTTATCACAGGATATCGAACAAATCTTAAACCTTTGGCTATTTAGAGCACCATTATGGGCGAAAGATCAGGTACAAGATGATACACCTATCGTCAATGACAAGGGTGATATAGACACAAAATTATAAACACGTGCTCATATCGTACTGCAGATCAAACCATAGGTGGGTGAAAATGAGCAGAGCTGAGAGGATTGCTATCGATATTATGTAGGCAAGGGCCGAGAAGCCGCCGATCGGCCACGCGCAAAGCCATAGTCCTCCGAATACAACTCCAACTATCGTCCAGTTTGCACACCATTTTAGTGAGGCATAACGGAACCATTCATCCTAAAATATACTGTGGTTGCCAATTTTCAAAAAGCCAGGAAGCACTATATTTAAAACCTACAGTGTTTCCACGCTTCTTATGCCTTCTCGTTCGGCATTCGCGATTCTTTAATGGCTTCTTCACACGTTCTCCAACGGTCAGGAAAGCCTATACACGATTTGTACATGCAATTAGAACATAATATGCAATTCTCCAGATTTTTCTGTGCCATGCTCTCACCTCAAGAGCCCCATCCCAAGCATTCGGGCCACGGATTCGGTACTGGTAAGGAGCGTTAGGACCCATGAAGAACCGCATAGCCAACCGAGGATTCGAAAACAAAAGCTAAAATGCATTTGGGGATTAGTGAACACTTTCTCTTTTTCTTTCTAAACCTCTTTCAAAGGCGGCATACATCCGACAAGCACCGCCAGCTCATCCATATATCGATCGTAATCAACCTAAAATGCGCTCTTCCGATCTGCTAGTTCCATTAACTCACTTGAATTGTATGTTTGCTGCTATCAAAATACCGCCTCTGAATTTCTTTAGCCTTCTTTTCAATATCCATCAAAATCTCATCACGAGGGGGTAGTTGTAACTTCCCCGTGAAAACGCCGACCGCCCATCTTGCCTGAAAAGTATGTTCTGCGTCTTGGAAAATTCAGCTAGCTTACCTGCATCTCGGAAATTGGCATAATACTGCCAAGGGGCTGGATCAGTCCAATCACGGCTAGGGAATCGTTTTCCACTGGGAATACATACTTATAGAGCGTGACTCTTCTATTCTAGAATTTGCGCATTGTTTGATGCTTTAAAACACACCTCCACTCGCACTAAATCGCCCTCCAAATAGTCAAAACCAAATTCGTAGCCAGTACAGAATATCAGGTCATCACATGGGAATTCACGGCCGCCCTTTACCATAACCGAATGTTCTCCAATCCGTTCGACGTCATCCTAAACCGATTCCTACGGTATATAGAAAAATTAGTGCTGGTTTGTCTATGTGTAGATCTGTATGTCCACGTCCGGGCATAGAGACTATGGGAAGCTTTTGAAATAAGGTAAAATCGTCATTAGGTTTAAAAGGAGCATATCGACCACCAGATCCAGTTTTTTTTACAAAGCGTTGGCGCGGTTAACATAGGCTTTTTTAATTTTTGAGGTAAAAGCTATATCATTTTGGAACTGTCCTAGGGTTCAGTCGGGATGGCCGCGAAGCGGTAAACGAGTTGAAAATGGATCCCTACAGCAATTGTGATGAAACCAGCAGCAATAAGGTTCGCCAAAGCATCATTGACTGTTGGATGTTGCTGGAAGAAACTAAATCAAGAGTAATCTCCATTTTTGGTTAGCTAACCGGTGGGCCGGTCTGAGACCATAAATATCGTGGTCCATTCGCTGGTTGCAGACATGTTCCATAAAGTCATTAGCAACAGTCCATGGGATAGTGTTCATCACCCAGCGATAATATCTAAAATACAAGGATTTTCGGCCTCTCCAAGAATATTACCTGCTCATGAAAATGGTATCATACGGCATACCGCCACGAGAAACACGATTAAAGACCCATGTGCCACGTCGGGTGGAGATTGTTACCTGTAATACCAGGAATGTAAAATGAATAATAAAGCACCAAATAACTTAGCTCGCTAACGTTAAACGAAAGCAAAGCATGAAAAACCTACAGATTTTGCAACTTTCGCGAGGTCAACCGCAATATCGAGGGCTGAATTACCAATTCCGACGAGAAACACATTGCGATTCTCGAAACCCTTGGTGTCTCGGAAATGCTGAGCATGTAGCGTGCGTCCTTTAAAATCCGCCAAACCTACAATTGGAAACTAGGATCCATTTTTAGAAAATCCTACCATTAAGCTCTGGCGACAACGGCTTAGCATGGTGACCGGTGCATAGCATCACCTAAAAACTGTTAATTTTCGTTGTGTAATCTGTCAAACCTTGTCGAAATATTCTGTTGTCCCATTCGACAAATCAACGGTGAAGCCTTGGCCCCCGGGAATAATCTAAATAGAGCTAGTTGATATTCTGCGTTCACAAACCTTGGTTACTGAAACGTTAAAATTGATATGAGGCTTCAACAAAAATTTGTCGGCATATTGATGAAGGTATTCGTTGACCTGAAACTATTAAGCTGGCATATGCGCAATATACTTTAGAATGATGCATGAAATTGGCCCATTCGGCGGGAGGTGGATAGTCTGAATATGCCATCATTTCTTTTGATGTATTGACGACTGTCGTTGCCATGACAGTGCCTAAAATAAGATTAGTTTAAGACGAATTGATGCTATTTTTAGGTTTGTAATTGCAACTTTAAAGGAAAATATTGCATCACCACAATTGTAATAGAAAAAGAATTGATATTTTTTTAAAGCAGATCTCACAAGTACCTTCGATTCCAGCAACATTAGGTCGATAGTTCCATAACCCGCCGAGATCGCTTGTCTTCTCATAGCAAATCGCATCTAATCCATTCTCCAGACACGACTTGAGGGCTGGCAGCCCTGAAGCGCCAGCACCAACCACGCAAACTCTCATCTGATGAGAGATTCGATCAATTGATTGAAAAGTGAATGAAAGTGAAGCGAAAGGGCAATATAATAGGGCGGAAAGGGTTGATAGAAAGGAACCAGTTGTGTGGCGGAGTAGTGGGACAAGGGCAAAAAGACGGCGACGGTTGACCCATTTCACCCAGGGGCTGCGGGAACCGAATCCGGGTATGCGAAGGATGTGACCTTGCCTCCAGCTGATTCAACCGCATGCGGAGTCTGAATAAACGTGCCAATGGTATAGTGGATCTCCGGCTGCAAGCGGTTGGTCGATAGCGAAACGAGATCTGAGATGCAAGACTCGTTTGCCTAACACCCTATCCGCCACTATCCGGCACGTCACAGCGGTCGAGCAGGTCCCTTTCCCCCTTTCCACTGTCGCAAGTTCGCGCGGAGCATAAGGCGGTCGATGACCAGTTACTTAAAAAAGTGTAGCTCTTTCTTATGCGGCACACCCACAAAAATTTATTCAAAACAAAAAAAAAATGCATCCGTTTCATATATTGACACCAGGACGGGGTATAAGGCACAGATTATTGGGGGCAAAGCAGCAACAAAGTTAGGTGGATATGACGGTAGTGGAACAAATCTCAGAAAGAACCAGGCGCTGGATAATTGTGGAAAGCAAGTATGGGCCAGCAGAAGTCTACCAACACGATGACAGGACGGTTTTACCGACAAGCTTCTAACTAAGCGAGAAAATCTCGAAAGTTTCGAAGTCGACATCGTAAAAGGCTCGGATTTCAAGAACAAAACAAACCGACGAGTATTCCCTGCACAAAAAGAATGGCATATGACTATTTTCTGACTGAAATGAAAGATGGCTCAAGAGGAAACTCAACAGACACTGAGCATCGTCCCCAAACCAAATAAAGACAAATTGAAGCTGCGCTTCATACATGCTTCTTCAGGGGCGATAAAGACGTCGTCCTTGAGCAGAAATTGACGCAAATCGAATGGATCTCCCCTGTAATTTCAGAATGGTTGCAAAATTAGAAATGTATACCTGAATGAGAAGAGCGTCCCAATTGTATCGCGGAGCCGGATGGTAGGGTTGAGGCCCGCAAATCCGAAACCAGGCAAAGGTTCGGCCGGCTCGTGCTTCTCGTTCTAAAAGAAGTTGATAAAATACTAAGTGCGTGTATACCTCGAAAAGGCCAATAGCTGGTGGAACGGAAGCCACCTCGGAGAAGTCTGTCGTGTCTTCATCGGCTTCTCTATAAAAAGGCGAGTTTTAAACAGTTGTCATGTAACGACGTTGTAATATAATCGATACATTTTTTGAAGAAAACAAACGTACATATCCGGTGCATTCCAGTATGGGTGGTCGAATGCAGCCGGTAGCGTTCCCATCGGAGAGTCGATCACTGATGTAGAACAGTTGACGTTGCACGGCGCCGAAGCTGGCTAAATGACAACAATTAAAGTACTTTAAAATGCTCTAACCTGGTAGACAAGGGGAGCCGTGAAGAGTGACGCGATGGTGACAACGTAGGCGAACGAAGCCGTTCCCAGCAAGGAGAAGAGGTTGTATAGCGTAGTCCAATAAGACGCGCTAGAAATAGAAACTTTGTTATAGGATACTAAAAGCGTATGAATCTTTAATGTACGAGAAATATAAACACTACCTCTCAATCCCGTCGCTTAGCAATCGCAATTCGTTGTAGGAGCAAAAGCCATGTTTCTTCAACAAATTTGCCGCCACGTATCGCTCGAGATTGACAAGCATCTTTTCGAATTCTGGCCCTTTCACCATGCATTGCCAGTCCTAAAAAGAATTTACACACCAGAATCTGATACAAACCAATTTTTGCGCCATATCCCATTCCAACTCGTTCAACGTCTCCGGATCCATCTCGACACACGCCGCCCAATCACTGTTTGCCGCCCTAAAAAACTATTGTTTGCAAAAAAAAAAAGAATTTACCTCTCCTCCATATCGGAGTCGTAGAGAAACTTCGAGGCAAGAATCAGCGCGGGAAGGTAGAGATCAGCCGGGTTCGACGATTCGAAAAACTCCTTTTCTCGTAGTCTAAAACCAGGAATTTAACAAGGTCTATCTAAGTAAACGTACCTCAGTCGGTCAAGGTAGACCATGGCCACAATTAGAGTGCACGGGTCAGCATAGCCATACCTAAAACGGTTTAGCCAAACAGTAAAAGCGTTTTACCTCGAAATAGAAGCTGAAGTTTCAGGCTTCAAATAGGCGAAGGGCGAGCTTTTGTCAAAGTAGTCCACCGCAAATTCTAAAAGATATTCGATGAGAATAGAACTTCCAAGAAACCTGTCAGTGGTAGTGAAAGTGTTTTGGTCGGACGACAACCATAGCCCATGGTGCGCTGGATGCGTTTCCGGACTCGACGATATTCTATCGTTGCCGGCGCCATACCCCTGAAAGTTTCTATTGAAATGGAAATTGGAAGAAAGATAATACGTGAAATGAATAGAATCAAAGAGAAACTCAGAGATAAATAAGAAGAAGTCGATAAGACGAATGATATGAAGGATACTTTGCGAGTAAAGGATTCCGGGAAATATTTATCGGTATTTAAACCCTTTCTCGGTTTAGAAGCTCGCAAGACTGTGTTTTGAAAATGACAAAAAAATTACAGGGAAATGTGTTTTAAAAACAGTTCAAAAATTTTTACAAGAAAGATAAAGTAAACAAACTCGGTTGTTTTCGCGCGGTCCGTTGCGCGGGAGTTGGGCTTGCGCGGCCCCATGCGCGGCTCTCGGAAAATGCGCGAGAGTGACGCGGCGGAATGCGCGGGACCGCGCTTTCTGTCGCGCAATCAGTCGCGGAAGGAGCATGCGCGGTCCCGCGCATGTCGTGCATGGTTTTTAAACGTACTGCATGAAAAACTCGAGGCATTTAGCGAATTTTCGTTAAATTTAGATTTATTTATAGAAACTTGTTTCTTTCCTGGATCCATACGTTGGTTCCATGGAACCAACGCTGTTTTTTCCACTGAAGGTCGGAGGTATCAGGCGTGGCTATTAATCATTTTCAGGGAATTTAGGATTTGCAAATGCTGATACTTTGATGTCAAACGCTCCATGGTGAAGCTTCGGCAAGTTTTTTTATTTTTTTTTTCTACAAAACTTCACTCTCAGTGTCAGTCTCACTTCACTTAATGAATGCACCGTCAAAGGCCCCGGTGTCGGTAATTTGTGGCATGTGGCCCAATTACAAGAAGAAATGCGCATGATGAGAAGTAAGTCTGATTTATTATTGTTATCGGGAGAATTTAGGCAAAGAAGCTGGTAGAAACAACTATCTCTGCAACGAAATGACCACGGTCAGTCAAAAACGTAAGTGATGCGAGCGTAAGTCGAACCAATACTGTAAGTCTGAATCTATCTAGCAAGTTAGCTAACAAAATAAATAGGATTTAGCTCAATTCGTAAGCACACTTGGAACAAGGTGAGTCAACAGTTATAAAAAGCTAGTTTTTAAATACCAAGGACAAGTTTAGGTTCATCGACAGCACCTCAACTCTTCTTGCGGAAAACAATCTTTTAAAACTGTTTTTGTATCATTACCCCGGTATAAATGTATAGCTACTCATACTCCATCTACTCACAGTAATACCTGCTCCTAACGCAGGTTTAATAAGTAATATAAGAGCTTTAAAAGGAGGAAAAGCGCCCCTGGGCCAGCTGACGGCGAGAGCCGCGCAAAGTCCCGCGCATTCGCAGGTCCCGCGCATTTGGCCGGCGCTCCCCGAAATGCGCGGGACCGAATCCCTGCCAGTCTCCGGTCCCGCGCATTTGGTCGCGCAACGGAGCGCGCAAAAAGAACCGAGAAAAGAAATCAGCGACCGCGCTCCGTAGTACGCCTCGCTACACATTACGTTGGTTGGACACAACGTACTACAACTGTAATTAGTTGTAAGTTGTAATAAAAATGGCCTGTTACGAAAATTGAAATTGTTTAGACCTTTTATCGAAACTCTTCTTGAAATTCGGTGTCACGCTCGCTAATGTTCGGTGTTGACTTTTGCAATACGGCCCGCGGGTTTTGATCGTGGAACGGAAGTAGTAGCGCCTCAGCATCTGATCGTTATATTAGGTCGCTGATATTTCAATAGCAAAATTTGGTGATTCGTTGATGGCCGGCCCCATATTTGAGGGCTGGTGATAAAGAATGGCTATCGGGCGTGTTGATCCCGTTTGACAGTCGCGCACTTTTCCGTTTCATAACCGGGGATGATGTCACTATTTTGGGGAGGTTCTCACGGTCGATCAAAACCAATTTCTTCGCTGCCTTGGGAGCCATTTCGAGAACAAAAAGGTTAGAATTAGGCTTGGCATTTCGAGACCACTTAGAAATGAACAAATTACGCTGCTTCAACCGAGGATAACTGAAAAGCTTGCAAAAATGATGTTTATGTTCAGTTTAGAAAAGAATACCATGCGCTTTTTATCGAAATGCTTAATTACAACTTTATATAGGAAGTCTGCAGCTATGATATGAATGAGATTGCAATCAGGATTAGAGGTTGCGAAACTTGATATCAAAGAAATCAACGTCCAAACCAGTTAAAGGTAAGAAGTCTTGGCATAGTGCCAACCTGTGTAATACTGGTTTCTCTTTCCCTTTAGCATGTCTAATCGTGTTTAGTATAGTCGCGGATTATGATATAGTTACGAAGAATTGTGAAACAATAGTCAAGGAGTTGCGTTATCGGTTGGCAGCAGTAAATGCCAGCCTTCCCACGGCGCTTTCTCAATAAAAAAGCGGGATCGGGTCGTAGGGCATGGGATCGATGCACATGGTCGGTATATTTGTCAAGGCCTTGGCGGAGTGGGACCTTGCGAGCCTGTCTCTTTCTTTCTCTGCCATCTCTCCTCTAGTGTCCCCTCTCATTCTCTAGCCTCTCCACTAGCTAGAGCTGATGCGCAGGTGCGTCCCCATTGGCGCAACGCCTGAGCGTGCGAGGCGGTTTTTGGCTTGACTTCAGCGTTCAAATCTCCGCCGCGCCATGTTTATTTGTTTGTGTCCCTCAAAACTTCCAATCAGATCATCCACTCAATTGGATTCTCAAACCAAAACATTATCTTTCGATCTTGCTAAGCTCTATTTTAATTCATGGCTAATAGTCGTGGTCTCAACTAATAAAAATTATTTTCGAAACCAGAACGATGAGTGCGACGGAGGAGGCAGCCCCTACGCAGACTGAACAAGCCGCTAAGCCGCCGGCTGCGGAGACTTCGGAAAAGCCTGGTTGGTCAATTTTTTTTGGCGCTGAGATTGTTTATTCATATTTTTGTTGTATACGATTTTAATTTCATGGATGTTGAATCACTTAAAAACTGCTGATAATATTCATACCAATTATTTACGAATAACTGGTCCTCAATTAATATAAATAGTATTATTATTGTCAAATGACGCGTTTTTTAACGTGAATTTCATTAAAACTGACTTTAGCTTTAACATATTTACAAAATTCAGCAAAAATCTTTATGTATTTTCAAGCGCGCCCGTCATTTACATGCTACACAATTAACTCATTATGAATTTAAACCAATAAAACTTTAGAAGAGAAAGTCAATGGCAGCGAGAAGGTAGAAGAGGCCCCGAAAGAGGTCGAGGAAACCATCGAGAAAAAGGTGGGCATCAAATCAAGTTCCAAAAATACGGATATTTACAGATCCTGACTCCCGAGACGACTCCAGTCAAGGAGGCTGCAAAGGAAGTTGAAATCCCGAAGAATGAGCCGCAAGCCGCGGCTTCTGAAGAGAAGGTTGACGAGACCCCCAAGGAGCCAACACCCAAGCCCGAAGATCAGTGGGAGGTAATCGAGGCCGAGGAAGTGGAGAAGGTGTGCTTGTTGTGTTGTTTTTAGAAGCAATCCCTACAACTCTATCTTCAACAAAGTAGAAAGCAGCTCGAAGCCTCAAAACAAGATCGACTTTTGGATTTTTTTTGTGTAGCACAAATTTCATCGATAGTGATCACGCTGCACTTGTCTTGTCGGCATTTCAGCATGGATTTTGAGAAATTTCGAAAAACATTAAACCGATAATGATAAAAAATTTTTCAGGCGAAGGAGGCTGAGGCTGCCCAGAAAGAGAAAGAGAAGGAAAAGCCAGCTGAGAAGGAAGAAAAGAAGGAAGAGAAAAAGGAGGAGACTAAGGTGGGTAGAATGAAAGTAGCAAAAAAGATGTGGTTCAGGAAACCCCTGCCAAGACACTGCCAAAATGGATGGTGCAGGATGCTGATGAGGAGATGCCAGAAGAGCCTGAAGAAGAGAAGAAGGATGCACCGGCAGCTGCAACTCCTGGACGTGGTAGAGGAAGAGGCCGTGGTCGTGGACGTGGAGCCAGAACTCCAGCTGCTCCACCACCAGTCGCTGCTGACGGATCGGTGGGGAAAAGAAACACGGTCTTAAAATGGAATTTAGGTCGAAGGCCCGGCTGGTAGACCGAGACGTTCGACGGCTTCGAGGAGAATCGACTACGCCAACCCGGATACTTCGACAGTGTTGGCTGAAGTTGACGATGAAGTTCCTGGCGGTCTATTCAAGCGTCGTTCATCTGCTGGAGGTGCTCGTGGAGGTCGTGGTCGTGGTGGACGTGGTAGAGGACGAGCTAGCCGTACCAAGGGATCTGATGAGGATTCGGATGAGCCTCAAGAGCCGGTTGGTCTTGTTAATTTTTTGAATTTCTGAAATACACTGTTTTTTTTTTTTTTAGTCATGGTCCCCAAATCTTCAGGACTATAAGGGGGAGAGGCTTAGCGGCTGACCGTAATAGTTTTTCCGAATTCCTAAATCCGGCAAAGAGACTTATCCGGGATTTTAGGAGTCGGATGATGACTACAAGGGAGCCGCTGCGGCGAAATCTCCTCGCGGAGGTAGGGGCCGAGGCCGTGGACGTGGGCGCGGACGCGGTGCTGGCGGACGCGGACGCGGAAGAGGCCGCGGTGCCGCTGCTGGTGGAAAGAAGAAGGATGGATCGGAAAGTGATGGAAGCGTTGAGGGACTAGATGATGGTAACAGTGATGCCGATGATAACCACGAGGAGACAGAGGAGGTAGGGTATCTGAGTATTGAAGAGTCAGAGTATTCAAAATGAATGTCAATATTTGGCTAGAGTCAATATCCCCCTTTATGCTTTGGATTAAGGGTATTGGATGATCATTGTGTGGTTGGGATATAGGATGTCAATATCCGATTTCTAGGTGCTGCCCCAGAAGAAACGCGCTGCTTCCCCTACCACCAGCCCGAAGAGCAAACGGGCTAGAGGTGCCGCTGCTGCTGAAGAGGCTAAGGATGAATAGGAGTTGGTAAGTTATTGAAGCTACCTAAGCCTAAACATACTTTTGGTCTAATACTAAATACTCACTATATTAAACATTTTTTTTCAACGCATTATAAAGGTTTTAATACTTCTTATTCGCCAGATCACTGCACCTTCCCAATGCCCAAATCCGATTCACCTCCTAAATTCGATTATCCTCTCTTTTCAGAAGCGCATCCCCCTCTCGGCGACGTCGCATCACAAAGAAGTTCACCCAGAATTTTTCAAAAACAAATATTTATCCCCCAGTCCCTCAACCACCGTAGCCTGTATATAGATGGCATTACATGAAATACAGAATAACTCCCCTCCTCCCCCACGTACCCTTGCCCATACCCCACAATCGTTCGTTCTCACTTGGAAACCAAGGCCGTCTGCCTATAGAAAATTCACTAAAATTTGCACGCCAACTAGCGACCTCATGCGATTCTCTAATGTTTTTTTTTGTTTTTGGTTTTTATATGAAATCAGGTTTATGGGGGGCGATGGTTCGGCCCGGGTTACAAAATCAAAAACAGTATTTCCGGCGATATCGTAGGCAGGCGGGCTGAACCGATGCAACCCATTTTTCCACGTTGAAGCTTTGTACGGGATTTTCGACCACTCATGAAAATAGTACTACCTTACAAAGATTCTTGTCGTCCCTTGTCCCTCCTTAATTTTTTTCTTTTTTAACATACCCCCGAACACTTCCCCGTTACCTTGAGTATCTCAGCCCCGCAGGCCAAGTTGGTCTCTCCATTTCGAATTTGTTTCTCTTATATTTATTTAATTTTTTTTACAAAATAAATTCAAATGTTCGATGGTCCCCAGCATTTGCAACACATTCACCGGCTACAGGGAATCTATTTTGATTTTTAATAACATTTTTATAAGCTTAGCGACCATACAAAACAAAAAGAGTTTTTAAAAAGGTCACTAGGTTTTACTGGCTTGTAAGAGGCTTTTTTTGTTTTAGAAAGTTTGCGTTTGCCGCTCTTTCAAGCCCACGCCAAAAGAATTCCCATCGATTTTGAAAGAAGTAAAAAAAATCTTTTTCCTACTTGGTGTGGGCTTGGAGAGACGTGCTGTGGGCCAACGGCTAGTAATCTTGGGGGGAAAATCTCGGGGCCGATGCGGATATTCCCCTCGAGACTCTCAGCAGAAGGGCCCTTCCGCTTAATCTTTACAATGCTTTTAGTGTTGTTGAAAATTAACTGCACTGAAAATTGAGCCCGTTAATAATTTGAAATGCCTTTGAAAGCCTGAAAATCAAAAATATCGGTTTACATTTTTTTTTTTGCTGAAATTTTATTCGAATATAAATGTCATCGCTGTTATTTTTTCCCCAATTAATTCCCATGCTCTGTTTCTCGCCCCTCGTTATTTGGAATGTGTTGGAAATAAATGTTCAGCTCCAAGGCCATTGTGGCCAGGTGCATCTAAATCTGGCGAAGACTGTATCGAAAAGAAGCGGCATCGATTCGGCCGGGCTCATTTCCTGTTTGGCAGTGTCTCGGGCTGTTCATCTACAGGATGGCGACAGCCGTTTGGGAGGTAGCTATTCTACCGTTTCAGCCATCCAATTCACCGACCCGATCCCGGAAATCGCTTGAAATGGGCCGGTATTCGCCGTTGCCTAAGTCTATTGCTGCATTGGTAAGACAAAAATGATACTTTTTTGCTTTGCTAAAAATCAAACAAAAAGGACTCGTTGATGTTTTTTATGCTATCTGAGAACGTACTTTAAAAACCACGAAAAATGGGCTAATCGATGAGCAAGTGTGGGGTGGGCCTTCAGGTGGCGACTCCTAATTGAGGGCCTTTTTAGCCGTCAAAACGCTCCCCACCTTCTAGTCCAAGCTTTTTTGGTGTGCCGCTCCGAAGGGCTTTTTTATTATTTCATTAATTTTCATAAAATACCTATCGAAGCTCCTTTAAGAATGGCATAACGCATAGAGCTAATTACTCTCGTCTGACCAGCTTTCAAGAATATGCCGATATTAAACCTGAATGTATTAGGCAAAAAAAATCGAAGATGCCAAATTACGACGCATGATTTTTTTACAGCGGTTTCCTTTCAAATTTCGGTATAATATTTCGCCCCAAGGAAATTTGTTTGTAACAGGTTTTATATTTATGGATAGCGAATTATCTAAATTTGCATACAATGGTTTTTGCGTAATATTAAACTATTAATACGTATTAAATTACGGTATAATCTTGAATAACTGCCTGATAATCGGCCGTACCTACAAAAAAAAATAGGTTACAAAGCAAAAGCAACTACGTCTGATCCCCTCCTCCAAAAACCTCCAAAACACCATGTGATTCTAAAATACAAGTATTCCTACGACACCTTTTTCGGTCGATAGCTTTATCCCCCCGGTGCCCGGTGCCAAATCCGTTTTATCCGGCCCTCTAGTCGAGTGAGGGGGGCTCTTTTTTGGTTGTCTTTGTGTATATATGCTTGTGTCTATCTCCATCACTTTTCTCTCGTGTCAGGATTAATAACTCGGCAAATATTTAGCACTCGCTGGCCCGCCTGGGGGCTCCCCGGGGGCCCGTGAGCACGACTCATTCGATTGGCCGTCTTAGAGAATTTGTAGTCGGGATCTAAATACTAATTCCTCTACACGATGATTCCAATTGGAGAGGTTTGTTGTTAAAATTGGTACTGGGGCGAGTCATGGCGTGTCAACAACCCTTTATTACTTCCATTTATACAAAGCAACCACCAGGCGGGCTTGAGTAATGACTTCCGGTCCACTCTATATTCTTAGCCAATCCAAGAAGGGCCCACGTCTGGGACCCATGCCCCTTCCCTCCAGCCTTCGTGGCCCTGGTAACACACCGTCCTCTCCAACCCCGATTTCATACCTCCATATTTGCGTACCCACTGAAATAAGGAACAAACAACAACGCCTACGCCTAAACCTAAGCCTAAACAGAAGCGTAAACCGGAACCTAAGCCTAAGCCAGAGCCAAAGCCTAAGCCTGACCGGCGCCTAGACCGAAAGATAATGTCTTACTACCTTACTTACCGTACTTACTACCTATGCCCAGGCCTCACCCCCTCTCAAATCCCAAAATCCCAAATCCAAAAATTCCCTGGATTATATCCGGACCCCTCCAATCTCCAGAAACCCCAGTTTACTGAAAAACAACGGCTTCTCAAGCCCCCGACCTCATGATTTTTAGTAAAATACGGGCAGCGTTACATTTTGCAATTAGACATCTCTTCCCGCATCCGGAATTGCTGGGCCATAGAGTCTCCCACGAGGGAGATATCCCCCTCGGCTCCTTCCCTTTTTTGCCCTCTGGCTAAAGCCGATCCATTTTCGTCCACCGGATTGTTGTGTACCCACCACCGGAGAAAACCGTGGGGTTATTAGTGCGGTATGGCTTGGATTTTAGGGATTTTAGAGCAATACTGAGGTTTTTATTTTAAGGTTTTTTTACGGGTGACTGTCGTTAATTTTGTGTCTTTAATTCCTGTTCACGGGTCAGTGAATCTTGTGCCTTTCTATCCCATTTCGTCAAACGGCCAATTTCCTACGGGATGGCAAATACGAGGGAGGGCCCCCCGAGGGCCTCGCCGCGAAAGCCAAAACGACCGGGCTTTTGATGGGTACGTTGAGGGGAAGGCAGCCTCTATATATCCTATTGTTCCTACTTGGTGTTGTGGAGGAGCAGTATTATTTTTTTTTACAAATGCTATCCATATCAAGTATCAAAGGCATTGAAAAAAAGTTCAGGTCCGTTAGGATAAAGTAAAATCATTTGCATATTAAAGCCAATTTAAAATTATCGTAAATCGGCTCTGCTCCCACTTTTAAACCCGTTATTTTTGCATAGCAAACTTATCTGATTCTTTATTCTTTAAATCAAAATACATTATATCCATAAGTTTTCCCGAATTTCCCTATGTTGCTGTATTTGGCTATGCCAAGTACCTTTTCTTTTTCTTCATCTTTCTATTAAGTGACTATACGGTAGCCGATTCTGAGCGGCTTGCAGAAATGATCGGCATTGGAGAAGTGAGTATTTTGGGAGGGATAACAGGCACATTCATTCACACACTCATTACCATCCAGCGCCAAAGGCACTAGCTCTCTCTTTATCTCTCTCTCTCTCTCTCTCTCTCTCTCTCTCTCTCTCTCGCTTTCTTTGGGTGTCGATTGATTGCCTCAGGGCGCATTCAATCCAAGATGATCCTCCACTGGTTCCATCCTCTTCCAAAAGTGGTAAAAGTTACAAAGTTTGAAATTATGAAAGGTTCTAGCGCCTTAAAATTTTGGACATTTTATATCGAAACCTTCATAACGTCATATAGTGGATGACATAATTGTGTTAACCTTTTTATGAGCTTTGCCAGAACAACCCTGAATCACCACAATCCCGTACCCAATAAATATTTGCGCCACTTTAAAATGCGCCCCTCAAAATAGCAAACAACGCAAAAAACAAAGGGGGGAGAAGCTGTTGGGTGGGAATAGCAAAGAAATCGTGTGCGCCCCTCCTGGCTGTGCTCGGCGCACATTGGATCAGATTTCCATTCGGGGAGCCACGCATTCTGCCTTATTGGTCGACATTTGTTGCGACTAGGAGGTGACCTCGAAACATATCAATATTTTATTTGGGATTTTGGGGTGAAAATGAAGGTAGGTGGGGTCGATTTTTGGGTGGTAGCTCAGGTTTTTCAATAAAAACGTATGAATTATTCAGACGCACGATGGGAGGGCGGATATGACCAACTTTGAGATGGACCTTTTTGATACGAGGATGATGAGACCGACGGAAAAGGAGGATGGTGATGGATGTTGTAGGTATGTGCTAGTTTTACATTAATTTCTGTTTTGTTCGCTTTCTCTCATTATCTTCCCCTGATTTTATGATGTTTTAAAGAACTTAGAACTCAAACAGATACCCTTAAATGCTTCATCTTTGCCAGTGAATTCAGACAATTTTAAATAATTCCAATACACCCGCTATCACCCATCCTATGCAAACAAAAAGTGATCAATGCGCGAGGGCCGCCCCGAGGTCACATCTCTCACTTGTTGGCCTCTCGCCAGCAATGGCACAAATGAGAGAACATCCATTTTTGAGAGAACATCGACACTATCTGAATGTATCCCCCCTTTCCTCAACGAGTGGGGGTGCAGCGCGCCAAAACTAACTGCCAGGCACGAGCTGTGACTTTTTGGGTGGATTGGGTTGTTGAAAAAGGGACCATCAGGGTGAAAAATACACAAAAAATGGCACAGTTATGCGAATAAAAAAATACTTAGAAATATCGATAAGAATATCACTCTGAAATTTGGCCAATCCCCGTTTAATTTGTGGTTTAATTTTAATTAATACTTTAGCTTTTGGTTATTGCAATCTTGTAGTAGATTAACTATACTTTTTAAACATTTTATAGTGGACGTCGGAATCATCGTGTTGTCGGTCCTGCTTGCCTGCCAATTACGATCGTTGCCTTACTTATCATTACTCTGGTAGGCTTTTATACAGCTTAGTATCGAAAATAATGGTCTTCTAATTATAGCATATCTCATTTATGACTTAGGTATTTGTTCCCCTATTCAACGATGACGATCTCGAAGCAGCCGACAAATTCCTACTCCAAAATATTTGCACAAAAAGCTGCGAGTACGTCTTTTCCATTATTACGGCATCAATCCCATTTCAGCGTGGAATTGACCGAAACGATGCCGAGTGGATTGGTGTATAAAACAGGGCCCACCCATCCGCAAACCTACAAAGTCAGTAAAACGGCAAAGTTAAAATGCAGGCATTCAGACGTGGGTGGATCTGATAAACCGCGCTGAAAAATACCTGGACATTGCGCAGATGTACTGGGAATTGAATTCCACTGAATACCCGACGGCTGCTTATGTGAGTAAACTTTTGGGAAAATGTTTAGATTATGGCGCCTACTTTTTAATGTTTCCTTAAACCCAATCTTTGCAGGGACGTGAAGTTTTTGAAGCCCTCATCCGAGCTTCCAGAGATCGGGGTGTAAAATTGCGAATTACCCAATCACCACCCACAAAACAATTCCCACAAACCGATACTCAATGGCTGGAAGAGCAGGTATTGCCTGGGACTTGGCGTCAATAGTACGTTTGCGTAGGGACTGGCCAAAGTTCGTAGTGTGGATATGACACGCTTGGTTGGCGCTGGGATCCTGCACACCAAATTCCTGGTCTCCGATATGCAACATGTCTACGTTGGGAGTGCGAATGGGGATTGGAAGAGTTTGGCCGAGGTGGGTTTAAAGGAAGCGTGACAGGCTGATTTCAATAAATAACCATTTAATGCGTGAAAGTTTAGGTGAAAGAAATGGGAATTGTGGCTCGGAATTGCCCGTGTCTGGCTACTGATGTCTACCGTGTTTTTGCTGTCTATTGGCGGCTTGGCGATAAGGATGCAAAAGTTCCGGCTCAATGGCCTATCAGTTTTAGGTATGGTTTTCTAATACGTACTTTTTAAAGAACTATGCCCAAAATCCGATATTTAAATAGCGATTGAAAGTACCAATTCAACAAAACGAATTTCCAGAACACCATACAACGCTGAAAAACCGATGGAAGTACTGTATAATAACAAAAAGATGTCGACATTTGTCTCGGTAAATTGAAATTTAATAATTTATGTTAACTGATTTCTTTTAGAGCTCCCCAGCCGGCTTCAACCCAAAAGGCCGTGAGCACGACCTGGCCTCCATCGTGGGAGTGATTCGGACCGCAAACCGTACCGTGTCTATTTCTGTAATGGACTACCTCGCACAAACTATTTATCTAAAATCGAATATGTAAGACATATAATGAGAAATATTAGGCTTTATGAATTTTCTAGCTTCTGGGCACCAATTGATGACGCTATCCGAGATGCCGCTTTTCGTGGTGTTCATGTGAGGATGTTGCTATCACGGTGGAATCATACAAAACCGGAAATGGACGCTTACGCTAGGTACTTATCTATTTAGCTGCGACTTTATAGCAACATATAGATCCCTCTTGGCTTTTAATGGTGTTCTAAATGCGACAAAACGACCGACAGATCATGGTTTAATCGAAGTGGTAAGCATTTCATTTTAAAACCCGTTATATTTCCTCGTTCATAGAAGCACTTCGTTGTCCCAGCCACAAAAGAACAGGCCCGAATCCCCTTTGCTCGAGTCAACCATGCAAAATTTATGGTTACAGAGGATGTGGCTTACATCGGTAAGAAATTGATTGCTGTCGCCATCCCGTTAAAAAGTCAAGGCTATTCGGTAAATTCAGGAACATCAAACTGGAGCGGTGACTACTTTATAAATACCGCGGGTGTCGCGGTCATTAGCCGAAAAGCGGAGAATGGGACTATTGTCGAAGATCTGCAAGCTGTTTTCGATCGAGATTGGGAATCCGAGTACGCTAGTTTCCTATAGATATATCGTATGTAATGGTTTTGTTGCGACATTCCTTTTCACGGGTTTATTACGGCATTCCGCCCAAAAAATGCTCATATTGTTGTAACCAGTTGTGATTTTTGAACGAATAAATATGTAACGAAAGCTTTCGGTGAAATCAATGTAACATTCTGTCTCCCTTCTCTCTCTCTCTCTCTCTCTCTCTCTCTCTCTCTCTCGCTCTATCACTCTCACTCTCAGGCTCGCTCTCTCTCTCGTTCACTCTCACTCTCCCTCTTCGCTCTTTCTCACTCACTCTCGCTCTCACTCTCACTCTCTCTGGCTCGCTCTCTCTCGCTCTCTCTCTTTTACTCTCACACTCCCCTCTCTCTCCCTCTCTCTCTCTCTCTCTCTCTCTCTCTCTCTCTCTCTCCCTCTTCCTCTTCCTCTCTCCAGGTTATACACCGAATTACAGCCCATCGAATTTTCATTTGGCGGAATTTTCCACATTCCCTGTTGTTGTTTTTCAGAATGAAATTTTTGTGGGATGAAATTTTGGCAGATGCAAATTCGGCAACATAAAAAAATTACCTTAACATATAATGCAGAACTGAAAGTGATCTCCTCTATAAAACTACACCTCAAATCACCATCCTCCCCTACCACCCATCCCCACGTGCAAACATAGGAAAGAGCCACACGACCCGGGACATTTGTGCAAATCTCGGATTTCCTATTTCATGCTCCTTTTTTGGAGTCGACTCGACCAACTCGGTCAGTATATCCACCCCGACCTACCCCTCTGCATTTTATGGCCCAAGGCGCGCACGATTTTGCCCAAAAATCGGCACAATTTTCTCGACAATTTTATGGCGCACAATTTTCTCCCGGCCTTCTTGGCCTTTTAGGCTTTACGGCTGGGATTTCTGGTCTGGACTCAAACTTATTAAAAAGATCAAGACCATTTCGACAAAACGCAAAATTATAAAACTCTAAAAACTCCGCTAAGTTACAAAGAACATGCTTGAATTCATGGAAGAGCCACCTACTCATTGTGTCGGCTGACGTTTTTTGTGTTCGGTAATTTTAGCCGCTCATTCTCACACATTCGATTAGTGACCTAGCCACAATCTATTGTCAGCGTAGTCTTTGCCTTTCTTTTATTTTTTTATTCTAAAAGTGCTGGCGGTAGATTAGGCTCTATTGAACAAGTGTAAGCTCACGCCTACGCTTAGGTGCAGACAAAACCTAAGCCTTCGCCGAAGTCGAAATCGACATCTAAACTGAAGCCTAAGCCTAAGCCGCAGCTAAAGCCTAAGCCGAAGCTTAAATCTATGACTACGTTTAAGCGCAAGCCAAGTCTAAGCCGAAACCGAAACCGAACACTAAGAATAAGCCGAAACCGAATCCTAAACTAAGTTTATGCCGAAACATATGCCTAAACCTAAGCCTACGCCTAAGCATAGGTCCAAGCCAAGCCTAATCATAAATCTACGCTTAGGCCTAAACCGAAAACTAAGTCAAAGCCAAAGCCTAATCCCAAGCTTCACACCAAAACGTATGTCTAAACTAACTGAATCAATAAATAGTATATTTCATACTTAAAAAACTCACCCGTTTTCCGCCCCCTTCTGAAATGATGGAACCGAAAAGGGGTAGTCGATTCCTTGCCGCGCCATTTTCCAGTTAATCCAATTGCGCTTCAAGCAAGGGGGGGGGGGAAGGGGTACGGGGGGGAACAACGTCTTCTCACGGCCAATTTCCGCGTTGTTTTTTTGTTCCGCCCTATAATGACCATTTTTTGCCGGTCTCCCATCAATTAAAGACCTCCCATAAAAATTAGGATGGCACCGAGAATTAAAGCGCGCACAATTCTGCCTACTGTGCTTTAAGATAAATTAGTTATCTAAAGTTAGCTTTGTTTTGGCTTGGTTTATGAGTTCCTATGAATAAGCGTAGAGTCGAATCCACCTATGGATTTAAAACTTTGTTAATACCTTTAAAACGCCGGATTTTAGCTGTTTCCCATCAGTATTCACAGATCCAGAGATCAGGATGAGAAACATGCCATAGAATTTCAATAAAAACAAAGAATAAGCCCATATTCACATGGTTACCCGGCGGCCGCTTCTGCATTTCTAGTTCCGCCCTAGACGCTGTAGGCAACCAGTTCATCCTCGATTTTTTATTTTACAACGATCCCCTTGGATGTTTGTTTATATTTTGTAGTTTTTTGGATTTAATCTTTTATTTTGATTCTATAAATTTCACACAATGCAAAAAACTGAAGCAGCTGAGGATATTAAAAATAGACACTTACCTTTTCTAACAGCCCATTTTCCATAACCTTACTCCGAACAATCTTTATATTCCGATTGGTCCGCGCGAGCTGTGGCGATCAAGAGACAAAAAAGCTGCCCCTTGAGAGCGTTATTCCCGGAGAAAACCCATAAAATTGAGGGGCCCCTCAAGTCCACACCCGGCCACGGAACTCCCCTCGATATCCCTCACCCCGATCTCTCACTAAAACACCCCCCCCGGCACTATATTATTTGTAGTAACGTATTATATACTTGTTAGAAAGCATTATGGCATCGTAAGGATACGGAACTCTTAAAGGGGCTCCGACCGAAGCGTAGTTTTTCAGGCAGCGGCAAAAAAAATTGGATGTAACAGGTATTCGCCCCCCCCCCCCGGATGTGCTCTCTAACGTAAAGACATGGAATTTTTCCATGATTCATGGAAAAATAGCGCTAATGACGGAGCGTTTTAAAGTCGGTTCAGCCTATGAAAATTTGGGAAATCGGAAAATTAGATATTTTGAAGCCGTGATCCTGAAAATTCAAATTCTGAAACCCCAAGGGTTCGAACTTGTAAGTTTTTGTTTTCAAGATTAAGCTAGGCATGACAGTTTTGATACAATTAATGCAGTAAAGAAGATCATGATGCATTTCAACGTTTTTAAAGGGACGCGCAAGGCCGCGTAGTTTTCGATCTTGCCAAAAACCCAATCCGCCTTTGCCGGCCATATCAGACTTTTTTACATTGAGCTATGCATACTTTGGATTTTGGGATGGCAATGCCCCAAAACTTGCTAATTCTATCGTTGTTATGAACCGGAAATGGGCGTCATCCTGTCCAACAGCATTTCCCCTCCCCACCGCAATTTCCTCTTACTTTTTAAGAACTCGTCTCTATTCGGCACTTATTTGGACAAAGCAGCAGCGCAGCTTGGAGCAGCGAGTTTCACCAAAGAAAAATTTGTGCTTCAATTGGTTTAAAGTGGTAAAACTATCATTTCCAAGGTCCTTTAAAAATATTGAACTCTGCTCAATCTTGTGACACTGTCCCTTTAAAATAATCTTCTTAAACGGTACCCTGATCCTTCTTCTCTGCCAGTCTACCCAACATTTCATTACAGGGGTTTATCGAGGCCGTTCATAGTTGTCATCCGGAATATTCTTTCGGCTTTCTCCTCTGATCCGACGTCTCGGGCCCAGATTATCCGTTAGAAGCGTTGGTCCGAGACAGAATCTTCCCCCACGCACAAATCCCCCCTTCTTATTCTATGTAGTTCTCATTCTGGCCCAGCAGCTTCACCGAAAACAAATGTTTTCCGCGTTCTAGCTTTTTCAAAACATTCCCAAATCCCAGCAATTTTCCTGTAACTTGCCCGTGCTATAAACTACATATTTTGCACAATTTTACCATATTTTGGTGAGACTCTGAATGCAGACATTCCATAGATGGGGCCCTCCTCCCTCCCCTCCGGTCCTTCTCGATAATTGCGATGGTCGTTCGCGTGCCCTGTCCCCCTTTATTTATTGTCTCCTCTTTTTCGGGATTTTTTAAGGAAATAGATGCGAATGCTATGCCGGTAGATTCTCACCCCGCAATTGCTCGCACGTTTTTTTTGTTGTTAAAACGTTTGAATTTCCGGTAAAATTTGCGGCTTTTTGTTTTTGGGGCGTAGGAATTGGTGCTGGAGAAATTGGATGAGGAGGGATATTTTAGCGATAGAAGCTATGCTTTGTGTTTTAAGGTTTTTCTTTTACGACGTTGTCACTCCCTCTCTCTCTCTCTCGCTCTCTATCTATCTTTCTCGCTCTCTCGCGCTCTCTCGCGCTCTCGCTCTCTCTCCGCTTTTTAAAAATTTTTTTACAAATTCTGTATTCAAAACATTGCCCCCATTCCCAAATGATCCGCACTATCTTGCCCTCTGATCCCTTATAAGCCTCTCCAAGCCCTCATCTCGAGCTCCTTGGTCTCTGGATTAGTCTCCACACTCATCCTACTTTCCTAATTACAACCCATTTCCAGGAAATGCGATACCTCAAAACTCATATTAAAACTTACGTTCCCGTTACTGTATGAATTCCAGTCCCTAAACCAAGGCCCCCGTATGCAAGTATTTTGAAAAACATTTAGGCCGTCCACCTTGAAGTTGTCGTCAACCCAAAGGGCATACAAATAAGAGTGCGCTTTTTTGAGCCTCATCTCCCAGGGGACCTAGCTCGAAATGAAGTAATTGTTCTCCCTTTCCCACCGCCTTCTCCCGCTACACCTCCGGCTCACCAAAAATCCTTAAAAATTCCCAAAATCGAGGGATTTTTTCTGCAATAAGTTTGAAGATTAGCGCCCTATTCATCATTACTACTTAATCCTGGAGCAGCCAACGCTAAACGTGTCGATGAAGTCCCGCCCATTCCGATTGTGTCTGTGCGACAGCTCTTCATAAAGCCATATGGCTATATATTGAGCGTATCCTTAAATAGACGATTCCTGTTGGATTTCCACACATCATCGTCCCGCGATGCCTGCTCTATTTTATAGAATGGACGTCTTCCACGTCAATGACAGCTTCACGTTGCACTGCAATTTACGGCCACTCCGCCACGCTACCAATTTACGCTTTTTCTTGGTCGGTCTTGGAGGAGCGACGATTGCTACGGTAAGGGGTTAGAATTTTGAAAACTAGAAAGGGAAGCGAGAAAGAAAGACAGAGAGAGAGAGAGAGAGAGAGAGAGAGAGAGGGGGGAGAGACAGCAAGACAGAGATAGAGAGAGACAGAGAGACATAGAGAGCAAGAGAAGAGCGAGAGCGAGAGAGAGAGGGAAAGAGAGAGCTCAATTCTCTCAACCCCATACCAAAAAAAACACCCCTTTTTTAAACCATTTTAGACTGCCATTATTTGCAATCTAATCGTCTGCTACATATTCCTAAATTCACGAAAATTACGCCGCCAAAACTACGCAAATCCCGTATTGCTGGCCGCATTCGATATAGTCGTCTCGTTTTGCTACCTGGCACTACATTCCGTGCAAGTCACTGGTTATAGGTAACTCATAACAGCTATACAATTTCACAAAACACCATTTTCAGGTTCGAATTTGAATCCCTGCTCTTTATCTGGATTAATTATGTACGGATTATCAATTGCCTACAGGTACTATAAAAATTATAAAAATACACCGCATTTTAGCATATCTGTGTCAATATTTGTAATTTTCTACTGGTTATTGCTAGTGTGGAGAGATTACTGGCTAATTGCCCAGAGGGGAGACAGGTTCGCTTTCCGGAGAATACAGCTACAAATCCAATAAAATGGGCGGGATGCTGAAGAAAGCCGTGTTTTTCGATGTCTGACCACAATTTTTGGGCATACCGGGCCAACCAAAAAACGTGTGATTTTCTGAAAAGAACTCGAGAATGGCTCCAGCAAATGAAATGTTTATCCCAGAAAATAATCAGTTCTGAAGGGATTTGCTGGAAATTCGTAAATTATGAGCGCAAGAAACTCTGGTTAAACAGTGACTTTAGAAAACATTGCTCGTCTGGATGGTGCGACGAAAAGTGTTCGTGACAGCTGGTGCTGTGGCATTTGCTACGATTTTCAAAGGAACTCTATTTCTAGAAACTACAATCTTACACCTACCGTATTGTCAACCTCTAGAAAGGTATCCGTCACGTAACCTGCTGTAATATAAAGAAATTCAGATATATTCCGGTCTGGGTAAGCGTGAATACCCATTGGGATGCAATGCGCTTTTGGACAAGAAAGGTAGTTAAATAGCTCAATACAATCCTTCGTTTTTAGGTGTTCACCGTACTCGTACCCTTCATTTTATTAATTTATTGCAACGTTCGGATCGTGCTTGAATTGCGGCAACGACGCGAAGAAACTCGAGAACAGTCCTTAAAGAAACGATCAATAAGGGGCCCATTATTAACTACGGGGTAGATTTAATACGTCTATTATCATACATTAATTATTACAGATCAATACGAAAACACTACAATGAAAAGAAAGGCGTTCGGGTTGCAACTCGTACTCTGTTGCTTGTCGTTGGGTGCTATTTGCTATCAAATTTGGTCTCCACGGTCGTCAATTTTTGGCAATTTTTCGATCCTGTCACCTTGGAAAGCAACTATCACTTCTATTTAATTATTTCTGATGTATCGACACTGGTGCTTTTCGAATCTAAGATATAACTTCAAAAACCTTCAGCTTACAATCTGCGGTTGTGCATGCCGTCTACCGATCTACTGTACATCAGATAAACGCATTCGGAAGGCCCTAATCCGCGCTCTTCTAAGATGGCGACACAAAGCGAGACCGATAGAGGTGATTTCTTCTAATACCATAAACTTGTCTCCAATTGCAGGTATTGGAAAAGAATCTCGAAAAATATTCAATAATTGTCGTATCAAATAGCCTACGCAGCAATTTGACTGGACATCAAATGATGAACAGCCAGGTAAGTCTACTTATGACAGAAAATGACATCTAAACCTATTAAACTGCCTGACTAAGCCTAAACTTAAACCTAACCTAAGCCCAAATTAAAAAATACAGCCTCTATCTAGGATTGGATTACTGGCCGACCGCGGGCTCGCGATGAATTGGCCATGCTGCTTCAAAATCGGCGAAAAATTCTGGTTGATATGACGTTGATTCTTGGGGCTGAGCGGGTAAGACCTTGAAAAACACTAAATACCCTGCCAACACACCGAAATTAAAGTAATGCTTTCAAAATGCGATCTAGGGACGAATCGCCGAAGAAGATACAACCGTTGAATTGACCCTACTTACCGATATCAACGAAGACAATGAGCCACTCTGCCCGCGCAGACCAAGCGCCTTCCGCCAAATTCTAGCAAACGTTTGAGCTACACCACCTTAACAATCGTTTCACTGTGATTATCTTATCGGTTTGAACCGGGTGACCTAATAAAGTATGATAGGAAATTTACGAATACGTACTTAGGAGTACGTTCGACACCTAACTACGGCAAGCGTACAACGGTAAGAACTGGAACCGGGTTCAGCAACTTAAAGAAATTACATCCAATCAGTCCCAAATTAAACCCTAAATTCCAACAATTCTGACTTACAGCTGCATACATACAGTAGTTCTCCTTATAACAAAAATGAACTTTTTCTCCGTTTTTCATAGGGTTAACATGAGAATTGATAAGAGATCCCCAATACCAGCAAGGAGGTTACCTCGTTACGAATTTTGCTATATTGGTTTGAGTAATTAAGCGTTGCTTGTGCGAAAGATATAAAGAAGCAAATAATAAAATCAATAACTTCGTCAATTTTACAAAGTTCTGTAAAGCGAAGTTCTGAAACGTGTTTTTGAATACCTTATCATCGAAATCATTAATGCTTAGAATCTCCTTGATAGCCACTCCGACCCGGCTGCACCTTATCTGCCATTGGACATCTGCCGATAGAATACCGGACAACAGTCGATCTGTCAAAACCTTTCATTAGGGCTTTGCATGCCTTTTTTTCCTTAATTATCTCCACATCGGTAGATTTTTGCTTTCAGGCGCGAAAGATTTTCCGCTTTCTGCCAACACAATAATATCACGAATCAAATATTAAATTTGCTTAATTCCACCCGAATTGCGCTGACACAAAATGGAACTCCCTGAGCTCCTTTTTATAGGCTACCCCCCACTTCCGGCATTATGTTTTGCTAGCCAAGAGGATTTCCACAACAAACTTAACTTCAATTTCGAAAATAGCACTTATTACATGATTTGCTATGTGTGCAGTCGTTTCTTGACCGTTACGCACCTAATGACGGCTCAAAAATACGCCTAGATACTTCCTTTATCAAGAAAAAAATAAATAATAAAAGCAGTCACTTTTGCGTCTCTTTTTGCTAGAACGACCGTATTTCGCCAAGACCAGAACCCCTTTTTTAAAAGCCTTCTAGTTTTCGTTAACATTTTACAATATAAGCAGAAGTGGAGCGTTTGAAATGGCGGGCTTTCCTGTGGCTCTAACTTCTCTGTTCTCTCACATTTCCTCCGCCCCTCACCATCATGTTCGATTGGGCTGCTCCCCCCGAATTCAGACGGGCCGCCCCGGCCATTGCTATACGAAAAGCGCTTCGTTTTGGCAACTCTGACAAACACCCTCTGTTTTTGCTAATTCTCCGCTATTTCACCTTTATCTTAACCATACTTCCTCCTTTTCAGCTACGACATGTTTCCCTATGGCCAGTTTCCGATGGGAACCCCTGGGCTCAACATTCCCATCCGGTACATGCCTGGGATGCCAGTTCTACCATCAGGTCAGAGATTTATATCCAAAAGGTCAAACATATTGTGTTCCTGAATTTTTCACACCTCTTGAAAGCGTATTCAAAAATGCTCAACGACCATAATCGTTGCAGCATCAGTGTCGAGTGCCGAAGGTATAAATGATCGAGGCGTGGAATATCCGGCCTTGGCTTAGAACTATCCCCCAAAAAGTTTTCTCTTTTTTATTTCTCGTGCTGTTGTGCCATTCGCTTTCGGTTTCTTGATCGCTTCTTTCTTGGATTGTTTTTTGGAAAGCTGGGATTCGAATCAATTGGCCGCGTTTGCCCTTTATATTCTTGAAGTTTTTGGGTGGACTTTACTTTAGCCTCCCCAGCCGGAAATTCCGAAAATTTTTGGACAATTCGATAGAGCATTAAAAAATATGTAAAGAGTTTTAATTACAGCGCAAATGAATGTAAAATAAAAAAGTTACAGCGCAAAACCTTTTGGGAACTTCCGCCTGAGGAGGGGGTAAAGTAAAGACTTACCAACTTTTTTACTACTACTGATTATTAGGCCATGCAGCCTGTCGCACGACATTGGCTCCCAGGTAGAGCTCAACTTGACTTACCATTTGATCTAAAAGCTTTACTAGAAGTTTTTAAGACGCAACTCAAACCGGGAATCCGAGCATTCACTTTTTGCTGATACAGTGGTTGGCCTTACACGAACCTATCAGAAAATAATGAAAAATTCTAGTCGTCCTAAAAACTTTTATTTCCGCATAGACTGCATGTGTCCTGTCCCCATTGTTCACCAGTCAATTTTGGCTGTGGCTTCATAATCCACACCTCTCTTACTGTCCCCCGCTTCTTAGTCAAAAAGCTTCATCCTCATCCTTCCAGCACCTGCCTTGAAAAGTTTTGCTTTCACCCGAAAAACACCCTGTTTTTTATACTAACCTCGGTTAGGCAGCAAATTAAAGAATGATGCCAGTTTGTTACGAAATATTTGTTTTCAGTGTCATACCAACAGATCGCCGCCCAACAGAATTTGATGAATCAGGTATGTTTTTTGGCCATTGAGACCGAATAGAAAAAAAAACGTAAAACAAAAGACATTTTTAGTTTGCGATTCATCGGGCTCAACAGCAAGCCGGAACCCCTCAGCCCATGTTGGTACCGCAAGGAATGGGTGATGCTGCGGGAGCTGGAACAGCTTCTGACGACGCCGGACGTGTCCCGTCACCGGTAATTTTTGGATCATTTATCCTGTGGTATATAGTAAAATGTATTTCTTTGGTTCCATTAAAAATTTCAGTGGACTGAGCACGAGCACGAAAATGGAAGAAAATTCTACTACAACAAGGTTACAAAGCAATCCAGTTGGACGAGACCGGACGCTGGCGGCGGCGGCGGACAGGAGGTAATTTTACCTCCACGAATCGGTTCTGGTTCGTTAGCGGGGGGGCATTTTTTGTCAATAGATTCCCTTATTTTAAGGTGACTTATTTTGAGCTCTGTTTAAAACTCCCAGTATATTTTTAAGCTCTATCGAATAGTGTTAACAGGATGTCGAAAAATCTAGAAAATCCCGAAAATAGCTTACCATATCTAGAATTAAAATTATCAGTATATTTTTTGCTTCACCGGCTCGCGATGATGTAGTCTCCAAAAAACTGAAATATTGGATAAGATACGACATCAACCCCCCCGCTAAGGAACCAGAACCCACGAACCCAAACTTTTTTCAGAGGGCCGCATCCAGATGGAAGGTTGCCCGAACGGATGAAGGTCGCGTTTATTACTACCACGCCGATACCAAGGAGACAACTTGGACCATGCCGGAGGGGTAATAAAGAATTCAATAACCTTTTTATTTTTGTTTTGTAGCTTCGTTGAGCCAGGGACTTCGACCACGCCGTCTGCTCCATCGGCTGCTCCACCGAGCGTCAGCCCAGCTAGTGCCAACCAAAGTAAGACAATATCAATAAAATCGACACAAACCGGCACCAAAAAAACGGAATCCATGTAAAAACCCGCTATTTCAGTCCCAATGCCGGACACATCGACACCGAAAGAGGAACCGAAAGAGATGAGCGAGATGGAAAAGGCAATGGCAGCTACGCTCGGAGATATGGGTGGCTCCATTATTCCAGAAGAGCCCCCGAGATCGGTATGTTGAAGCAAATTAACAGTACTTTTTGATCTTTAGAGGGGTGGTGCTTCGGCTGATGTTCCGATGCAAGACGAAGAACAGGAGCTGAAGAAACGGCAGGCTAATGTGTTCCGTGAACTCCTCCGCTTGAAATATGATGACGGTCAGTTTTTTTAAGTTGGCTTCGTGCCGTTATGTCACCGCTGTTTTACCATTAATTTCTGGGACAAGTCGCTTAACGGGGGGTGAAATAACGGGGGTGTAAAAATTTTACATTCCTAAACGTTATCCTTCTATTTAGGAAACATCCTCGGCTAGAGCGTCGAAAATTATACTAGGAGCTTTAATTTCAGCTCGAAACATGAAATTTTAGGTAAAATCACCTCCACTGACTCCTGGGATCATGCTGTAAAATTCATTGGCTCCGATCCACGCTTCCGTGTACTTCAAAAAGTCAGCGAGAAAAAGCAGGTGTTCAACGCATGGAAAGTACAACGTCAAAAGGAAGAGCGGGTTCGGATTTGCTTCCTCTGACTTTAATTCCGGTATTTAGGATGAGAAACGTCTAGCTGCTAAGAAAGCAAAGGAAGAGTTGGAGAAGTGGTTGCAGGACAATCCGAAAATGAAGACTCAGATCCGGTAGTTTGGTGCTATTTTTTTAAAACGTTGTTTTAGTTATCCTCGCGCCAACGATGTGTTCAATAAAGAACCGATTTGGAATGCTGTGCCAGACGCTGATCGCCGCGAGATCTTTTCTGATGTTTTGGTACGTCTATATGCAAGAGGCATTAACACTGTTTTTCAGCAAGTTGTTCACAAGCGAGAGGCCGAGCTGGCAGACAAGACAAGGAAGCGTAACATCCAGGTGATTATTCATTTCTTGCCAATGGCTGAATCATTTGAAATGAGCATATAAGGAATTTTGAATTTGTTTTATTTGGTAAAAGTGTCACCATCACTGCATAGTCAATACATTTAGGCGCTGTCCGACATTTTGGACGCGATGCGTCAGATCACCAATCGCACAACATGGGCACAGGCGCAACGGTTGTTGATAGAGAATCCCGCGTTCGCCGATGACGCAACCCTACAAAGTATGTGAATCAGCTTCTAATTATTTATCGATTATTTTAAAGGTATGGACAAGGAAGATGCTTTGATTGTTTTCGAAGACTTTATTCGTAATGCTGAAAAAGCACACGATGCCGAGAAGGAGATCGAAGACCGTCGTTTCCGGCGTCAGGAGCGGCGCGTACGCGAGGAGTTCCAGCAATTTTTGGAGGAGCTCCATCAGAAGGGTAAGTTGTTGACTTGTTTTTTGAGAGTTGTTTGCTTGTTTTTAGGTGCTCTTCATTCAATGTCTCTTTGGTCATCCCTTTATCCAACGATCTCTGGCGATCCACGATTTGACGCCATGCTTCTACAGTCGGGTAGCACGCCGCTTGATATTTTTAAGGTATGTGGTACCAGTGACAGAGCCTTTAACCTTTTATTTAGTTTTTCGTTCTTGAGCTGAAAGAGCAGTATTCGGTGCATCGACGCCTGATCAAGGATATCCTTTCGGATCTTGGGAAATCTGTCAAGGTATTCAAATACGGTATACTGTCTTCAAAAATGTGTAATTAGATTGATACGACCTACGATCAGCTTGTTGACTGGGTACAATCGGACAGCAGGGGCAAGAAAATTGATGCCGGAAATATGAAGCTCTACTTCAATTCTCTGATCGAAAAAGCCGAGCAGCGCGAGAAAGAGCAGGAGCGCGAGGAATCGCGTAAGAAGAAGCGTCTCGAAGGGGAATTCCGGTAAGTTGCTCTGACGCAATTTACTGATTGCTTGCTTTTCCAGCAACTTGCTCCGTTCCCTCCAGCCGCCAATTGATGCTCAGACTGGGTGGTCGGCTGTCAAGACAAAAATTGAGCACGAGGACGCCTACAAAATTGTAAGAAAGTTGCCCTTTAGCTTAATTCCGATTCTTTTCCAGATCGATTCCGATGAGCTGCGCGAGCAGTACTTCCAAGATTTCATCAACCAAATGGGCGATTCTTGCGCCCATCATCATAGCGGCAAAAAGAAGAAGAAGGACAAGAAGCGTGACGCTAAGAGTGTAAGTTTTTATAGCCTCTTTCTGTAGCCAAGCGACATTTTCAGGGCGATTGAGTAGTCGAATTGTAAGTGGGATTTTTTAGTTTATGTGTTGTTTGGCGATACACTTTTGATCATTGATTAATTTTGCTAATTTAGGACTCCGAGTCGGAACGCGAGGAGGAGCGCACAAAGAAGAAGAAGCGCCGCGATGACGACGAAGATGACACCCGGGGTATGGTCTTTACAAAATATTGTCATATTGTAAATAGATTATTATAAAAAATATAATAAAAAATATTCTGAATTTTTGCAAAACCGAATTTAGATCGTAAACGCAAGAAGAAGTCAAAACGCCACTCTCGCAGCCGATCTCGCAGCAATTCTAGAAGTGATGAGGACAGGCGCCGTCGCAAGGTATCCGTCTCTGGATTCCCTCCATAAATTGTTTTTCTAGGATTCCGGTTCCGACTAGTCTCGACTGAAGCTGACGATCCTCAAATTTGCTTACCCCGTGTTTTCCGTTGACCCGTTGCAAGTAGTAATAAATTTTTGTCAAAAATGTAATGCATTGATCATAAACTACAGAAAAATCGAGAATGGGTTTGTTATGTTAATTTAAGGACATCGCGCATCGGTTCTTTGACACAATGACAATGATTTTCATACTTTCTGGATTTTTCCAATCAAATCCTTGTCTTGCTTAGAGATCAAAATTTATTCAACCACAGCACCCGAGACTTTTGCCACACTTGGTAACTTATACCCTAACAACAGATAATCGAAATAGAAAATAGAGATAAACTGTCGTAGTAGAGCAGGGTTTTGCTCGAGTTCAAGCCGGGCATCCGTCGTCTCCGTGTTTCCGACAGTCGAATGGCTGCCACGGCCTTCCTCAAGTTTTTTGGCTACCTGAAATGATATGGGGTTGTTCGAATTCATGGTCAGAGACATACAAATCGTATTTCTGCCATCGGAATTCCCGCATTTTTCAGCACTCTTTCAAGTCCGCGTAACAATTCCGCCTGATCTCGACTGTTGAACCGGATGATGTCGTAGTCCAGGAAATCCGTCACGAAATCACACCGCCTGCGATTGTTTCAACATCGTTACGTAAAAGCTACCCACCAGCCTTGCGGGAAAAAGTGAGCATTGATATGCTTCCGGAAGCGCTCTGGCCCCTCGTAGGTATTATTTTGCGCCAGGTCCCGCCCGTATTGCTCCACTTTAGTGAGCGTACAATTTATATCTTTACATCCATCACAGCGGTTGACGTGCCTGCAAACGCTAGTTTTCGGCCTGCAAACACTTTTTAGTTTGAGCGTTCAAGCAAATGGGTAATGTTTACCTTATTAATTTTAACTCTGAACCCACCTGCACTGATTGACATAACCCGATAAAAAGCGCTCCATTGGTTCTCGAACCAACACAAATTTCTTCAAACGATACCGTCTGATGCCGAACTTCCAAAAGATGTCCGTCAGCGAGCCGGCGTTATTTTCGCCAAGGCACGGCCTACATAAGTTTGTCTCCAAGTGAGTAAAGCCTTTATTTACCTCCTTTCATCCCAACCGTCATAATAACTTGACTCGTTTTTCATGGCATTTGGGTTGTGGAGGTAGCACATCAGAGCTACCGCAAAAAGTACACTTTACCACCAGGTTTCTTACCAGCTAATAGGGTGGACATATTTTTGAAGATTGTACATGCGGTGATTGAATATCGACTGGCTATCTGGAAAACGTAATGGTTTTGGGAACTGGTCTGTTAGCGGGGGGTTGCTTGTATAAGTAAGTAATGCAAGTAATCAGCATAATTATTAGTACCCGCTGTTGCGAAGGCATCTCAACGAATGGCGGCAATATTCGGCACGCTGGATCGTCAAATGTTGGTAGGGGGCAGAGTTCGACAAGCCAATCTTGCGCGTTATTAATCTGAAAATAGCTTACATAGTCTGACTTTCCAATATATTTTATAGTCATAAATTCTAGTTACCTCAGGAACTGTAAGCGCCAACGTTGCGTTTATAAAAGTCCGCAGTTGATGCGTAGATATTCGGAACCGAGCTGCTATTGAGGACTGTAAAGTAATTTTCCCCATTATAATTTACAGTTTTATACCATGAATTGAACATGCTCCATTGGCGCATCAAGTTGTGAAGCGTAGAAAGACTTTAAACAATTGATCTTTACTAACAAGGCTACCGACCTTTACGTTCCGCCATTGAACAACATCGGCGTACGGTGCCCAGCTGTACGCTGTCAAGTCGCGGAGAAAAGCAAAAGATTTTAGAGTTATATAGAATGAGACGACTGATAGCACGATTATTCGTGTCTTTTTAGATCCTATTAATGACAGCGCCTTCTGCAGCTCCATGTGTAATTTCTGCAATAAATTAATACACGAAAAGAATGGCAGTAGTAAAATAAACAATATTAGCTTTATTGTTACACAAAATTATTTAAAAAATTTGGTCGATAGGACGATTATGCACGAAATGCTAGAAAGCTGGGGAAATGAACGTGAGGGAACCATTCTCGGCATATCGCATCCGAATCTCCGAACTTCATCTACCCCATTCCATCGCACTCTCCTACCATAAAATCCTCGATCTAATGCACACACTTATTCAGATAATAGTGTAATGCCATACCTAAACTGCGAAAGATAAAGAAATACTTTCATCTATAAATTGTTTTTATAAACGGTAAACCTTTTACAATTTATTTATTCAACCAATTCCTTAGCGCTTGGCATCTGGAATCCAAACAATAGGTAATCATAAAAATACATAGAAACAAAGCTCCGCAGCAAGTTCTTATCGGCATACAACACTTTTTCGATCTTACGGTAGGCATCTGATTTTTGGAAGACATGGAAACTGGCAACCGATTCGGCAAGGTTGTCTTTGATCTGAAATTTACTCCGTCTTTCTTGAACTTGGTGAATGCGCCAAACTTTGTTGTGGGGAGAACTTACAAATTTAACGCGATTCGGTCCGAAGCCGGCCCGTTCCAGCACCCACGACAAATCGCGGAGTACCGATTCTTTTGCCGTCATTCGTACTAGGGCGTAGTCATGAAGGTAGTGGTCGAAGTTGCAACGCCTTAAATAGGCAGGAATTGTTATCATACAAGCTAAGCGTAACGAAATAATACTTCTATTGCTTGGAAACCTAGGGCTAAGCCCAAGCCTAAGCCCAAGCCTAAGCCCAAGCCTAGGCCCAAGCCTAAACCTAAGCAAAACACTAAGCCTAAGGCTAAGCGTAAACCTCAACCAAAGCATAAGCCTCAGTCGAAGCCGAAAATAAATTCATACCAATTCTGCGGCATCAAATGCTCATCTTGATTGCTCGCTACTTTTTGCTCATCTTCTCGAAGATGCTGTATCGTGTCCAAAAATAGCTGTGAAAATCGCTCCCCACGCCCCAAAAAATTGTGCAGCCGCTCCGGAGATCCGCAAATTTCGGCTGAGATCCCATTGGTGCTAAAAATGTTTCCTTAAAAATATTTTTTAAAACCACCCACGCGCAATCATCCACAAACGACTTAATAAACCGCAGCAGCGGATCGAAAAGGATCGCCAGATTGGTCGAGTGAGCAAAATCGAGGTGAGCTCCGAGCATCAGTTCGTCGCGCAACTTTGCGTCTACCTTCAACCGACATCCACTATAACACCAGATTACGGTATATATTTTTGCAGAGACTAGAATTTAGCACTTTTAACTTACGACGGTACTGGATCTGTGTTATTCCGGAATTGGAAATCGCATAAACTTTCTGACATGACATTGTCCAGATTTCCATAGATTTGGCAAGTTACCAATCGCTCTTGTAATGATAACTAAAACAGCACCTTAAATTTCAATTAAATATTAGTAAATAATAATTTTGATAATGGCTAATAGTAATAATTAAAATCAATAATAAACGCAACCGCAAACTCGGAAGCGGCCCGTTTCAACGGCGGTAAAATTGAGCAATGATAGCTGCGATGAGGGCACAGTTCCTTCATCACGAGCTTTGCATTCCGCAGCTCTTCCCGGTTACGGTAGAACAGGGCATCATTTAGGGTGGCAAAGTCGGCATTGTTCAGACGGAACCGCCGATTTATAACTCGCTAGAAATGGGAGGGAATTCTATTGTTATACCCTTTTTCCTACCAGTAACTCTCCTAATTCGCCTTTATATAAAAATTCGAGGCGCGCATTTGCATGTAGTAAATTCTGGAATCGGAAATACAGCTACGTGCCTTAATTTCTCACTTTTTTCGTGGGTGTCTGGAGAAGATCTCGAATCGAATACGTCCGTTTTAACAGCTCCAAGGAAGAAACAATTCCAATCAAAATTAGCACGACCGCCACACAGGCACGCAGCAGGAATTTGTAGTGATTTTTTAGAAACGGCTAAAATGTGGAGCGGACATTTAGGTACCCAAATCATACCAGGATCTTAAGCTCGCGACGTTTTGAAAGCATAAAAACCGAGCCTGAAAAGTAGGATACTAATAAATTGCAAATTAAAAACCCAATAAAATCAAGTGAGCTCAAAAAAATGAGCATCGATGTGATGATGCGCCGTTAGAGGGCGATGGGTGCCAAATCTCGCGGCTATCCCAATGAGATCTCGCCCAATTCGGCCCGGCTTTTTGTCGATGACTAAAGGGATGGAGAAGGGGGCAAGACAGAGCTATAAAGACGGCAGAGAAGGGCTGAATATGCAGACGAGCTGATCCCATCTCCATCCACACCATGCTTTCGGCACACCAAATCCCGCATTTCATCTGGCAAAAAAATGGCAATACGGGGGTATGCTCTGGATTATGGACTTGGTATTATTAAATAAATTTATTAGGTTACTTAATTCAGTTTTTGACATTTTGGCTTCATCATCTATACCTAAGCCAAAGCCCGGTAATGACCGGTGCAGGAAAATTTAGTATTTTAACCAAATGCTTGACGTGCTCATTAGCCAATTTTTGCCGTCGTCTACGCGTCATTTGGAGCATAAAGTACTGTGAGGTCATTGCTTGGAAGGCGCCAAGTCTTCAAAGTTTTTTCAGTATATTCTAGTCTGCTTAAAAGATACACAAACTTCCAAAGACTTTAGATAATTTAAGCCAATCACCTTGCCAAACAGCATCAAGAGAGCGCCAATATGCATAAATTCTCTATAAAAAGCGTCTCTCACTATAATTCAATCAAAGGTTATTCACAATAAAAACATTTGACGCGTTGTCAATTCAATTCTAAAATAAAAAAATAAAAAAATAGTGTCTGTGTGTGTGTCTGTGTGTGTGTGTGCCACTTTGCATCCACTTCCGTTTGTCTGTCCGGAAGATATCTCGATAGTGGATGAAGTTACGGGTATGTTTGATACGTCATTAGGTGCGCAATGGTCTTGAGACGACTGCACACATATCAAATTTTACAAAACCAGCCATTTTCGACATTAAATTTAAGTTTTTGTGAAAGCTTCTTTGTTAGGAATTAATTAGCATAGACCGGAAGTGGTGATTCGGCTATATAAAGGCACAGAAGAAGTTGTTTTTCATTTTTTGTCATCTGAATTCAGGACAATTATGTAAAGTGAAGGATAAAATGGGGTTAGACGCGGCCAGGGTTGAAAAGTCGCGAAGCGGCTTTTCAACCCTGGTTCCAAAATTTAATTTATTGCATCATAAGTTCACACCAGAAAATATCCTTCAATGGATTCTCGGGGGACGTTCTCTCCAGGTTTTTCGACGTTGAATCACACTTCCTGCGTCAATGGCTCTTTAAAAAAAATGTAAAAATTTATTTAGAGAGTCTCAACATTCAAAAATATCACATCAATTCAGAGTCTCATATTGAAAAGAACGAATGTTACTTTTTTCGATCAGCCTTCTCCATGCACAGCGCGAAAAACGGAGCAAAAATGGCGTAGATCTCAATACAAAGATTTGAATACGAGGCGATGCTAAGGATTTCGGTGAGTGACTCGGAAAATACGGTCGAATAGTAGATCTATAAAGGCTTGTTTTGAAAAATATAAACAACAAACCATAAATCCTGGCAACAGGCATTGGAAGCATAAAATGGCTCCGCGAATTAGGTACTTCCTGTAGGGCTTTGTGGTCTTGGGATGAGATGCTGGTTTTTCGGTATGGTAAAACATGATGAATGCCATTAATAGGATGCATACTATTAGGTAAGTGGCATAAACCGCTAGCGCTTCTTGATAGGTCTAAAAAGCTGGTTAAATTCAGATTCGTGTAGTTTTTTCAAAGCTTTTTTGAAACTTCGCGGTTTTGAACGTTGCAACTTACTTGTAAAACCTCATTTAATCGTGCCGTCACTCTAAATAGGTAATACATCAGATACCCGAAAAATGGCAGCGGAAATAAAAACGCAAGGACGTAGACCGTCCATTTGGGTAGCTTTTTGCGCTTAAAATTTAGACAATTGTAAGAGAGGCCAGTTTCCATACCATTTTGCGCACATATAAAGTGGATAGATGTTGAACGACATTATACGCAAGAGTTGCGGTGGTGCTGATGGAATGAATATGGAAAACGATGATGAAGCGGAGGGCCAGGAATTTCCCATTGCTCGATAGCCATTGGGTCCACCAGGTCAACCAGGGGAGTATGATGTGATAGCTGTATGGACGGTTGATTCCGGCGTTTAGCAATAATAGTAAAAGCGACTAAAACAAAATTCTATGAGCTCCTTGCATCGCTATTCCCTACCGTAGCAAAAACCAAAGTTAGATGCGGCTTCAAAGCCCATTTAAAATGACTCCCCCGCCAAAGAGCGATCAACATCCATAGATGTATCACAAAGAATATAGCGTCTATGACGACTTGCACGATCATACCAACCGCCAGCAATTCCATATTTTCGTACGAATACGAACTGATACAAACAAGACGAATCTGGGCTTGAGGATGGACGTGGAAATGTACCCCCCTCAAGGTCTGCTGGCTCATTAGCACTACCCGAAATGGCTCAAAAATGTCCCAGTAATGCGTCCCCCGGGATCGTTGGAAAGCTTGTGACTGTTTTCGCCACAAGTTCAGTATACTGACCATTTTGATGCCGACCAACCATCTCATTGAAAAAGTATGAAAAGTCGTTTGTGTTGTAGGATAAAAGCTTGATCGACGATCAGGATAATTTGTGGTGTTTAGATAAGAAATCGGACGTGCGGATTTGAAAACTGGTCATTGTGGTTCTCTGGCGCAAGTGATGTTCAAGAAAATAAAAATAAAAGAGGAGATTGAAATGTGGCAAAAATGTGATTTGAGATGATAAGTAGGAAAGGGTCAATGAAGCCAAGCTAAGCTTCGGGTTAAGCGGGGGCATATGCGACCTGAAAGTTTTTATGGGGGAATTTATGGTTTTTAAATAGATTTTTCTACTTCGCAAAGTGCTGGTGTCTGGATTTGTGAACGGATTCTTGAAAAGCGCAGAAGTCTACGTTAGATAGCGTTTCCCGTTTTTCTAAGGCAAAAAGCAGTTTAGATACTTCAGTAAGCCGAAGCCTAAACTTAAGCATAAACCTAGGACGGATTTCATTTTTTGAGAACTTCGCATCGGGCAATTGTGAAGAGACGGCCTAAACACGCAATTAATAAATATTTAAATCACCTACAAAGGCTTTTGTCGGCCAGTTATTTTTCGAGCTGGAAAAACAGGCCAGGCCAACTCGTTTTGTTTTCCCCCCTCACCTCGAACCCGTTATAGCCCTCATTTGGGAGCCGGGTTGAGGGAAACGAACGGGAGTGGGTGAAAAGTGGCGACTTGTGGCTGCGGGGTGACACTATTTCGCCACCATCGAATCGGCAGAAGAGGCACTCCACAACTGGATGGAGGAACAGAATCTGTCTCCCTCACTGTCAGTCTCTGTTCTCGGGTTCAACCTCCCCCCCCCCCGCTTGCACTGTTCTGGGTGGTTGCTAATCTGTCTACACTTGCAGTTCCGCGGCACCCAGCTTTCACTCGCTAAAAATCGGTTTTTCTGTTCAGCACTTAGCCTCGACCTAAATAATGATTTAGATTGTCTAAAATAGAAAAATGTGCTTATCTTCAAATTTTTTCTTGTGTTAGAAGTTTAAATTTAAAATGGGGTCAAATCTCTTTTTTCACGATGTTCGAACGCCTTTAATTCTACAAAACTACACCCGGAATAGCTATTGGTCAGTGTGGCCCTCGACGCTCAAGGCAAACAGAACCCAGCCCCTTCCCGTGAATTTTGAATAGCCGGGGGTGCCGATAAGGGGGGAGGGCCCGTCACCTGGACGAACCGCTCTCTTTTTTCTGTGAATCATGCTGAAGCGCCAATGTGCAGGTTTTTGGGGTGTGTGGCCCCGGCGCTATTTCGCAAACTGCCTCTATTTGGTAACCAGCTACAGGTCTCTTTCCGGTTTTGAGTATTATTTAAAGCTGTCTGTGCCAAGCTATCCTGTGATTTCCTTATCAGTTTTTTAGAGACCGAAAATTCCGATATGCAAAATGGTCTTGAAGGGGATAATTCAAACTAGTGTCAAGTATATGTCGGGATTTTGTCCTTTCGTCATTTCCCTGTCGGAATTTTGGCTTGTCGGGATCTTGCCTTTCGGCATTTTCCCAGTGAGCATTTTCGCCTTTCGGCCATTTGGCTGTCCGCATTATCGCTGGAATTCATGCTAAATAAGCGAATAAATATTCAAATATTTTGACATGCAACGCCGATTCCACCCGCCTCCAACGTCTATTGTTGCTGCGTGTAGCTCTCAGCCCATACTTCTTAGCACCTTTAAGCTTTCGCGTTTAATAGCAACTCCTCTTTGCAAATTGGCCCCTCTTTACTGCGCTCTATTTACCTTTCACTGTTTACATAGGTATTTTCTTGTTGCGAACAATTTTATCGAGTGAATTGATGTTACTGGGGGACAATGTATGAGGGTTTGTGGGCGGAGTGGGTAATCCGAGAGCCATGTATGGGCGCTAGCTAGCGGAGCGTTGAAGGGTTTGTGTGTACTCGGATCGTTGTCCTCCGGTCTGTCTCCCCTTCCCTACCCCTAACACCGTTATGCTAACATTGATGACTTTCGCTCGAGAAGGTTATTCGCTATTTCATAACCTGATGTGCAGACCCATTAAAGTTTTTTGGCTTATATGCCGGACAGACTAAACTGACTATAAAGACTAAATTTACCTTGCATTGTTTCGGCTCAATCGATTTTTTTCCTATATATATTTTTTGATGCTAATGACAAGCTCAAAATTATGCGATTTTTGAAAACATTAGGAATATTTAGTGCCAGTTTTTACCCCTCCCCCAGCTATGTGCACCGAGGAACCCGCAAGTTACCTACAATACCTCCAAATTTGGGACATGAGTTGTTGTTTGTAGTACCCCCCCCTGTTTCGGCTCCTCAATGCAAATGACCCCCCCTGTTTCGGCTCCTCAATGCAAATGACCCCCCTCAACGTAGACTGCCCCCATAAGCCCTTTATTGTTGGTGGGGGGTGGTAGTGAACGACAATTCCTGCCAGGTGGCCCCCTTTGCCCCCTCAACAACCACCCCTACCTCACCCCTCACCTCCTAATATCGAAATTCGCCCCCAAGCCAGCCGCTGCCGCTTGTCGCCTTTAGCCCTTTGAAGGCCATCCTGTTTTTTTAGGAACCTGTCGATTTGAAAGCGGATCCTCAGGGCTGTTCGCAGGACTTTGCACTAGCTGGAATACCGTATTAACTCTGTCATTAAAGGCCTAGAGGAAATGACTTAGTAATATTCAACTGTCTAAAAGGTATTTTTCTCTAAAAGTGCATCTTTTTTCTTTTCTGAAATATTAATTATTGCCTTCGTAAGTTTACGTCCACCGGCTACGGTTTACTTTACCGCCCCAGTCCTAGGGTCTCAAAATTCACGATTTTTTTCGCTATCTTTTTGGATTTTTCTAGACGTCATTCGATAGCGTGTTGAAATCTTACGGCGTATTTCAATAATAAACAATAGTAAAAATATGCGACTAGTTTTAATAGCAACCCAAATTAATGTAATAGAAAATCGTTTTAGCAAAATAATTTTCGGAACCTTCCGACCGCGGGCAGGGGGGAGGTGGTACGGTAAACTCTTACAGCGTCCACCCGTAGCTTTTTTACCAATAGCTTCGGTCTATAATTTTTTATCGTTGTCCAAACATGTTTACCAACGCGTTGTACCCTGCAACTAGAAGCGCCGCGCGCCGCGCCTGGCCTCCCTTTACGCGACATGGCCGCGCGGATGTTCCCGCAGTGCTATTTTGACACGCCGCTGGTCTAGCCACGCGGAAAGCCTTGCGGGACGTGAAATCGATGTGAGGAGAGGATCGGCCCTCAGCGCGCAAGCGCGCGAGAAATTTCGCCGCCCCGCGGGCTCTTCCTTCCGATTCCGCCTGCGCTTTTTGTGTACTCAAAGGAGGCCTTTCTTCCCCTCGGGAAACGCGCAAGCCGATTTTCTAGCAACCCCGACGACCCCGACCATGCGACCCCACTCCTCCCTTTCTGACCCGGCTATTATAACGAACATTTTTCATGCTTTACTGTTCGTGTTCCTCTTTTTAGAACTTTACTTTGCCTTTTCCCAAATTTTCTTAAACTAGTACATACTGCCGGAAGTCGGTTGCCACATAAATGGTATTTTTTTATATTGAGCAGGGTCTTACTGTAATACTGTCAGTATCTTGATTTTTTCTATACTTTATGGACAATTCAGGACGCCAGTCGGCGTCATGGACGGGGCCTCAACACTTGGTCGAGGCCAAGGCGTCCACCACAGTAATTACAAAAAAGGCACCCGGGTTTGGCAACGCCATCCTAAACTCGTCTGGATTTCTGGCGAGCTTCTAGACGACTACAAGATTGGTCAGAGATCTCTGAGGATACGGCTGGAAGATGATAACGCAACGGTATGTTTCTTTTTGTTCTTTGCTCTTTGCTCTCTATTTTATTAAAGGGGCTAAGAAGTCTGGTCACTCTTCTTCTCTCGCTCTTTCTCTCTTTCTCTCACTTTATGCCTCCCGTCTCTCTCGCTAGCGAAAAACCATGCTGAAGTTTACATGGCGATTCCGAAAATCATAGTCGAAATAGCTGACTTTGGGAAACTTTTTTTGTAGATCGTCGAAGCTCCGGTTTCCGACGAAAAGTCGCTACCATTTCTGCGCAACCCAGAGATTCTAATGGGTGCCGATGATCTCACAACGCTCAGTTATCTCCATGAACCAGCCGGTAATCCCAAATTCCATGAATAACTTAAAATTTTGGTTTAGTTTTGAATAACCTACAGTACCGCTTCATGGGACGGGAGAATGTCTACACATATTGTGGAATCGTTCTTGTTGCGATAAATCCGTATGCAGACTGTGGACATCTCTATAATGATGATGTTATTCAGGTAAGTAAAATAAGACAGCCAAAAAACGCAACTTTAGGTGTATCGTGGAGTCGGCAAACAAGTCCGCGAGTTGGATCCGCACATTTTTGGGGTTGCTGAAGAAGCTTACTTCGATCTTTGTGAATATCAGAAAAATCAATCGATCATTGTTTCCGGTGAATCTGGAGCTGGAAAAACAGTATCTGCAAAACATGTGATGAAGTAAGTGGTTGAAATAGATCGGACGATAACTAGAATATCACCAAAGCAAGACAATACTGAAAGCTACATTTCAGATACCTAGCCACAGTCGCCGGTGAGCGAGCTGGATTCCGCGGGATCGAAGACCGTGTACTTGCCTCAAATCCCATTATGGAGGCAATTGGAAATGCAAAAACAATTCGCAACGACAATTCCAGCAGATTCGGCAAATTCATACAGCTGAATTTTGGGGAACGGTTTGTCGAGGTCAATATTAGAATTGAACCCTCATTCAGGAATGAAATCGTTGGGGCGGAAATGAAAACCTATTTACTGGAGAAATCGCGATTGGCTTTCCAAGCTCAGAATGAGAGGAATTATCACATTTTCTATCAGATGTGTGCCAGCCGGGATCATTCGCTGCTAAAGGCCTTCAGACTGGGTAAGTGTTTTAAAAAATCCTTAAAGAATACATAACATCTTGTGTGTGTGTAATTTGAATATATCGTTCAGATATGGCCGATCGATATCACTATACAAATGGTGGCGGAACCATTACGGTCGATGGAGTTGATGATCATTCTGAGTTTGCTGAAACGGTAGAACTACATCGCCATACAAATACTTGTGTTTAGGTCCGTGCCCTGGATCTCCTCGGATTCCCCGTGACCCAACAAGCCGAAATCTTTCGCATATTAGCCTCAATCTTGCTACTAGGAAATATTACCTTTGAAGGAGACGATATTGCCAGCATACCTGTACGATCTCCTAGCAAAAATTACTCTTTTTTTTAGTCTTCCCATAATAGACAATTGACGCAGCTATGCGATGAGCTTTTCCTCGTGAATCCTCAAGAATTAACGCGCTGGCTGACCCAACGTGAAATTCGGGCAATAAATGAGGCTGTGATAAAGCCACTCACAAAAGAAGAAGCGATCCGAGGACGTGATGCCCTATCCAAAATGCTTTATTCAAGTCTCTTCAACTGGATTGTTATGAAGATCAATGCATCACTGGCAAATAAAAGCAAAACATCGAAACGCCAGAAAGAAAAGTTTGTTGGTGTGCTGGACATCTATGGGTAAGCCATACACCTTGTTTTAAGACGATTACCCTAGTTTCGAAACGTTTGATGTGAACAGCTTTGAACAGTTCTGTATCAACTATGCCAATGAAAAGCTGCAGCAGCAATTTAACCAGCATGTCTTTAAACTTGAGCAAGAAGAATATGAGAGGGAAGATTTGAGCTGGGTAGGTGCCGTTGTCCCAGAATTTATCAAATCTTTCAGGTACGCATCGACTTCTACGACAACCAGCCATGCATTGAATTGATCGAAGGCCGTCCCGGATTGATTGACTACCTGGATGAACAGTGTAAAATCGTGAAGGGGTCTGATCTCGGATGGCTAGAGCAAATGACTAACTGCACCCAGCTGAAGAAGCGTGAACATCTTCAAATGCCAAAAATCAGGTTGGGTGGAGGTTCACACCTTTATGCGTTTTTAGAGCCCCAGCTTTCACCGTTCGGCATTTCGCAGCTGATGTTTGTTATCAAGTGACTGGCTTTATGGAGAAGAACAAGGACAGTGTTGGGACACAGATTTTGGAAGTAATTGCGGCTACAAAGGTAGTATTGTTGCAAAATTTTGAAGTCCGTTCAGAACCCCTTCGTACGAGAAGTGGTCGGACAATGCATTGAAGAGACAATTGGTACACAAGCTCGAGGAAAGGTTGGAGTAGCAAAACGGACGGTGGCCAACCAGGTACTAGCTAATTAATGGTTGTACTTATAAATCCTGTCGCTAGTTTCGAGAATCTTTGCGTGAACTGATGACGGTACTCCAAGCAACTCGCCCTCACTATGTACGCTGCATTAAGCCGAATGATGAGAAGGTATTTCCCCCGAATTAACGGCCAGCTATGGCATTTTCAGGAGCGCTTCTACTTCGAACCGCAACGAGCGATGCAACAGCTGCGGGCTTGTGGCGTTCTAGAGACAGTCAGAATCTCGGCAGCCGGATACCCTAGCCGGTAAGAAAATAAACAACTTGATTCACCAATCGCCTTTCAGCTGGGTCTATGGAGACTTTGTGAAGCGCTACCGAGTACTGTACCCCTCTGGTGCCGCCCTGACAAAGCACTGCGAGGGATTCCGCCAGTTTGCTAAGCATATTTGCGAAAGGGTTCTAGAGGTTTGTCGGTACTGTATTCCGTGTATTCGGCTTTTTAGGAGGACAAGTTTGCATTGGGCTTGACGAAAATTTTCTTCCGGACTGGCCAAGTCGCTTTGCTCGAACGAGTACGGCATGAAACGCTTGGACGGTAGGGAAAATAGCAAGACACACTGTAGGATATTTCTAGAAGTGCCACGCTTATCCAGACGTGCTGGCGTGGATTTGTGGCAAGGCGTAACTACGCCAAGATGCGCAGCGCGTTGCACACGATCCAGGTACGAGGATACGGAACATTCGGCCCTAGAATCAACTTTTCAGGCCTCGCTTCGGGCGTTCCTCGCCTTCCGTCGCCTTCATTATTTGCAGATGCAGCGAGCAGCAACCCTGATACAAACTGCATGGAGGTTGGTTGATGAAAATCTCCCTTAAAATCAATATAGAAAACATGCTGCCGAATCCAAATATACAAAATTGCGGACTGCAGTGCTTGGGCTACAATCGTGCTACAGGGCTAACCGGGCTCGTCTGGAATATCAGAAGGTGAAACCTTTCTTGAGCATTAACTAATGTTCTCATTCGTCAGATGCGCTACGAAAAAAGCGCAATCACAATCCAACGCTATTTCCGAGGCTATATGGTCAGGCGTGAACGCGTCAAATATATCCGTAAGGTTATCAAGGTATGGATTTTATCCTTTGAGCTTATACTATATTTAATAGGCTCAATGCTATGTGCGGCGATGGCTGGCCAAGCGGCGGCTGCGTGAGGCCAGGATTGAGGCTCGCTCGGTCGGACATTTGCAAAAGCTCAACAAAGGGCTGGAGAACAAGATCATTGAGCTGCAGATTAAGCTTGATGCTGCGGTAAGGGCTGGAAATTGGTGTTAAATTGCTTTTTAGAATGCCACCCAATCAAAGATCTCTGTGCTCGAGGAGGAAAAGCGGGTTTTGGAGCGCCGTTTGAAGGAAGAGCATGCAGCCGTGGTTAGAATTGTAGGTTTTAATTGAGCTGGAATTTTTTTCGATCAAATGCCGATTCGATCAAGGGAATTCCGTGACATTAAAATATTTCGCTTAAAGATTTTATAAATGTCCAAGACCCGGCAAGCAGTGTATTCCTTTGCAAGACCGTTTCCAACCCGTATTAGGCAGCTTCTGTCCAATTCTTTTGGCTTAATAGAAAGCTGTGGCGAGGCACTAGGCGTTAATCCACGCGGCGCGACGTCAGTGATGTTTGCTTGTGTTGGGATGGGGTGCTGTGGCCAGAATGCCCCGCCAGATCGGAACTGTCATGATGAATCCCTACCCTTCCGCCATGGCAGGCGGATCTTCAATGCTTGTTATGCCCCCTATATCCCAACCTTCTCCAGTATGCGATCTCTTGTTTTTTCAGCTCCAACTTGCTGCCTTCTCTTTTTGTCGATTTGTCCCCAAGGGGCTTCGTGCCCCTTCTAACCATTGCAACTTGCGCTCCCCACCCCTGCCAAGTGACAGCTATGTGCCGCTCGCAGTCCCATTTTTCATCAAGGACTTTGTTATATTACGTCTTTTTTTTCAGGAAACTGGGGCAGCCGAGCAGTCGCGTGCGTTGCGTGAAGAGATGGCGCTCCTTGGTGCTGATATCTCAGCCCTCAACTCGGAACGGTAACTTTTGTCTTAAAGTTGATACATAATTATTTTTTTAGGCCGGGATTGTTAAAGGCCCGGGACCGGATGTTGGAGCTGGAGATGGAGGTCGACCGCTTGCAGGTTGAATTGGAAGTACGTGACGGGCAACGTACGGAGGCGGAAGGTCGCTGCCAGATTGCTGAGAGTAAATTAGAAGTGGTGAGTCTCAAAGTGAGGTGCTGAGGTTTCAATATTTTAAGGCGATCAGCCAATATGAACAAGCCGCGACGTCATATCAGGAACAAATTTCCGAAGCCAAATCACGTGCAGAAGCAGCATCCAAAGAATTGGATCAAATGACCGTGAAGCTTCGCGAAGGTAACTTATTTATAAACAAATGCTTTGATATAAGATGCTTTACTTTTAAAAAAATCTTAACTTTTAATGCGGCTAGTCTGTCGCTATCTTTTTTACAATAATTTAAAAAGGGTAACTTCGTCATTTCAGAAACCCTCCGGAAAGAAGGTGCTGAGAAGGACCTAGAAGCCATGCGCGAGCAGCTCTTGGCAAATGCTAGTCTTTTAGCCAACGGAGCCATGAGCAGCAAAGGTTTGTCAAACACGGCGGAAAATCTCAAGCTTTTTAGAAGTCGAGCCGACTGATGATAAATCCGCAGCAACGTCTCTAGCCGGGGGCGATCTTGCGCTTGTGATGCGGCAGCAAGCAATGATACGTCAGCTACGTACGCGGTGCGATGCGTTGCAGCGTGATAAAGAACGGCTGCGTTCTGTAGTGCATTCGGAAATTCTGCTGGAAGAGCTTGAAAACCGTCCATCGATTCGGGCCGGGGAGAACTTGAAGCTGCAGGTGAGAATTTTTACAAAAAAAAGAGCCACTTCCAGAGTTGAAACAAGTCCTATTTAAAAATTACTAAAATCTGCATAAAGTATAACCGGAAACTTTTAGGAGCTGGAAGCTATGAATGGCAAACTGCGGGCGGAGATTGATCAACTTGTGGCCGCCAAATTCCCGAATGACATCAAAGCTAAAGATATGATCGAAAGGCTATTTGAAGAGGCAGATCGGTACCTTATTTCTAAAATTTTAATCTTTTGTATAGTTTACGACAAGAAAACTGCGACTACCGTGCACTCCTCGCAAACAATGCTAAGAGTAGCCCCCGGCCAGATTCGGGTAAATAATGCTTACCACCGGGTATATGACCGTATTTAGGTCATTGGTCCGCTGGCCATTCGGAAACGGGTAGTGAGTATGAGAGCCAACGGTATGACACCGATTACGAGCTGAACGTCGACCGTCAACTTCGGTCATGCAAGCGCCAGATTGAACTGCTTGAACGGGCGCGGCTGGATCAGGATATGGAGAATCAGCGTTTACAACGGATTTTGGATAATGACATGCAGAGTGTGAGCATTTTTGTTGTTCTATTTTTTTGGTAAAGGTTGCTTAACGGGGGGGGAAAGACAAGTGAATGTTGCCCGATCCGATTTCGTTGTTCATATTCAATTCATGAATCACGTCGAACAATACAAAATTCGCTTGGCTATCCCCGTAAGGCAAACTACACCTCGAAATGCCACATTTCATTTGAGCCTATTCTCGCGACAGGTGCTAGCCCCCGATTTCCGGTGCAGATAGGCTAGGGTTGTTGGGGCGCGAATGAGGCGCAGGTCTGGTGCTCGCGCCCGGGGTGAATGTTCAGCTTTATGGCACTCGAGGGGGGAAAGGGGGCGGTGCTGCTTTTGCTTTTGCATGACTCGACTCACCACCCACCCCACCAACCCCATGCTCCCCCTTTGTGAGGATCGACCAATTGTCTACCCTCGCTCTCCCTTCCTCCCTTCCTCCAGCCTATGCCCTCCACGGCCGCTGCGTTACCTCATTTCATATTCATGCGGCCGCCGTTTTCCGCATCAATTCCATACCTACTTACGCACCGGGACCTCGGTTTCGCTTACAAAACAACCCTGATCGGGGGTTCTAGGGATTAGGCGCCTGGGGAGAGTGACAAGCCGACGGGCTCGGGCAAACTGTTCTCAAGTTCTACTTGCAGATTCTTCGAAGTATACCAAAATTTCATTACACAGCAAATCACTAAGCCAAAATTTATACCATTTGAAAGAAACCTTTTTTTGCAAAAATGATTACACAAAAACATTAATTTATGTCGTGCAATTAAATCTTGGCGTAGTTTCGTAACCAGTTTCTGTGTAAAGTTAGTAAATCATGCATATAACTCTATTTCAAGATCCAACCCTGTGAATTTCCCAAATTATCAGCCCACTAACCAAAAATAAGATATTATTAAATAAAAACTTTGGACGGTTTCAGTATGTTTTTGTGTTCTGCGCTTCCGGTCCATTAAATGGTCTTTAATTCACAGCACCAACCTACTCAAAATCTATTCCCAATCCCGTTCTCCCTGTTTGCGCAGGCCCATTTTCCCCCTCCCCCACCATTGCCCGCATTTGACAATAGGCTTATTGATTTGTTCCGAGTATTGCCGCTCTGAATCCTATTAAATGCCCTTTCTCTCTGCAGCTCTTTCTCCCCGGTGGCTGCTCCTCTATTTGTCTTTGCATTGGACATCACCGGTTTGATTAGCGTTGTCCATTGCTACCCTCCCGGAATTTTGGGGAGGATCGCTTTGCATAGGCGTAGGTGAAGGCACCCGGGCTGGTTGCTATGGATGCATCGTAATTATCGGGTGCCCGCGCGTAGGAGCGTTTGGGAAAGGGGAGATGAATCCCTTAAGATTTGGCTTCTCTCAGCGGATCTGGTTTCAATATTCTAGTTCTATAAATTTCCATGAATTATTAAAATTTTTGAAAATTTCACCGACCGCTTTTTCCGGCTCCCGTTTTTATGGCCCGCTCTGCCGGGCCTATTTCCAATTCCTCTAGGCAAATAGGCCGTTGCGTGCCTTTGTGCTCCATTTCTCAACATCGATCTCTAGCTCCTCCATTACTTCTTGCTATTTGTCTTCCACACACAATTTCCCCTATGGCCATTTAGCCGGGTGTCTGTGGTCCCATCGGGCTATGGTCGATACGATGGGACAGAATTCTCTAACCGATTATTATCAGCTAAGCTTTCAAGTGGATGAAGATGAACAGGTCGGGCGGATGGCTTATTTTCAAGATATGGAAATTTCGACATGTCGTATTTTTTCATGAACAAACCTCTCGGGAATCCCCCAAGTACTCCGCCAAAATTTCGACACACTGAATTTGGACGTTGCGAAATTTTGATTGCAAATCCGGGCGTAGTGCAAAATCAAAATTTTCCTAAAAGGATTAGGGGAATATTATAATTTCCCCTTCTACCATAAATAATTTTAATGATTTTAGCAATACTCTGGAAGCTCAGCTGACGCGATGCGTGGCCAAATGGGCGATATTGTGGCCCAGAATTTGGAACTGACCGAGAAGTACCATCGCCAAGCTGATGAACTCTCAGAAGTTAAGGCACAACTGCGAGGGTATGCGGTGGATTGTGGTAAGTAGAATGTTCTCCAAGCAAACAAATCGCAATTTCTAGATACCGGATCCGAAACGGAAGTCGTACGGGTTGAGGCGGTGAGCGGACGGCAGCAATCCGACGTACACTCCGCACGTCTCCAAGTATTCAACGTACCCGAATTTTCCAAGATATTGATTTCTGGTGAGCTTATCACTTTTAATGTTGTACTGACTGATCTTCCTTGAACCCAATACAGGGTGTCCCAAAAAAAACGACCCATCTGGCATTTCGCCGTGTTACATTCAATCGGTCCCAAATTTGGACCAAAGGTGTATCAGACCTTAAATAACCACAATCCTGACTTATAGCCCTGTAGCTTTCGTGGTTCTAGAGTTATCATGAAAATACTGTTTTTCCCGGAATTCTGAAGCATTTTTTCGGCTATCTTTTTGGACTTTGCATCGATTTGCATCGACTTCCGGTTCTGAATCCCTAATTTCGCTTAAGAACTTGGGTAATTTTGCGTTGTAAAAATCGCTTAAATCAAAGTTTATTTAATCAATTTTATTCTGGAAAAAATTTCTTAGGGTAAAGAAGGCCTACCGGATCATTTTCGCTTAATGTTTATGGGGTCTAATTCCACGAAAAACCTATGAAAAATGGAAAATAAAGTTTGTTTTCGCTATAACTCGAGAACTACTATAGCTACAGGGCTATAAGTCAGGATTGTTGTTATTTAGGGCCTGATACACCGCTGGTCCAAATTTTGGGCCGATTGGATGTAACACGGCGAAATGCCAGATGGGTCGTTTTTTTTGGGACACCCTGTATATGAATGAATTTCAGACCTCAAGCCTCGAGTAGCACGTCATTTGACCCCGTGCTTCCCCGCCTACCTTCTACTAACTGCCTTCAGGTAATTTTTAATGCTTCAAAAACTCCCTACGCTAACGATTCCGCACCAAAGCAACCTCAAAAAAAACGCCACTTCCAGGTATCACGATGAGCGACAGGACGAAACAGGTCTAACACCACTTTTCTCAGCCGTTCATCTTGTGCTCAAAGACACAATTGCTGTAAGGCAACGACATGCAACCAAATTTCGGTTTTTAGCACTCCCAAGATCTCGATGTGCTGGCCCTTTGGCTCGTCAATTCGTGGCGATTGGTCCATCTGCTGCACCAGTACGGCGAGGTGGAAAATGTGGAATGGCAGGCCGGAAATACGCCTGTCCAAAACTCGCAGAGAATGAAGAATATCGACTTGGCTCCGTTGCGTCACCAGGTACGGTGGCCTGACATGCTAATATGATATTTAGATAACTTCTCGGGCCGACGACTGTTACAGGACCTTAATGAAGAAGGTCATCGAGCCACAGTTGACCCAAAAAATCGGTAATCAACCGCGGTATAGCAAAAATGTTATATTAGTTCCGGGAGTTCTGCTTCACGAATCACCGATGTGGGAGTTGCTGACCGGGAAAACGTCAAGCGCCCGACATGCTGAAGCCCTGAACGATCTCTTGGACTTCGTAAGCTTTATATGATCTAGCTCATGTGTGGTTTTAGTTAACAGTCATCCATGGTCGGCTCGTGGCCTACGGTGCCGATGGTATTCTGCTAGAACAGATCTTCAAACGCTTTGCCGAATGGGCGTGTTCGATTGCTCTAAACCATTTGATGTTCCGCAAGGATCTCTGCCGGACGGAACGAGCAATTCAAATCAAGTATGATATATAAAACTATCAACACGGGTTTTTAGGCACAACGTGCAACAGCTACAGGAATGGCTTCTGAAGCATAACCTAAAGGTGCTCGAACACACCTACGAGCCTTTGATCCAGGTAGCGAATGGTCCAAGGATCAATGGTATATCAATGCTCTAGGCTGCTCATCTACTTCAAACGCGCAAAGTCGACTCAAATATCGACACGATCTGTGGGGAAATGACTAGTCTGCTGTTACCGCGACAGGTAAGTACGATAACTCCTAAATTGACGTTTTGTTTTTAGATTCTCGCAATGCTTGAGCACTACACACCATCGGACGAAGATTTTGAAGAAGGACCTGTTTCTACTACCTTCAAGGAAGAAGTGGAGAAAAGACTGCAGGAGCGTGCTCAAGATCAGGTAGGTAGACATGGCAAATGCAGGAATAAAAACAATCTGTTCCCCAATTTATAAAATAATTATATTCTATATTTTCTAAGCGTTCCCGGTGAAAGAGCCTATAAACATTCAAGTGAGGGTTATCAAAACTCATCAAATTGCGCGGGAAAATCATCTAATTAGTGCATCAACAGTTTTGAGGATACCCGTGACCTTTCCGGGGCGCGTTGCGGAAAATTTATCGCTGCTATGGCGCATATAAAATACAAATCAGAAATTTCGTGATGTAAAGAATCTAAAAAAACCACAAAAACCAAGGAACTTTAAGCACATTCAACCATTACAGAATAAACTGATCATGTCGGGAACCTACCTGCCACCCCTCGACTGGACCCGACCGGTGCCTTGCGATTTCAAACTAGAAACCCTCTCCCTGCCCTCACCGCTTAGGCTTCAAGAAGTTTGCCGCCTTGTCTAACTCCTGCATTTTCTGGGAGCTAGCTTTGCCTTGTTGTCTGGGCTTTAAAAGAGCTCGTAAGCTGCCCAACTTCCTGCTAGAGGGTGCCTCATACCACATTATTTTCCCCTTTGCAGCAGTATGTTTATGTGATACAGTTGCTGTCTCTCTCTCTTACGTCTCGCTATCTACCGGTACCACTGACACCATGTGAGCTTTCTAACAACGCATTTCTCTTATCATCTTCTTGTACCCTTACCCACGCTCATCTCTAGTCATTCTGCATGATCGTTGTGACAGCTACCTATGATCGTTTTAATAATGATATAATAATTTATGAATGCGGTGTATGATAATTATTCCAATTACGCACTAATGAATAAAGCAGTTTATTGTGGCTCGCAAATATGTACATGCAATTTTTGGGTTGGGGCATGGGAAATTAGATGAGATGTACTTGGGCGACAACGCAGGCGATTTCTTCGTGATTGACGTTACCCTTGTTGTAGTTCTTCATGGAGATTTCAAGTTCGTAGGGTTTCTAGAAAAATGTAGATTTTAGTATTAAAGCCAACGTCAGATAGAGTTTGAAAATAGTCTCTAATAATGCCACCAACAAAATCAAAAAAGAGAAACTATAGTATTTTTAAGTACCCACTCCAGCTGCCAGCATGTTGATGATAGCTGCGAACTTTGACAGATCAAGCTGAATCTTGAGCTGCAATGGTCCAGAAGCCAACGGGCAGTTGTGGGCAAAGTCGCAGCCGTCAATGTTGTCGCTAAAGTCAGGTTTCCATAACTTTTTTGAATGACTTACAGTAGTCCCAAAGTGGGAATCTCCTTCCAGTTGCACGTATTGTCGGTCCAGCTACGCTGATACTGCTTAAGTCCAACGTCAACTTTGTTGTCGGTGATCTGAAGACGTTTTTTATACAAATATGTTTATTTTTATAATAATTAAACCCCGTTGAAAAGCCGCTTCGCGACTTTTCAACCCTGGCCCCGTCTAACCCTATGATGTTCTTCGTTTTGCATAAAATCCAATTCCAATCCACACCCCCAGATCGGATGACAAAAAACGAAAAACGCTCCCTGTGGGCCTTTATATAGGCTACCGCAACTTCCGGCGTATTCTAATTTTCTCCTAACAAAGTGGGTGTTTTTAAGAAAAACTTAATTTTAATGTCGAAAACACAATATTTTACAAAATCCGATATGTGTGCAGTCATCTCCAGCCCATTACGCATCTAATGACGTATCAAACACCTCCTCAAACCACTCCCCTCTCGAGATATCCTCCGGACACCCTGACGGAAGTTGCATGCAAAGTGGCACACACACACACAAACACTTTTTTTTATATATAGTAGGATGATAGATAAAATACTCACCGGTTGACCATGGTTGTACGAGATGAGGTTGAGGATCATCGCCTGCTTCGGGTCCATCGGATACATCGGCTTATCGTTCACATCAGTCACGTTAATGGCAGAAATCGTGATTTGCATTTCTGCAATCAAACGCTGGTTTTAGGTGTACTAGGTTAGACTTACTATCTGCGCATTCATAGGTGTGCATCGCCGTCTCCGAGCCGTTCGGGAAGGGACAAGCATCGGCGCGGACCGAGCCGACTGGAGAGCTGAAGCCAAACCGGGCTACCTGAAAACGTAAGGTTTTAAAATTCCGCGAGTACGACCCAGTTCTACTTACCTGAACAAGAAGAACAAAAACGCCGACAAGGTGCAGCCTGCTAGTAAGAGCCATTTTTCCAGAATCAACTGCAGAAGAATTGGTGAAAAGCTTCCCACGTCTTGACCTTATATGCTAACCAGATAAGGCCCAGCGTTTTTTTTTCTGGGATAGCCCTGCTGATGGCGCCACCGACCAGAAGGCATAGCCATGAATCCTATTTTACGACAAGCCCCCTTATCTCCAAAACTATGGGCATAGTTACGGGCCACCACCGGCCGACCAGCTCATCAGGCACGTAAACGATAAGCAGCTCAACGTTTGCAAGGGGCATGGTATCCGTTTTGTGAAAATCAAAGCGCAAACAAGGTTTTTCAAAGAAGCCAAAGCTAGGTAGAATGACAGCAAAGTATAGACAACAAGGTTCCCAAAAAGACCCGATTTCAATGTTGAAAGTGGAATTCCAGCCGGAACGCAGAAATTCGAAACACAGAATGCTAAAACACAGACAGCGAAAACGCAGGCAAGACAAGACGCAGAAAGCTAGAATGCAGACACCGAATATGCAAAAATCCTATGCAATGGACTGTCTGCGTTTTAGCTGTCTGCGTTTTGTCCTGTCTGCGTTTTGGCTGTCTACGTTTTGGCTGTCTGTGTTTTAGCATTCTGTGTTTTGCATGTCTGCGTTTCAGACGTCCCGTTGAAAGTGTCATCCCCTTGATTTCTCGCCCTTTTGAAAGCTTTTGAATCTTATAAATACCATTCGGAAATTTTTTTGAACACCTTAGTGCAAACTGTCGCCTATTACTTCTTTTGTGTGCGTGCGATTTGCAAACGCCAAAAGTTTTATTCGCTGTTTATTATGTGCAGGACATCCACAAGCCGTCGCCGCTTCACCGGGGTACCTCCTCTTCATCAAACGTCGCATTCTCATAATTCTAAAGCAGCGTGGAATTAAGTAAAACATTCGCTGGTAGAGGCCTAGAAGTCAAGTTCTGCCACGCACCCCAGGTTGCAGGTCGAGGTATCCGTATCCGGCCGTCATCTCCTCCAGTATCCGCCCAAAATAGGCGCGTATTACTTCAAGTGATGGACGATCTTCCGGATGTTCTTGCCAGCAGCGTTTGATCATCGACCAGCTGCAAAAAAGATCGTTAGCAAGGATTAGGGTTCTGTAGGTTTTGGTCAACCATAGCTGCATTTACCGCTCTACCCCCATTCATTTACACTCACGTATGATTTGGGCAACTTCTGGGATGATTCAGCCGTTTTCCAGAGGCGAGATACGAAGCCATTTCCTCGGTGCCCACATAGGTGTACGGCTCCTTGCCCATTGAGAATATTTCCCATAAGCACACGCCGTAGCTCCTAGAACGGGTATAAGAGAATGCTAAAAATGAGGGTCAAACCAGATGTCAGAATGCGCCGTGAATTGACCATAACGAAGTGCTTCGATAGCTGTCCATTTTATGGGTAGGCGATCTAGATGGGTGAGTTTCTGATGTTACATGCTTTATAGCGTCTTGACCAGTTTCTGGACAACTAGTAGAAGGCTGAGTGGAACTTACGGCTTCTTGTTCGATTTTGCTTTTCCGTCCAAACTGCTAACCCGAAATCAGTAATCATCACATTCCCATTGGCATTCACCAAGACATTTCTTGCTGCCAGATCCCGATGCAGCAATGTATTTGTGTGCAGGAAATTCTGGGAGCTCGGTACCTCCAATAATACTGGGAATATACCAGTGCGTCAGCGATCTGCCAGCAATACGACATCAAACTCTTCAGACACACATGCTTCTCATGTACCGCGCATGCCATATAGCCCTAAAACGAATCAAGCGACAAAGATCGTTACAAACGCATTCTCGTAGTTTTCTCGCTTTCAAGTAGCTGCTCAAGTCTCCCAGTGCCGCATATTCCACCACCATGCAGAGCGGAGAATAGGAAGTCACACAGCCCAAAAGTCCGCAGACATTTGGGTGCGGAGGCAAATCCTGAATGTGTTCGCAATAATTTGAGGTATCTCAGCGTACCTTCATAATTTGTATCTCATCCAGGAAGGCATTTCTTTTCGATTCTTCAAAATGCAATGGCATCATTTTAATCGCTACCGCTCTGCTGTCATATTGGAATGCAAAGAAGGACTTCTTGTGAATGTTCTCTACGGGGGCACGACCGATAAGCGCGCCTAGATGTGAATTTAAAAAGATTTTTTATTACGAAACCTTTGTAGACGACACCACTTGCGCCACGCCCAATTTGACGTCCAACTATGATCTTCTGGCGATCCATTTCCCAGGGATCTCGTTGTAACTCCGATAAGACCCAATCGACGCTGAGGAGCTGAGACTCCGGTGTTCCTGGCGCTTTTCTATGAATATATGATTTAAAGAATCGGACCGAAGCCTACAGTCCTTCTTCTTCCTCATCACCCCGAACCGAATGCTGTAGATTAAGGAACAATCGCTTGTTCTGCGTCTCCAGATGACGATTTTTCCGACACATCGCGTACACAATAATTCCCAGAATTGGAAGAACACATATGATCACGACTAGGAGGTAGATAAAGCGGATCATGCCGCGCGCTAAAAAAGTATGTTTTTTGGATATTTCTGCTTACGCGCTGGTGGGCTGGGCTGCTTGCAGAAAGCGTTCGACGTGTTCGGCAAGTCGGAAAATCGCTCGGCGTACATCAACAACGTCTTCGGGAAACTGGATTCAACAGCCGTTTCATTCATTCCCGTTACGTTTGTTAATAAAATCTATAAAAAGTTTTTGTAGCTGGTTCGGTCTGCCTGCATCAAGCAGAGCGCAGTGAGGGTCAGTAAAATCTCCCACGCCAAAAGTAATGCGAACAGGTTGGTAAGTGGTCTACTTTATAAAACAAAAAAAAACTACCTTGAAATCTATCTGGCCCAAGCTTGTCCGTAGCATCTCCTTGTTGCTTTCGTAGTACTCAACAAATTCTGGAGATATAAAATGCGTGAGCAGCTGCATGCTTGGATTTGGTGCACTATAGCCCTAAACACGTCCGATTCGACAAATCATAAAAAAATTCTACATCTGTTGCCGTCAAGGCTCCTCTGCCTCGTTTTAGAAGCCTGACGGTATAGTCAAGTGCTGGGAAGTTAGCCGGCTGAACTTCATCTAGCTGATCACGTATGCAGCCGATCCTAGACAAAAAGTTTATAGAAAAACATTTGCGTTTTTCTGGCTCACGTCTCACAAAAATCAACATTCCGCTTATCTTCAAGCGTCGGTAAAATGATTCCGAACCGCTGTTTTGGCCCCAAACATTTCCCTAAGCCGGTTTTCAAAAAAATAGCAACATTCCCACCAATATTGTCAAGAAGATATTGTCGAACGAAAACCCAGTCTTCGGAATTGATTTGGTTTTTCAGTGCCAACACGATGATGTGGCTTGTATCACCTAAAAATACAAAATGTTTGAGAGATAATGGTTACTAAGATCTGTTGGCGTGTCCGTGTTCGAAACAGAGGTTGAAGTGGTAGTCGTAGACGCGGTCGTTGACGTGTTTGGTGTGGTAATAAGCGTCGTGTGGCCAGAAGCGGTGTTCCATCGGGTTGCGAGGGGTAAGTTAGTGGTGGGTGGATCACTACTTGTTGAAGGTGGTATCTGCAAAACATAAGGAAATTCATAATTCATCAATTCCGTACCGGAGACGTCTTCGCCGCCGTCCATATCCCCAAAATTTTCGACAAATTCGCAAAACTCGGAATCTCATAAAGACTATTCGTCAGATTTCTAAACCCCATCCTAATTTCACAACCCTTTTACCAACCCATAATACTTGACAATATCTGCCATTCCCATGCCATTCCATTCCGTCACAACCGCCATTGTTAGTTCGAGGTTCTGCCGGGCTAACGCTGACTCGAAGTATAGGGAATTTAACGGAAATTCAAGTGAAATATAGTCAGTGAGAATGATTGCTCGAACCTAGGACAGGAAGCTTCTGAAAAGGTAGGGCTAATCCTACTCGTTTTTCTTCGATCGGGCGGATTGCTTCGCTTCGTAGAAAATTGAGGACGTCGGGAGCGAAGTCGAGGTCGGCTTTGTTAATCGCGCCAGTGCTAACCTATAAAACATGATGGATTTTTTAATGTTTGCGCTTGAAAGCAAGAACACCAGACCTGTAGAATTGCTGGATGTAAGCGGTCGGTTGAATGTAGACATTTATCGTACTCATTCCATTGGCATGTGGCGTATGTTAACGTACGCGGCCCATGGACGCTCACTTTTCCTGAACCCAATTCTTTTATGCCTTAAGCCGTTTGTACCGCTGTTTGTCTCCAGATGCGCCAATTTGAGGAGCGAATGGAAGAGCTCTTGGACGCATACCACATCAGAGTCCCGGATGTGCCCAGAGAAGGCCAAAAATACGTGGAAATCGAGTGGTGGGTCCGGGGAGATAGCTAGGGGAGAAAGGAACAGTGGAAGCGCTAAAGAATACTTACTAACGTTGGCCAATTCGGGGCATAAATCTGTAATCCCATCAAACATAGTTGTGCGAAACGGTGCTCTTGGCGTCGTCGGTCTAAAAAACAGAATATCGTTATCTAACTCGATCTAAGCAGTACCTTTGGTGAAATACATTGACGTTACCACCAGAAATGATTCCAACTTGATGCCGGGCGCAGATTGCCGGAATCTCCACAGTTCTTGATAGCTCTATGGCGTCGACGACGACAATCGGGTTCGGGTAGTATTTGGCCAACTTTGGATCGAGGAGAATGATGTGAAAGATGCCGACATATGGGTATAGCGCTGAAATTGAATTCTTTGGAAGCGGCATGTTTATCCAAACCGTCTAGGAATTCAGCATTTATCATATCAACTCCGTAATCGGTCACTAGAAAGACGGTATCTGCCGTTCTAGGTGAGTGTAAAAGCGCTGGAAGCCGAGGATACCTTCTGATCTCTGGGATTAATTGGACCGCTTTCAAAAATGTGGCTTTCATATCGTGATGATCGTCGGGATCCACGTAATCTATAGTCATTGTTAAAGCACCAGCTAAGCCTAGATTTACCATCGGTATTATCGTGCATCGGAATGACCACGTCGTCCCACGACATGTCGTTGAACACTTGGCTGCATTGTTCAAGCTCACAGCAATACACCGATCTGAAAATAAATAAGCTAATTCATTTAACAAAAGGTTAAAGTATAATATAAATAAATGTTTTGGGAAAAAATTACCGGGTCATAGGAGGTGCCCATACAGCCAAAGAATAAGACAGGTCGAGCAAGCCACAAGCTCCTGCTTCATTCAATAGCATTAACTAGAAAATTGAACTGGTTGTCAGCACGAGCGCAGGAACAATGTAGGAATTTGATATTGACCAGACCCCGAAGGTACCAAGATTTTGCATTATTTTGCTATTATTTCCCACCTTCACTTTCTCCAACGTATCCACAGAAATTTCCGTAGAAAGAAAAAGCAAAAATAAAGATTTATAGTGGAAACATCCTCCTAAACAATTCAATTCACTAAAATAACATGAACAAGTTCACTGAAACAAGCCGATGTGGTCAGATCTCGGTTATTGTCGGCACCAACATCGACGAGGAGGGCACCGAGGATCAGGATGGGGATCAGGCCGCCTAATAGCCATTTCCCCATTCCTCTTTTAGAAAAAAGAGGGTAGAGAGGGGGCAACAGAGATAGGGAGCAAACCTGAGGCCAATATGATGGCCCTCGTGGAACGCGGCTTAGGTTGCTAAACCCGTTATCGGCAAAACGGATTTATGCATTGGCAGGTGTGAAACGCAGGCTGGGAAATCAAATTGATGATTTTTCGAAATTCAAGGAGTTTCAGAATTCTGGCTCTACGCCCGGATGCTTTGTATTGTCAGCAATTTTTAGCAAACCTCGAGGAAGCATGAGTGAAATGTTTATCCGTAGCTGATCATCAAGGGGGCAGTGCAAAAAAGCGATAAAGTACAAAGTACAAGGCAAATCGGATGCGCGGTTTATTCCTTCAGCACATAGATTGACAGCTTCTCCTCGAAAGCCACTTTCGGGCTCAACTTGTTGCAGAAATCACGGATCTCGCGCTCTCCACACTTTATCGTAGCCCGCACGGCCGGGAAGCAACCTGGAATTTTGGGATTAGAAAGGCGTTCAAATCTTATTTTACCCGAATACAGCATACTTTCCCAAAGGAAACGGTCGACATTGATGGGGACTGCCGCTGAGAAGGTCGTATAATTTAGTTGAGCCTGGAAAGCTTCAAATATTTCGCGACTTGTTTAGTGGGGGTTATTTCGGTCTGGGGGAAGTGAACGGGGTGAAGCCCATTGTAATGGACGGACCGAAAATGACCGATGCTATGGATCAAATTACCAGTTAGGTCACCAAAATAGACGTATCGGTTTCAGGTTATTGACAAATTGGTCGGTTTGTCAACAGGTTTAGTTGTGAAAGTCGAAAAGGAGCATCATAGCAAGTTTGAATTGCGTAATGGATGAATTTTTTAGAACATTCTACGATATTAATCGTTATATATCATACATGTTGTGCAGCAGCAGTGATCTCCTCTTTTGTCGGCATCAACTTTCTCCAGAGCAGAAGACAGCACTCAGGCACTGGGAGTGGAGGATTCTTGGGTCGACACAATACCACCAATGGTGCTCCGGGATTCAGATGGTTCTAAACCTCAACTTCCTCATAGATATTCAATTCTGACCTTTAGTGCCTTGAAAAACTGTCCAATCTCCGGGATTTCATGCGTCAGCTCGTTGACGATAATCACGTCATATTTCTCGAGCTAAAACCAGGGATCTCAGTTATTCAATGTAATCGTAATTTTTGTTGTCGCCATCCCTTTAAAACTACAACCTACCGCCTCGATTTGGGCCCAATTGCAATTCTTGAAGTCTGAGCGAAGCACGTTGACATTTGCCGGCAACTTGGCAGATGGCTTCTCCCCACGGATAAGGCAAGTCACCCTAAAAGTTGAATATGAATATCGCATCCGATCTTGTTTGCGACGTCGGCAAAAGCGTACTTATTGTTCGGGTACTGTTCAGCCAAGATGATGGCAAACACCGCACACTCCTCTGAGACGTCCAAAATTTTCAGGTTTTCTCGGCGGCCCACCTAGAGATATGAAAGCTTCAAAAGATCTGTGAAATGTGTACTTTATCCATAATCCAATTCCATATATCGGGGTGGTGGAGCGTCTCGAACTTTTTCAAGGCATCGAACTCACCCTGCTCAAACCGGATTTTCATCCTGAAAATCCAATGATTTATTTTTTCAAAGTGTAAACTGGAGGCTTCACAAGCAAGCGAACGTGCGAAGGCCAATACAGTTTGAAAGTTTGGAGTGTGGGGGGGAATTTGTCGCCATAGGGTGGAGGGGTTGGTGGAAAAAATGTGGGCTTGAGGGTCGAGCGGGGCCCGAGAGGAGGACCCCCGTCCAAACAACTTGTCGGCATACAGCTAAAGTAAGGGATCTTTAGGAGATTTTCGAGAGGTATAGGAAACTTACTAATGGGGTATTGAATTGAAGGACGAATTGCGAAGAGTAATTTGTTTGAAAATAGCCTGCAAATTACATTCGGGACGTAGTAGGCCATTTTTTAAATGTTATCCTATCTTATATAATTTGGTCGCGTATGTGTGTGTGCGGAGGTCAGTTTCGAGACCCGATTTGAGGGCCTTCCCGTGTCCAAAGCGCCCCAATTTTTCGTCATTCGGGGGAATCGACCCTCCTGTATCCGATGGTGTTTTCAGAATTCCGATAAAATAAAGGTTTACAAAGTTAAAGGCGATTTTATTAATTTTTGGGGTCCGGGAGGGCTAATTTGCATATTGTGAAAAAATAAAAATTTCCTCATTCTTGCAAGTTGCTCTCGCGGGTTTGGTCGGGACAGGGAAGGGGGTCCGAAAGACCCGAGCTATCAGAAAGTCAAACTTTTCATACAAAGGCCGCATTCCAGCGCCCAAGGCCCGCGAAGCGGGTTTTGGGCGCTGGTAGGAAAATAAATTCGTGTTTAGGGCTTTCCACTAAATTTAAACCGTGTTTTTTTTCAATTTGCGAAGGAGCAATATAGCTCGCTGCGCAAGTGGATCTTTTTTCCACCTCAGGAGATGCGCAACGTTTTTCTATAGGGCATTCCAAAAGATTCTTAGGATCACCTAAATTAGGCACGTCCCAGGGTTATTAAAAATATCTTTAACCTTCGAAATCGGGCTCCACCGCTAGTTTGCAAAGCCTATTCAGATTCAGCAAAAAAAGTCTACACAAAATAGGCCAGGTTCCAAATCGACCGCAAGCGTGCAAATGTAAAATCTTTGCCTCAAAAAACCGTAGCTGCAAACAACAAGTACAGTATACGATACCCCTAAATTAACCATCTCCCCCAAAGAACAAGAGATCAAACATGACGCGCAAAAACGAATGGGGCAACACGAGCCAACCACCAGCCCGGGGCACCCGGATGGGATAAGCCGAAATGGGCGGAAAAATTGATGAAGGGCAATGGCGAGATGGATCTGACTGTAAAGTGTTTTTACTCAACTTGGAGTTTCGATTCGGGACCAAGTGCACCTTGTACAGAATTTTTCGCTGATTCCGAATATGTTTTCCAAATTTGCTACGGACCGTTATTTTGAAAGTTATACGGCAATTCTAACCCTAGTTTTCACCAAAATGAAGGTATCGTTATAGTTTTCTGTTTTCTTGATCATTTCAACGTCAAAATTGACTAGACGTTGGCCCGACAAGCATCCTACAGCTCAAAACAAACATTTTAGCTAAAAAAAATAAGATTTTTATGCAAAAAGCAAAAGAAATGATGTAGGGCGGGGGTTCGAACCGCCGCCCTGCGCTTGGCAAGCGAGTACTTTGCCAATGCACCATGGTGCCAACCGGGTAGGGTGCTGTCAGAGGGTACTTCAGGGCCCCTGGGAACCATAGCCCCAAACAAGGAATAGTGGGCCAGCGTCTGAATTTTTGGCATTTTTCGGCCTAATTGTTACCAAAAATGCTTTTTTAAATAACAGTCCGTAGCAAATTTGGAAAACATATTCGGGATCAGCGAAAAATTCTGCACAAGATGCACTTGGTCCCGAATCGAAACTCCAAGTTGAGTAAAAACACTTTACAGTGAGAATAGGGGAGGGCAGCCTGGTCGCCCAATCGCACAACTGTTCCTCAACTGCCCAAAACCCCCCTTCAGCACAATTCCTCTCTTTCCCTGATTGCAAAAGTCAAAGAACAAAAAACAGCCCAATTATCCTGCCCGCAGGCCCCCAGCATGTTGATAGTTCCTTCTCGTACACCTTGGGTGTTCACCGGGAGTTAATTTTAAGAAATGACGTAAGATAATTGGATTCTAGTTTTAAAGAGGCTAGGAACTCCAACTTAGCAAACATTTAAAGCTTGATTTAGACAACCCACAAGCTAGCAAGAAGCTTGTAAATAAATAAATAAATAAATAAAGCTAGAAAATGAAGCTCAATGCGAAAATCTGGTAATTGTGAAGCTCTGCGATATTCGACATGTGCCTTTCCTTGAAGAAAGCCCCGCATACCCTCCATTCCAAACGTCATAAAATAAGGATATCTCCCTGAAAAACTCCTCTTTCCGCCATATGGAACCCCCGTGAATCGGCCACATCCCGGTTCAAAATCCCTCAAAAAACCAGCCGTTCGCACGATTTCAAATGTAACACCCGCGTTCAAGCAAGTTTTTAAGTTTAGTTTTATGATTTATTAACGCAGAAATGAACAGTGCAAATTACTTCAAATTGTTCCTATTGCCAAACCTCGTCTGCTATTAACTTACCACGTTGTAAGCGAGAGGTATCAAAAGTAGTGGTGTGAAGACGTACATTTGCATATCCGTTGCCAGATACCAGGTCACACCGTAACACTGAATAATGGGGGCTACGCGAGAATACGCGGACGGACCTGCTGATGCGGATGGACGAGATTTTGAACGTACAAAAAGTCGGCCCACCAATATCGACGACACGAGTCTTCAGTTGGCTTTCTAAAATGTTACATTTAGATAGTTAACAGTAAAAAAAGGGTTTAAGGTTTCGGTAAGGTTGCTACTTACACCATGCTAAGACGGATGCTAGAATCAGGCAGCGTGGGGATAAGAACCCAAGACCAAAATAGTACGGTAATATAGAAAACTGGTGATAATCTAGTAATTAAATAATCGAGAATCATTAAGCTTTCACAATACCTTATAATCCTGTGAACATAAAACATCAACCAAGCTTTCCCGTAAAGCGTAGCTCGGCGATTTCGCTTCAATTCTTTGAACCTGAAAAAATTGAAGTTAAGGTTTTTATAAGTATTTACTGACTCTAATTATTTAGAAGCGCCAAATGCTTACCAAATAAAAGACAGTAAAACACCGCCTGTAAAGAAGAATGTATCAACCGAAAAGAATGCATTGGATAAGAGATAAAATGGCGGCTTATCAGCGTCCATGACCATTTTACGAACGTTCGCTGAATTAATATTTTCACTATTGCAATTGTAACGTAACTTTCCGTTGAAAAAACCCACAAATAAAAGCCAACATGTCCGAATTCGAATGCCCCATGATAATCCAGCACATTGATAAAAATCGCATGCAATTCAAAGGTCCGATTTGGCCGGGCTAAAATTAAACTCCACACTACTGTCAAAGACAAGAGATGAAAAGCTAAAGATCTAAGTTACCTTATTAACATTAGCAGTGCTCAGCACATCGATCATATTCTTCGAAAGTGAAAATGCCATGAAAAGCTTGAACCAAAGTGCTAGAATGAATCAAAATTGTCAGTTTAAATTCATAGGCTTACTTTGAACAATACTAGAACCTTTGAGGTGCTTCATCAAATAGTAATCTACCAGAGCCGAGGCAACAGCTATTACTGCGATGATTCCCATGATGGTACTAAAACAAGTATGGTAGAGATGGAGAGAGCGAAAGAGAGAGAGAGAGCGATAGAGAGAGAGAGGAGAGAGAGAGTGGGGGAGCGAGAGAGCAGAGAGAGAGAGAGTGAGAGATATCGGCCTTACTTACAGTGTCACATAAGTCATCGGCGTTTTTCTGTTGATGTTATTAGCGTCGTTTGTCCCAATTAGACAGAGCTGAGCTAAAAATTGTTTTTTTACTGACACGCTCCTTGTGATATCTAACCCAATTTCTCCCATAGTGCATTTTTAATTTCTTCAGCAGAACAGGAACGTGGGAGGCAGAAATCGAGCCCGAATAGGATTCCATCGCCGGTGCAAGTACTACCGTTACGACCGCCGAAGAATAGCCTCAATTTATTCAAACTCAAGGTTATTCTTTTTTTCACTTTACCGAAACATATCCCCATTCCAAGTATGGGACCTGTCAGTTCGTTTGTAGCTGATTTCGCGGCACTCAGAGAAACGACCTGAAGTGTTTCACTTCCTTCATGCTCCCTTGCTCTCTCTCTCGCTCTCTCTCTCTCTCTCTCTCTCTCTCTCTCTTTGTCTCTCCCTCGCTTACTAACTAGCTGTTCATCAAAAACTTTCTCTATAACTAAAAAAATCAAACATTTCATACCTTGAAAAACTGAACGTCCATACAAAAGTCCTCCATTATAACCACCATTCGAATCAATAACTAAAAACTTAAGGTATTTAAAGCTGTAAAACTATTTGTGTAAATACTGATGCAACCTAGGTGCCGTAATACCTTTGAGTGTGACTTCTTGATCAAATTCAGTGAGAGCCACCGTATGGTTGATCAACAGATTCTTTCCAAAATCAGCTAAAGAGGTGGCCAGGTCCTCAATATCTTCCATGCAGCCCTGATTTGCCCATTGGGTTCCGGGTTTCTGGAACAAATATAGAATTTCAGTTTTCAGAGCCAAACCTGTAACCCTTGAATGAATTCTTCCAGTTTTAATCCACTTTTGAGCAAGTCGGCAATATACTGTAATTGAATTTATTAAGAAAACTTACCTTGCAATACCTGAAAGTCGGGCTCCTCCTCCCACCTCATGCTCGACCTGGGGATCCATTCCTGGCACCTGGCGAACAATGGAAGCACTAATAGAAGGCCAAATGCCCTCATCACAAGCCCGAAGTAAAAGCGGAACAGGTTGACCTATCAGACAGTACAAAGGCTACTTATAGCCTCTTCCGGGCTTATCATTTTTGGTGGATTTAGCGTCATTTACCGTTGGTTCCTCGGTCAGTTGAGCACCCTGATTCATTGTTCTAACAAGTAGACGTTTTTGAGTGTCGTCGGGACTTTGGCACGGGACCAAGCCTATCTTGTGCAGAATTTTACGCTGATTAAGAATATGGTAACCATTTTTGCGGAATAGCCATTTCGCGAAAGTTATGAACGATTTGAACCTCAAATCCGCCCAAAATCGGCTACTTTCGATAGTCATAAAAGGCTTCGGAATAGGTTATAGACAAAACTTAATAGTGCATCTTGTTCAGAAAAAAATTCTCTATAAAATGTACCATCTTCTCCAAAATCATTGAAAAGTTAGAAAAATTTGATAAATTGGGAGGCCCCTAATTTTACAAAAATTTTTAAAATTCCAACATTTTTGAGTTAAGTAGCTTATTTGATAGAGAATTTTTTTTTGAACAAGATGCACTATCTGGTTTTGTCTAAAACCTAATCGGAAGCCTTTTATGGCTATCGAAAGTAGCCGATTTTGGGCTGTTTTTAGGTCTAAATAGTTCATAACTTTCGAGAAATGGCTATTCCGCAAAAACGGTTACCATATTCGTAATCAGCGTAAAATTCTGCACAAGATAGGCTTGGTCCCGTGCCAAAGTCCCGACGACACTCAAAAACGTCTCCTTGTAAGGCATATTGAACCCACGAGTTCCCCCTGAACGCTAATGAGTCAGAAGACGGTCGAGTTCTAGTGTATTTGGCTGTTAAGCCATTAAATGGTGCCAAGTTAGGCTTAGGTTAAGTTGTCATCGAGCAAAAGTCAGTCGGGTACGTATCGGACTAGTAATGCGGGTTACAGAATGGTGATAAATCCTCAGGCTGCACCGGAGTTGCAAACTTAAGTGAGTCAACTAAACTATATTTGTACATTTGCAGGTAACGTGGTTTTGACTGCAAAAACTTATTCTTAGTTGCAACTATTCTTCAATTTTATTAAACAATTAAGGATGTATTAATTTACAGCGAACACATCCATTCATTCTCCCGCTCTCTCGCACTTTTTTTCTCGCTCTCTCTCGCTCTCTCTCTCTCTCGCTCTCTCTCTCGCTCTCTCTCTCTCTCGCACGCGCGCGCCGCTCCCCAATTTGGTCAACTGATTAGGTGTCTGACAAGGGAAGTGCACGAACTTAAGGTGACTTTTCTTTTTCAAAATAAGTGGGTCTGATAGAGTCGAACACGGGTATTCCGAATCTGTAATCAGAATCTGCTAAATGAAACGGAGAAAAAAGTTATGAGGCTTCAAAGTTGGCAAAATCGACAAAAACGGTACCTTTAGCGGCCTGTAAAAGGCGCGGAAGCGGAACTGAGCAAAAACCGATTGGTGCATCTTGTTCAGCAGAAAAAGCTCTTTCGAATGAGCTATCGTTCAAAAAGTATACGATGGTTTCGCGGAAATCTCTTCGATGACTTCCACAGGCTCTACCTTTACCTGTGAATTAAAAAGAAGCTTTTTTGACAAATTATCTGTAATTGCTACATATTAAGGCTCATTCGAAAGAGCTTTTTCTGCTGAACAAGATGCACTAATCGGTTTTTGCTCAATTCCGCTTCCGCGCCTTTTACAGGTACCGTTTTTGTCTATTTTGCCAACTTTGAAGCCTCATAACTTTTTTCTCCGTTTCATTTAGCAGATTCTGATTACAGATTCGGAATACCCGTGTTCGACTCTATCAGACCCACTTATTTTCAAAAAGAAAGGCCACCTTAAGTTCGTGCACTTCCCTTGTGAGCTCTAAGAACTGATCTTCGGAAAATGCAGTCCTTCGTTTCCCGGTTCCTTATGACCCGTTTTTCCAAGCAATGATTGTGTACGGAAAGCTCTATTATCTTTTAAGTACTTTGCGGAAATCCCATGGGTGGCAGGCAGCAAAGATATTTTGAGGAAAATTTGGCCGTTACACTCGTACAAAAATTAGTTTTTATTATGAAAATTCAATAGAAACCGTAGGGTAGATGGCAAAGATTGCGGCTTTTCAGCTTTGAACCTCTGCGATAACCCCGATTTTTACTGGCAGTACCTAAATTAATGTCATCAAATGGCAGGCTGACTAGCGAACCTCATTTTGCCGATCTTGACCCGCAACTCCATTTTCTATTATGGGCTTCTCTTGCTCCAATTTCTCGCCTCCCCTTCTCCTGTGAGTGCCCAGTAAAAGAGCTTCCACCTAAAACTTATTTCCGGTAACTTTATAAATCATCCTACCTTTCCGATTGACACCTCAAAAAGGCAACTCCAGAATAAAGATAGAACGTAGGTAATCAAAATCGCCGGAGCTGTGAAGTTCGCAAACTGCAAAGAATATTCCGTAGTTGCGATTTTTCAGATCCCTACCAGATCCAGAAAGTTTCCCCAAAATATTTCAGGCTCATGGATGTCGATAAAATAGTAGATGATCAGGAAATGTATTAAATAGGCTGTATAGGTTAGTCGGCCAAGCGGGGCCCATCCCGGCCATGACATAAACGAGTTTACTAACCCTTTAAAATGATTGTCAATGCAAATTTCGTGACTAGAGCTTACCGCCATAGCCGTAATAGCATGATATCACAATCCAAGAAAGACAAAGACCCCAGAGAGGTTTTGATAGTGCAGAGTACGCAGCTCTCCAGAATAGCGGCATTAAGTGTCTATAAAAGCACCTTAAAGGGTTCGGAACAGCCTTACTGGTGTGGATTTGCAGATGGAATCATCACCACAAAAAGCATTACCGCAAAGCTCAATAGAAAAAGCGGTAGGTTTAGAGTCTAAATGCGTCTTATGTGGCCATTAATTTTATCTCACTTTGTTTATCCTTATGGTTTTCTTATTATGCAGAAGATAGCCGACCAAAATTCCGATAATGTACACTTGACATCGAATCCAGGGTGCCTCATACATTAGCATACTGTAGTCACTATAAGGGGAGATATAATGAGAATTATTAGGGGTGCCTACTCAGCATGTTTCACTTTCGGGTCTTGAGCATTGAGGGCTGGAGGGAAACCAGGGAAACGGAAATGGTATACGGTATATATATTCGCGGCTGTGGATAGGAGCAATACGGAACTAGCCATCGCTAAGCCCAGGACCTGAAACATTTTTATTATGTGCTAATGGAGGTTCTAGTTCGATAGTAACTTACCATATTGTAAGCGAAAGGTATCAGAAGCAATGGAGTAAATATATACATTTGCATGTCAGTCGCAAGATACCATGTGATACCGTAGCACTGAAAAAGTACGCTCCGCTACCCGTTACACCTACCTCTTCTTTGGCATGGACTATGTTCTGGAGATACAAAAAGTTGACCCACCAATATTGCCGACATGGATCTTCGGGAACATCTCTAAATCATCGAAAAGTTGTTCATTAAAGTTTATCGAGCGAGTTACAGTAACCCGAAATGAACCCGTACTTACACCATGTTCAAATTATTGCTAGAATCAGGAATGTAAGGCAATAAAATCCAAGACCAAAATAGAACGGCGAGGTAATAGCAGGGAGACAATCTGAAAAGCTTCCAAAAATTTATTCCAGAATTGTTTTACCCACCGTATAATTCTGTGAACATAAAACATCAACCAAGCTTACTTCCCAGAAAGTGTACCCCGACGATTCCTTTTCAATTCTTTAAACCTAAACAAGCTAGTTAAAAATCAATACCCGCCTACCAGAGATATGACAACAATACACCGCCTATAAAGAAAAACGTATCAACCGAGAAGTACGAATTCGAGATTATATAAAACAGCGGTTTGTCGGCATCGCGAACAATTTCACGAATATTGGCTAAAGAGGTGGGGACAGACTTTTTACACATTTACAGAGATATCCCAGCATAAACGAATTTGCATGGCCCATGATAATCCAGCACATCGACAAAAAGCGCATACAGTTTAATGGCCCGATTTGGCCAGGCTGAAAGAACAGCGTACTTCAATTTTAACGACAGACGAACGGCCAAAATTTACCGTACCTTGTTGACCTTGTCAGTGTTCAGCCCGTCTTTCATATTCTTGGACAATGAAAATGCCATGAACCGCTTGAACCAGATGTCTAAAGCCTTATTAGTAATTTTAGGTCTTTTACTCTGGACAAGTATTGTGTTTTTGAGGTGTTCCAATAGGCAATAATCGACAATTCCGGCAGCAATGGAAATTCCGGCAATGGCGGACATTACGGTGCTAAACAAATTTTAATTGTTGCATTTGGTATGGGTTTTTAGATACAAAATAATTGTCTATCTCTCTCTCTCTCTCTCTCTCTCTTTCTCTCTCTCACTCTCTCTCGATAGCATTTGACCCGAAAACCCACATAGTAATATAGGTAACAGCAGTTTTCTTATTCGCGTGATTCTCCGCATTCTTCCCAACCAAGCACAGCTGATCTACAAAAACTTATTTGCAAAAAATCCTGTTTTCAAAGACAATTAGCTTGACTCACCAAATTCCTGCCACAACAAAATTTTGACTTCCTCAGCCGAACAGGAGGCGGGTAAACAGAAATCTATGCCGAAAATGGTGCTATCTGGGTTACAAACACTTCCATTACGTCCACCGAAAAATAGTCTAGTATTGGTATTTTTATGATAACAAAGTATTTTTAAACCTGAACATATCACCTTGCCAAATGTGCGAACGGTCTGATTTTTTATAATTTATCAAACGACATTCGGAGAATCGGCCTAAATTTTTTATTTTTATTAAAGGGATTGGCAAGGCAAATCCATAAAGAATCCATAACACCTGGACTTTAAAGGGATAACACCAGCAAGAACCACCTGCAAATACAGAGCGTCCATCCAAAAATCCACCATTAAGAGCTCCATTAGAATCGATAACTGAAACAAAATCATTTATATCTGGCTGGCAGAATTGATAATTCAAACTACCTTTCATCGTGACTTCCTCGTCGAATTTTGTTACCACGAATGTATGATTAATCACCAAATTCTTCCCAAAAGTCAATACAGAATCGGCAAGGTCCTCTATATCCTCCTTACAAGCTTGATTAGCCCATTGGGTTCCATTTTTCTGAAAATCAAAAAATAAAAACAAGTTTCAGATAAAACCTGTAATTTTTGAATAACGTTGAAGATTTTGAAGTCGTTCTTCTGAAACCCCAAGAAATTCTAAACAAAAATCAGGTAACCAGGTAAATGTTTAATCACCACCTCATCGGCTACAGTAAGCTTCTTCAATCGAATTCCAGTTCTCGGGAACCAATTTTGGCTGGATGTTAATAAGGGGAAAATTATGAAAAGAGCCAATAGACGCATTTAATTAGGACTATCCGTACCGTGCACAAATTGATCTCCAGTCTGCTTTTATTTGATTGGCTTATCTTGCAGGTTACAGTGGGCGGCTTAACGTCATTTTGCACCTCCGCGTTTTTGCATAGTTTTCAAGAAAGGTGAACTAAAATTTCCATATTATTGTAGATTTTTTAGGCAAGACAAAAAATCCTTGATGGTGTGAAAGGGAACTTTGGTTCCTGATTTTTTTAACAAAACTTTGATATTTTTGCGTTATTTTGAGGCTTTTACGAGCTATTTGGACTAGTTGTGACTTGGTCAAAAAGGCTTATCAATCACAGAACGCCCACGGTGGAACGGATCGAAGAGATAATTGAGCTTTTGGTCTGTACCGGTCTGGAGGACGGGCTTTTGGAGAAATTAAGTGGAGGTGAGACGCTAGCGGCCTGAAAAGATGCGGTTGCGTCGCGTTTCGCGGTCGCGCTTTCTTGATACAAGGAAATAGATTTTGTTTTTTTAAAAAACAGAAAATCTATCAAAAAATTAGTGCAGATTAGATGTGGCTCATAATTAGGTTTCTTTAGCTAATTAAGTCCATTAGAAACATATCCATAGATAATTCGCTGGATTGAACTAAAAAAACAATCAAAATAAAAACACTTTCAAAACACAGTTAGCTTATCTAAAATAATTTCAAACAGTCAATAAAGCAAAAAGCAAAAAGTTCGACCACGGAAGGATTCGAACCTCCATCTTCTGCTCAGACAGCGACCACGGAAGGATTCGAACCCCTCACCCTCGGCCTCCTTGGCAGATAGGCTATCCATTGCCCCACGCGGCCCTGTGGAAAGGGGCTCTGAGTCTTTTCTAACTAGTAAGAGGGGAGGTGGGTCCCGTGTAGGTGGCAGACTCTAGCTAAGTCGTTCGGCTTATTGTCAGTGCTTTTTTGTGTTTCCTTCTAATTGCGTTACAAAGTGCTAAAGGGTTATCTTTATTCACGATGGGACAATTTATGACCGTATGTACAAAGAATTCACATCTATCATTTCCTTTTTCCGTTATTGCCACGCTTCCTCAACCAATGGCGTCTTCTTTGATAATTCCTAGAAAAATATTCTATAAATTATTACTTGAATTTAATACCCCGTTATGAAATCCGTTGGCAAGCCCGTTTTGATGACCGTTCTCGAGCTGTAGCTCAGTCGGCTTTTCCTTTTCGATTGGTTCAACCTTATTGGCTGCAGGTCTGCGATGTCCATTTAGAAGTAAGGCTTCGACCTAGACAAAAAAAAACGAAACTAATAAATGCCTTGAAACAATACCCTTCCGACTGAGATCTCAAAGAAACAACTGGCAAACAATGCTGTACAATATGTTAGAATAATGGCGGGGAACGCGAAGCTCGAGAACTAAAAAGGAATTCGCCGTTATTTTTTGTCACTCACTATAGTGAGATAGTTCCCCCAAATAATCTCGGCATCATGCACATCCCGAAGGTAATAAATGAAAAAGTAGTGGATTAAATAAGCAGTATAGGTTAGACGGCCAAGAGGAGCCCATCCAGCCCAGGACATAAATGAGTTGACAACGCCTTTAAAGGTTGTATTTGGGGATTTAAGGTATTGTTCTTACCACCATAGCCGTAATAGCACGATATAACAATCCAAGAAAGGCAGATACCCCATAGAGGTTTTGATAGAGATGAATAAGCGGCTCTCCAGAATAGCGGCATTAGGTCTCTAAGTTTTTTTAGATATTTTTTGTTATTTTTATTCTTACTGTATGTGGGTCGCTGACGGTACTGGAACAACAAACAACATCCCCGCAAAGCAAAGTCCCCACAGTACCAAATTCAACAGCTGAAGGAGCGTCTCCTAGCTGAAGCGTTTTACTTACCTTATTGATTTTCATCGTTTTCTTCATCTGTAATAGATATCCGACCAAAATTCCGATAATGTACACTTGACACCGGATCCAGGCAGCGTAGTACATTAATTGGACGTAGTGTCTAAAATTCATGAACATTAAAACCTCACAAAAATTTTTGGGGCTGGTTTTCAGGGGAATAAACCCACTCTGGGTTCTTGATTTTAGGGTCCATTTTTCCGATAACAGGTGGCATTGCTGGGTATCGAAAATGGTAGATGGTAAATACATTTGCTGCTGTTGATAGTAGCAAGATGGAGCCAGCAACGACCAAACCGAGAACCTAAAACGTGCTTTTCGATTTGTTCATGTTCTTGACGATGCACTTGCGATGGTGCTAATAGATTTTCACTTACCATATTGTAAGCGAGCGGTATCAAAAGCAACGGCGTAAATAGGTACATTTGCATGTCCGTTGCCAAATACCAAGTGACGCCGTAACACTGAAATGTGGGCAACTACGCGATGATACGCTAGAACGGACCTGCTCATTTGAATCGACGATATTTTGGAGGTAGATGATGTTTATCCACCAATGATCGTAGCAAGCGTCTTTTTCTGGGTTTCTGGAATGGGATTTTCGGATTATGCGCCTTACTGGTATGTTAGCTAAAACCGTATCTTTATAAATTTTAACTCACACTTCACTCAATCGGTTGCTCGAATCCGGAAGTGAAGGAAGCAGGACGGCAAACCAGAAGAATACGGCAAGATAGTAGATCGGTGACAAACTACAAAAGGGCACTGCTTGATTTCTAAATTTTTTAAAGCTACCGTATGATCCTGTGGACATAAAACATCAGCCACCCTTTGCCAGAAAGCGTCGCCCTCCTGTTTTTCTTCAATTCTTTGAACCTAAAAATTGAGATTACCATTAGGATTTAAGCTTAGTGCCTGAATACACAATAAATAACATTAGCATACCAAAGAAATGCCAGCAAAACACCACCAATAAAGAAGAAGGTGTCGACGGAGAAGAACGAATTTGAGAGAAAATAGAAGGCCGGTTTGTCAGCGTCAACCAATACATCCAAAAGATTCGCTAAAAAGGAAGGGTTTTATGAATGTTTAAAGTTTTGTAATGCTCAGCAAGCCAGTTAATACCTACATAAAAAGCTAAGAATTTCCAGATTGCAATGGTTCAGGATAATCCAGCACATCGACAAGAATCGCATGCAATTCAGGGGTCCGATTTGGCCGGGCTGAAATAAAATAGGGGTAAAAACCTAAAATCTACGATACTTTATTAACATTGTCGGTGTTTAGCACCTCCTTCATATTCTTCGATAATGAAAATGCCAGGAAAATCTTGAACCAAAGGGCTGCAAAAACTTGATTTTCTCATGAATCTGCAAGTCTACCATGAACCATACTCGATTCTTTGAGATAATCCATCAAATAAAAGTCCACCAGGCCGGCTGCGATTGAGATTCCGACGATTATTGACATCAAAATACTAAATAATGCCCAGGTTTAAGAAAATATTATTTTAAATCCTTACATTACTACATAAGTGGTTGCGTTTGTTTTGTTAACACGATTCGCGTCGTTCGTCCCAATCAGACAGAGCTGATCTGGAAAATTCAATATTAGTAAAATACGGCTTTAAACAGCCTACCTAATTTTTCCCACAATGCCCCTTTGATTTCTTCAGCTGAACACGAGCGAGGGAGGCACAGATCAATGGCAAAAATGGTGCCCTGGCCAGTGCAGGTACTACCGTTTCGACCACCGAAGAAGAGTCTAAAATTTGTTAAAATACTTTACTAGCTCCTCACCTGAACATGTCGCCTTTCCAGGTATGTGATCGAGCTTCTCTTTTGTAGCTGATGCCGCGACACTCCGAGAAACGACCTGAAACTCGTTTGGTTTCAAGCTTTGCAAATAGTCTCCTCACCTTGGAAAATTTTTCGCCCCTTCAGAAAGCCTCCATTAAATCCTCCGTTCGAGTCGATTACTAAAGAATCACAGATTAAACGTTTATGAATTATTGAAATAAAATTTTATCCAGCATTTAACGAAACTAAATTAATTACCTTTAAGTGTAACTTCTGCATCAAATTCGGTAAGCGTCAACGTGTGGTTAACCAGCAAATGTTCGGCGAAATTTTTTAGAGCCCCAGCAATATCATCAACGTCCTCGACGCACGCCTGATTCGCCCATTGGCTGCCGGAACTCTGAAGATTTTTAGATTAGATGAAACCAAAAATTTTTTGATACCTGCAACGCGAGAAGAATGTCCTCAGCCTTCATCCCCCCTTGCAACGCTTCCAATGCATACTAAATACGGTATTCTATTAAAAAATGATACTACCTCGTCCAAATCTGGGCTGTTATCCCATATGATACGCGATTTCGGAAGCAAATTCTGACACTGTACCAACAGGGGAAAACCAAATAAAATTGCTAGCAATCGCATCCTGCCAATTCGGAGAGCTCAAAGTGATCAGTGAACCAATTAGGCAGACAGTCCTACTTATAGCAGGTGAGGTTATCAAGAGATTCTGGACTGATAGCGTCACTTCACACCTTCTCCCCAGTTCTGACCATGATTCACTTCAATCAGGGATCCAACTGCTCAAGCGTGATTCACCAATTATGACTTCAAAAGCTCACGTCCAGGCCCAAGTATTTTTGATAAAAGTTCGCCGCAGCTATTTCGCAAAATTCACACGTAGCTACCCTATTCCCAGAGATCAAGCCTAAATTGCTAGGAATTGTCGGAAGTGTTCAAGAATACACTAATTTGGCCAACAAGTTTTGATTTCTGAGTGTGACTCCCCTGGGGTCACTGCTTATCTTTCTTGCCACCCCCGCCGTGTCCAAATAGTCGGCCCCAGTCAAGTGTTTTGGGCGGAAATGATGAGTTCAGAATGATTTACGAGGAGCAGCGACCAAAAAAGCCGCCGTTGATCTTTGGTGCGCGCAAAAATTGGTCGATCGGCTGTTCGAGTCGAAGGTGAAGCCCAGGAACATCGATGTGGAGGCAGGATCATTCGAAGTGGCGTAATATTTTTCCATCCCCATTCGATAACTATGTTTAAGAAAAGAAAAATTTTGAAAAATAAGATAAATTATATAATTATTTTTTTATAATTTTGTTTTAAATTTTTTATAATGCTTAATTACATAATTGTGCAGCTACAAAACGCAAAAAAGCCAGGAAACACAATGCGATTTTCGAAATTTTTATTTTCGACAAAAAAGATCGCCGGCCACATAACCTTAATGTAGCCTTTCCATGTATCAAACCACAAATAGCATATAAAAATTTATTATTTAAATACAAATAAAAAAGCCGGCGGCAGTCGTGCGGGGCGCGGGGCAGCGGCGGGGCCGGGCGGACAGCCCTGAAAAAATAAATTTTCCCCAATTAGATGAATTTGGTAGTTAAAAATGACGGTAACAGTGGCTTAACGGGGGGAGGAGCGAAATATCGGCGAGGAAAACAACTGTTTCTTTTTATGGCCCGTTGGTCTTTTTTAAGCATATCGTCTGATTGTAAAGCAAAAATTTTCGACTGTATTTAATTTGCGCCCTAAAAACTTAACTAACAACGACTTTAACTTACAACTTAGTTCATTTTTGCTTTTTTATTCATCGAAATTTTCAAAAACGAGTATCGTATCCAAAGATTATTACCTTATTTTACCTATTTCACTTCCTCCTCGTTCTTCTTGTCGTCCTTCTTGTCTTCCTCCTTCTTCTCGTCGTCCTTCTTCTCCTCGTCGTCCTTCTTGTCGCCGTCCTTCTTCTCCTCCTCTTCTTTCTTCTTCTTGGCGGCTGGCCCATCTAAAATATGAATGGATTCATGGAGTACCGTCAGTACAGTTCAAATAGTGCTAACCAGGCTTGGAGGCCCCTGATCTCGCCATAGACTGATTAGAGGGCAATTTGTATACTGCTCTCCGAATATTGATGAGAAAACTATAAAAGCACTAGGGAGCCGTATACCAAAAGTATACCAAAATATCGCTCGGGCTCTAATTAGTAATGATAAATTATCGTCAAGCCGAAAAAATGGCGAAAGACGAGAATAATTATGTAGAAAATCTAAGGCACATTTCCAGATACCACGCTTGATCCCACTACTTATCTATCGGAGCTCACTTTGCGCTCGGAAGCTGTAATTTTTACTACAAATAGTCGCCAATCCAAAGCGGGCATTTTGGTATATTACTTTACACCACTGGAGACAAACGGGGAGCTGGGATACAAATTTTGTTCTCGGTGCTATGAAAATCGATCTACCGAAAAAGGAGGAGTTAGGATTTAGCCCTCTGATCTACCTACCCTGGACGTCGTCCCTCCACGTCACCCTGCGCCGGCGCCAAAGCCGACGCAGCCGGTCGGCCAGCTCAGAGGGGGAGTCGGGGGGCAGCATTTTAGCAGCAAATATCTGAGGAACCTTCTCTATTTTTTGCTCGGCGAATCAACTTCCGGCAATGCAGCCATTCAAATCATTGCTGGCGCATCAGATCAGAAGATGTTAGCTGTGCCATCATATTGCGACCTGGGGTTTCAGCCCGATTCCACCGCGAACCGCGGGACATGTATTCATTTGCGAAAACTATTAAAAGACGCTATGAAAACTGGTTTTAAATTTGGGAGCGTCAATTCCATTCAAAGATTTAAGCAATCTGAATAGGGGCGCTTTTTACAAAATTCATTTCAAAGAAATCGTTACGGTTCAAAGTGGCCAGAAAGAATTATGCAAAAGTTATGCAAAATGTTATTATGCAAAAACAAAAGTTTCTAAATCCAGAAAAGAATTTTGTCCATTATTTAAAAGCTGGTTGGTGTATTGTTTCTGTCCTACCATGAAGTTTTGGTATCGATCATTAAGGATGCTTTTTTGCGTTATTCTTTGCGTGTTACAGTTTTGATGGGCGTCTCGAGTGCGTTAATGAGGAATACGATACTAGATAGGAATCTTTATTTCTACAAAATTGTCGTCTAATTCATCTGGATTTTTATACTTGCTTCTGCAGCGGGGTCCTCTCGGTGATGTCGACGTGATCGATGCAAGAAGCGATCTGAAAAAGCTGGCTGCTGATTGGATACACATTGTTTGGCTGTAAGCAGGGGTAATTAACGTACACGAGTCGTAAAATCGTAGTCGGACGGGGTTTCGAAGTAGTCGGCATCGGCAAAGTTCTCCTTCTCGCGCACCTGGTTCCAGAATTTGAGCTTGAGGACGAAGCCTAAAGCATTTTAGATGGTAGAAAAATTAGGTTATGTACCAGTGATGAAGCCGCTGACGATGGCAGCAAGTAGAACAATGCCCAGGGCAGCAGCTTGATGGGTGGCCTAATGATTTTCAGGTACATTTTAGTTTGAGGTAATTTAGTAAAGCAAAGGGGTTGATCTCTTTTCTCTCTCTCTCTCTCTCCCTCTCTCTCCCTCTCCCTCTCTCTCTCTCTCTCTCTCTCTCTCTCTCTCTTTCGCTCGCTCTTTTTTCTCCCTCTTCTGCCTCACCTGAACCGTTTGATCAAATCCAGCAGTATTAGCTGTTGAGTTCATCCCAGGGTAGATGATGTTAAGGCTAAAACGACAATAGAAGAAGTTTTATTCCGGTTTAGTGGGTTAGCGGGGTCTGTACTACTTTATTAGATCGTTTATGTTTTATTAATTAAATTAAAATTAGGCTGAATAAACAAAGCTCGGTTATCCCCCGCTAACAAACCAGAACCCTATCCTGCATACCTGCTACCGTAGCGGCTCGGCTCATAGTGAAGAGCCATGGCAACCGATGCGATGGCGGCAATGATGGCGGGCATACCGTGCAGATTGTGAACACCGCATGTGTCGTGGAAGCCGAGCTTGTTCGAGAGGTACGGCTAGAAATTCAATTTATACAAATATTTCTGGATTGCGAGCATACGGTGAGATAACGGTAGCCAAGGACGGAGATGGCACCGGCGATAAATCCAATGACAATGGCGTGGAGGGGAGAGAGGCACACATTTGCTACTGTACCAATAGCAACACCACCAGCCAGGGTTGAGTTGGCAATGTGGACCATGTCGAATTTCTTCTGGAATTGAAGGAGTTTAGCCATTTAATTCGACTCACATGATGCTCAGTAGCTTGAGAAACAAGGAACGTAGCGATCGTACAAGCAGATAGCGACAAGACAGTGTTGATAATGGCTCTCTGACGAGCATCAGCTGGCTCGGCCACAGCTGCGTTGAACGATGGCCAGAATACCCACAGGAAAATGGCGCCTAAAATAAAAATTAGGACCCTAGATGCCTCTTACCAATCATAGCAAAGGTATCGGAGTGGTAGTTTGATCCCTCGTTCTCGTGACTGCGCTGCTCTTTCTTGGCAAAAGCCTGAAACAAGTAAACTTTTTGGACTGAAACCTTACACGACTGCAAGCCAACCCAAAGTACGCTCCGAAGGCGTGCACGATGATTGAACCACCAACATCGTTGATCTAAAAAAGTATCTTTCCGTGATAAATATGTGTGAAACTACCTTAAGCTCATGAACAACGTAATGTTCAGCAGCGCAAGCAACGGGGATTTCGAAGATCGTCATGATCAAGTACTGGACTGGGGACAGCTTTCCGAGCATCGCTCCCATTGAAATCAACACCACAGCGGCGGCAAAGTCAGCGGTGAGGATTCTAAGGAGGGTGAAGGAGATCCACTGAAGACCTACTGCTCAAGTCCTATTTCAAAATGGCCGTGCTCCTTGAAGGAATGCTCAAGGAATCCACGAACAATGATACTGTACTCGATAGTGAAAGTCGCTAGCAGCATATTGATCGAGAGGGCAGAGAAGCCATATCTGGATCCACATTTTGAGGTGATTTATATAACCCACCTCCTCAAAAAGGTCATCAAAAAGCCGAAACCGATGAAGATCATGACATGAGTGTCTTGGAAAGCTGAAAAATCGAGATTTCTTATAATAGTATCAGAACGTACTAGGGTAAGATTTGGCGAGCGGCAAGATCTCGTCGGTACCCGAGGTGTTTGGGGAAGAAGCTTCATCGTACTTTGCGAATAGACCGAAAAGTACGAAGAACAACGCCTGTAATGTGCCAGTTGGTTCACTTTATATCTGATTAACACCGGCTTCCCGCTTGGAATAGGAAAACCGTGTGGTGCGACGTGAATAGGCGAAAGTTAATTACGCTTCCCTGCCCCTTTAAAAACACAGTACCCACCTGAAAGACGCTGAGTATGATCGTAAACTGATGCTTCTGGAGGGCCGACGCCATCCTTGGGTCCCTGCAAAATGCAAAGTTTTCTGTGGGTCGAACTTTTCATGGATAGGGAGTTATCAAAAATCTCAGAGAGAGCGAGAGAGAGAGAGAGAGAGAGAGAGAGAGAGAGAGAGAGAGAGAGAGAGAGAGAGAACCGAATTCAACCCCTGATCGGGGGGTCTCAGTTTAAGAGGCGGGCAGTTAATCATGGATTGCGGGGGGTTGGTGATGGCTGTTTGATCTCCATAAATTTCCGGGGGGAGCCATAACCCCTCGGTATGGCCATGCTCAGGGTGGTTGTCTCTCCCTTTGCTAGTGCCAATACCCACTCCCCCGAAAACGACCACTTTATGAGCGACCGATAAGAGGGATTTCCATCTTTTTTCGGAGGGGGGTTATTTAGTGTGGTATGCGGGTGTTGCGCCATTGGCTAAATGGTGGTTTTAGGTTAACAAAGAAAGTTCTTCGAATATATTAGGGCTGAAAACCGGTTTTAAAAAAGCACAAAAATATATAAACAGCTAGCTTTTCCCCTTTTATATCAATTTCCCCAATTTTCTATAACTGCTGATTAATTCCTTGCAAAGAGGGTGAGTGGACTTTCTTTACCGAAAATTCTTTCGTTTCAAAAAACGTCAAAAAAACGCGATTATCCTGGACATAACTCAACCTTCATAAATCAAGTTACAGTAAACTGAGAGACCTAATAGTGCCCATAAAATCACCCCCCCGAAAATACAGCCCACTACCCCCAATTTCAACCAAGATTCCGCGACACACCGAAATGACACCATGCGCACCCATCCGGAAAATGCGATCGGGAGATTCCCGGGGTCAAAATCACGATCCAACGAAACGAAGCAAAGGAAAAGACGGCAGGGCACATTTTGCTCTCTCGCATCCGTTCGACCATCCTCTGTCCCCTTTTTTGCAAATTGACGCACGTGGAGAGAGTGCAAATAGAAATAATTGTTAAAATTTATTACAGATTGGGTGGTGCTGATGTGAATTTGAATACAATGGTTTGATTCAAGGGTTCTAAAACTTAAATATAAAGATACAAAACATAGGACGCTGAAGAAGTCAGGCTTGGCCTCGCTTCTCGGCTTCTCAGACTATTAAGTATACAAAAACCTTATCCATTATTACTAAAAAAAGCTTATATAAACTAAACTAAAACCGCACTACGCATCAGCACAACCAAAAACTCTAGCCCCGATTTGCTTTGAAGCGCACCTTTATCAGACCCCGGGATTTTATGGGCTCATTCCGAGAGAATGAAGGAAAGACAGGGAGGGGAGGATCGCAGCGAAGCAGCTAGAATGACAGTGAGATGAACGGAATGGGGTGCCAATTGGAATCTATCGTCCATTCTCTCTCAACTCTAATGTCTCTAATTTCCCGGCGTGGCCCCAGCCCCAATGGGAGTCCAGCCCCCCGGAGAAGTCGCTGATTTATTTGCCACCCCCATCCCCCTCTGCTCATCCTATCTTTAACCCATTGCAACCCGGGGTCGGTGTTTTTTTTTGGACCCAGCGATTCGGATCATCAGTGCCTGCGAATTTTCGGGAAATCCGGAAAATTTGTGGCGGTGTTCGAGCGCGGTAAAAAATGGGATCGGTTGTCAATTCGAATTAACGAGAGTAATTGGTTGTTTCGAGAGTTCCGGTACAGCAAAGAGTATGAAAGAATATTATATTTAGACTCACCCCTCGGCTTCTGCTTGCTTTCCAGACATTGAAACCACCGTCTTCTCACCATCGTGGATGTAGACACCGTGCTCCGAATAGCGGCCAGCTTTATAAAAAAATGTTATTAATGATAGTTACACAAATCTAACTGCTTACTAAACTCTGAGCACGATATATAAAGTACATTAGCTATAGAGTTACTGCAAAAACAAGATCGCAAATTGCGAGCCTAAGTTTAGGTAATCCATGGCTTAAGCTAGAACCCAAACATGGGCCGAAGCTGAAACCTCTCCCCCCCATATCCTTTCTCGCCGCCTCTCTCTGTATCTCTCTTTCTCGCTCTCTCTCTCTCTCTCTCTCTCTCTCTCTCTCTCTCTCTCTCTCTCTCTCTCTCTCTCTCTCTTTCTCTCTCTCTCTTCTATCCCTCACTCTATCTCGCTTATGCCTACAGTAACCAATAGTCCAAATAACCTACGTTTTTCATGCGAGGCCCCATTCGCATAAATATCCACCCTCTGCCCACGACGCTGAACTCCTGCAAACACGGGCCATTTCTACATTCCAGTATTAATTCCCATACCTTCACCGTAGTCGTCAAACTTCTCCATGCCGGATCAGATCTGAAAATCCGCAAAATAGGGGATGACACTAAAAACAAAAATGTTCGGATAATGGTTGTTTATGGATATTGTTCCAGGGAAGTCGACAATTTAGGGGTTGCATAGGGAAACAAGTAAATCGTCGGCAAAAAAAATGGCCGACTAGACAGCAGGGGGGGCTTTGAATGTTCGATTCGCGAAAGTTGTCGGTGGCTATAAAAAATCGGGTTGACCATGAACTGGTCCGGTGAAAGGTTTTTGGGGATAGAGATCAATTGGTTCGAGGTAGGTTAAGTTCAAGGGACTGTATTTCTTGAGTTCCTTGGCAAATCAATTGAAATTCACCTAGAATAACGCTTTAAAAAGTGATTCTGGTCCATTAGCGGGGGGAGTAACGTGCCATCGTAATAATTCTTCTCATCGGGATTTTATATCGAAAAGAGCCAAAATGTTATCAAAATTGCTCGTGCTTACAAAACGTATTCGACTTCTCTGGTACGTTTAATACGCCCAGTAATCCCCCGCTAACGCACCAGCTCCTAAAAACTCTCAATGAGAAACTTTTGTAGCTAATAATCCCCCCTTTAACAAACCAGTACCTAAAAATTATGTCAAAAATAGCGATTAGCTCCAAGTTTCTCTTATTTTTCTGGTTAGCAACATCCCCCCCACTAACGAACCAGCTCATAAAAGATATCGCTAAAAAATGAAAATGAAGACCTTGATTCTCCTAACTTTTTTATGACTAATAGCCGTGGGAGGTGGGCGTAAATTCTCGTCTAGCGTCTCGGACATAAAATAGGGGGCGGTAGTTGTCATTTTCAAGTGGACAAGGACAGGGATCAGCTGGTTTAATTCGTGCGACTATTTCCATCGTCCATGTCAACCCACCACCGTATCTCGTGGGGTGTACCGAGACCTTGGGCGAATGGAGCTTTGATTCTCGTCTCTCATTCCGTCTCACCTCTCTCGTTTCGGCCATCCATTCCTCCTCTACCTATGGATACTCGCAGTCAACCGGAAAAATCGGCACCCGGTGTGGAAGGGGGAGAATTTATAGCGGTGGCCAAGGCGATGATAGCCATCCTTTTTCAGTTTCACGATCTCAGTAAATCAGATAAGAAGGTGTCAGGGGATTTTCAAACGGTTCTCTGTGCCAGCGAGTCGCGTGAAGATTCGAGGAGTTTTGTTTTAAGTGGATTGGAAGAATATTGGTGGTGTTGTCGAAAATCGGCTGCAATTTCTTCACCTGCAAAGATCTGAAAATGTTGCCTTTCTGAAAGAGTAAAATCGGGAAAAGCTCTCAGAAAAGGGCAAAATCGGTCTTTTTAGTGCGAATCTTCTCTCATCGAAGGTTATTTTTCCGAATTGACTGAAAAATGGGATTTGGTACAAATTTCAGATTTGATCGAATGAGCGATCCGAAAATATCAGTCTAAAAGACTCTTCGTATGCTGTTATCGCCAAAATTAGAACTGAATTCTATAACCGCGATTAGACGCTAAAAGTATCAAATAATTTTATGGTTTAAGCAGCCATACATGGCTTTTTTTAGTTGTAGTTCTAAATCCTGAAGTCGCATGCTTTATACACCAAATTCCGCTTTGTACCATTGACGATTTACTGTATCCCAGATGCTGGAGCTGAGTTAGCCTCAATCGAAGAATTAATTTCAGAAAATTTTCTCTCTTTCTCAACTCCAAAATGATATTAATGCTGCCTTTACAAGTTTTGCCGTGGCGCTCGAATCAAAGAATGACCTTGACCAAGCAACGTATTGTAATTGTCAAGTTGTTCTGGTTTCTGCTGTGGGGATGACGCTCAATATTGGTTGAGATCAGCGCGTGCACAGAGAGAGGCAAAGAAAAAGGAAAAACGGACCTCTCTTTGACCGACCATCGATGTCCACTCACCTAGGGAGTTCCTTTTAGATCTGATCTACACACAAAGGTTTACGCTACGTTATTGGTTTCCGGGGGGAGTTTCACAATTTTCCAAGCGTTTCTTCCCCGGCAATAGTTCTTAGAAAGTTCTATCCACTTGATTAGGGGATAGACCCCTATTATTAATGTGTAAAATTCGTTTCCAGTCCTATTTTTGCACCGAAAGTGCAATCTGCAAATGACGGATGTCTAATCCTTTCCGGTGTAATCCCCCAAGATTATTTTAGTCGACAACCTGCAAAAATTGCAGCTACTTTCTCTTTCCCTGCCCTAAAATAGGATCAGATTACGAGAAAACGCCCCGTTAGAATTGCCTCATGTTGTAGTGTTGTGCTTTTTTTAATGTGCTTGGCCGGCAGCCGCCGCTAAAAAAGCATAGCTCTCCGGTTGCCTCTCCCCATTCTTTTTTCTAGTTTTGTGCCCCCAAACCACTCAGCTCTCGGATATAAATTCCGCTCTTTTGACTTGTACCGAGCGTTATCTGTTGTACACTAGAAGTTCAGGCCCTTGCCCTCATAAATACTTATTTCATATAATTTAGAACTCTAGGATAATATGGTTCCTATACGACTTCTATTCCTGTTGCCATCAGTTTTTTCGTTAAATGTGATCATCTACAATGTGCTGTTCTCCCATTCGCATACCCGACAGATTAATTTACTGGCGGATGTGCTGGCGAAAGACGGACACAACGTGGTAAGCTCTCGTCCTTGCTCTTGCTCACAAATTTGTACCATCTAGACGATGATGATGTCAAATGCAATGGAGTACGGCACAATCCAAAAACCCGATAACGTCGAAATTGTGTGGATTGAGCAAAGCCCGGCCATGGAAAAACTTATTACACCTGATGCTCTGGACAATTTTAATAAGCAACTATGGACGACGGATGCGACACCGGGTGCTGGTTTTGAGGTATCAATTTATTTTCCGCCGACAGCGTCTTCCCAAAAATTTACCTTCCACCCCCACTAATACACCAGTTCCATTTTTATTACAGATTTTCGCCAACTTGACCCTACTATTGTCATACCAATGCGAAGCAGCAATCCTCAATCCGGCAGTAAACGCCCTACGTCAACGCCATTTTGACGTTGGTATCAGCGAAGCCTTCGATTTTTGTGGATTTGGTAAAATCAAAACTTTATCAATCCCTGCATCCATATATTCAGGCCTTCTTGAAATGATTGGTGTGAAAACCTGGGTCAGCTGCACAACATCCATAACCCTCGACCACCAAGCCTATCTTCTTGGTGTCCCTCGGGCTCCTAGTTACGTTCCAGGTAGGCTTTTCGCAGCCTTAGCCTCAAGAAAATTTGGTCTCCAGCCGCTCTCGGAAATACAAACGAAAAAATGACCATCACCCAACGGGCCGCAAACGCTGTGTCTTCCATTGTTGGTCAATACTTGTTCCTACAAATTGCTGATAACCAAACTATAATTTTCCAGCGATTAGTGGGCCCGAATTTTCCTACAATGAGGGTTTGTGAGGTTGAAGTAACCATAACGTATCCAAATCATAGGAATTAGTATCCCGCTCAGCTCTCCATATTACAAATTCCATTCCGCTTCTCAATTTCCCGCAACCAACTTTGCATAAAGTGATTGATGTCGGAGGAATTGGGCAGAGCAAGCCCAAAACATTGAGCAAGGTAAAAAGTCTAGGTTAAATTATAAAATATCTTCCAGGAATGGGCGGACATTGTGAAAAGCAAGCCAACTACTGTACTTATTTCCTTTGGATCCATCGTTAAATCTTCGCATATGGATCCCAAACAAAAGGAAGCAATTTTAGACATGGCACGAACAATGAAGGGTAATCATAGCACTTCCGTATTTTGTTAAACACCTCTTAGATACTCAATTTATCTGGAAATATGAAGAAGATGACTTAACTAATGTACCTTCTAATATGTATGTCTCCAAATGGACACCACAAGCTGATCTTTTGGGTAAGTTAGCTTTCTAGCTTTACAAAATCGGTCATTCATAGCTTCTGGACATATTAACCTATTCATCACACATGGTGGATTGGGTAGCGTCACAGAATTAGCTTTCAGGTCAGTTCAAAAATGATCGCCAAATGGCAAAAAACTAATATCCTACTTAAAAACTCATTTTACTTGATTTCCAGCGCTATCCCCGCAATCGTTATACCCGTAATGATGAGTGATCAACCAAGAAATGCTGAAATGTTGAAAAGACATGGAACTGCCGAAAGCTTCTCTAAATTTGATTTGGCTAAGAAAGATAAACTTATGGAACTCGTTTCTAAAATGATCAATGACCCAAGGTGAGCGAAAGAAGAAAAAAGCCGGCTCCGACGTCAAATATAATAGATTCAACACGGTTTTTAGCTATAAGGCACGCGCCGAAGAACTAGCTTCTATGCTAAATCATGTCCCCTTCAAACCCCAAGAAGTGCTTCTACGAAACGTCGAATTTGTGGGAAGGTATGTCCTCTTAGAACGTATTAGCATTACTAAAAGACGCCACCATCTCGTTTCCAGGTTCGGTTCATTGCCCCAGCTCGCCCCATATGGCCGTGAACTCAGCTTCGTTCAATACTTTTTGCTTGATATCGTTTTCATTGCGCTTTTTGTGGTCGTATTCGTACTTTTGCTTGCAGTATATTTACTCAGAAAAGGCTACCGCCGCATATTTTCGACAACGAAAACGAAGGCTGATTAATTTTTGGTATCTCTTGCTAATTGCTTAGGTATTGCTTATTTTCCACGGGTTCCGTTTGATGCTTGAAAAACCTCGGTATTGTGCAAGGAAAGTTATTGTAACGATAAAGACTTGAAATACCGGAGATTCAAAATCATCAATAATAAAATGAGTACGTCATGCTACTTTACATAGTTCATTGTAAAGCGGAAGGTTCTGTACTAACAAGGCAAACGCTCCAAAGTACAATTTTGCTGCCGCTGCCCACGCACTAATAATAAAAAAAGGAGTTGCACGTTTTCTTACAATATTTTTAAAAGCTTCTCTTGCTGTTTGAGATGTGAAATTTCGCTGGCAACGAATTTACGTCTGGTATATGGCGCGGACTGGACAGCACGCCCCTCTCTCCCCTTTGTGTCACAACCCTCGCGCACTTCCCCACTATCTGCTGTTTATGTTGAAATTTACTGTGGTGACTCACCGCGAAAACGGCTGAGCTGAAGATTCGCCATCACGCAAACAGACCCCAGAAATTTCCTTACCATTGATTTCCTGAATCATTCTTGCGGCTTTGGAAATCGCCCTTCAGAAATTTATTAAATTCACCCATTTCCAGTCTAGGTTTCTCTTTATCACCGCTCACCTTGCATTAGGAAGATTGTTTACTGATATATACTTTCAGATGTCGTTGTCATGGGGAGCGCAGTATCCAAAGTTGAAGGCGAATCTTCGGCTGTCCATCAATCGGATGAAGATGATGGGTAAAAAGAAGACGGAGTTGGCAATGAAGGCTAGAACCGAGATTGCTGATTATATTCTTGGTAGGCATTTAGAAAAGTTACGGATATTGTGACCCAATTTCGCTTTTGCGTTACATGTCTTACTATTTCAGGCCATAAAGCAGACCGTGCCCGTATTCGTGTCGAACACATCATCAGGGAAGACTATCTTGTCGAAGCCTACGAACTGCTCGAGATGTACTGCGATCTTCTGCTTGCTCGTTTTGGCCTTATCGAGCAAATGAAGTTGGTTTTGTCTTCCTTTGTCTGTTGGCTTTATTAGAAAGCTCGACCATAAGCTACCAACTTATTTTGGTTGATTTCCAGGACTCTGGACGATGGCATAGCCGAGGCTGTGATCAGCATCTTATGGGCAGCACCCCGTATCACGACTGATATCCCTGAATTCAAGGTTACAGCATTTTACAAATTTAAATAGCTTTTTAGGTGATCTCTGACCAACTTACGCACAAATATGGCAAGCCGTTTGCCGAGGCGGCGCGTGGAAATCAGCTTGAGGCACCAGCGAAGGTTTCGCCGAAACTGATCGCCAAGTTGGACATTTCTGCTCCGCCGAAGCCACTCGTCGAACGGTACTTATCACAATCTCTTTTCATCGGTTTTTTGGTTAGGTATATGATTGAGATCGCCTCCGCAGCCGGCATCGACTTCAACCCAGATCCGGATGTTATGAGAGAAGACGAGGTACGGCGTTAAAATATGATTTCAACCTAGCTTTCAGGTGAACCAGGCTGAAAAGATGCTGATCGAATTTCACAAGAAGGGTGGCGGCGGAAACGGCGGCGGCGGTGGTGGAGGACAAGTTGTCAGCCAGCCAACACCACAAAATCAAGATGTAAGGGCTTTCTTGCGTTCATTCAAATTTTTGAAGGATCGAAATCCTAATACGACAGACCCAGTAAGTTAGTGTGCGCATGTTTGTCACGAGCACTTCTTCGCAAGAATTGGCATGCCGTTGTCTTTGTAAGCTCCGGAAATTGATGTGTTTTAGGGTGCCTACGGATGGAACTTCGGAAGTGGTGCTCCCGCACCAGGTGGACCTCCTCCACCTCCTCCATACAACGGCGGCAACATTTATGAGGTACCGTCTACGTCGCCACAATATGATGTGGTGAGTGCTGTTTGCATTCTAAACTTTCGAGCATGGAACACGGACTTGAAGAATTCACGGTTTATGCACGTTTTGTCCTAATTGCTTGGTTTTTCGCATTTCTTTGTTGGCAATTCAACATTCTTCTTTTCAGCCCCCTGGAAACGACTACAATTGGCCAGCGCCTAGCCAGCAAGGAGCACCCGGTGTCATCCAGCTTCCACAAATTGGGGCGAATGGACTCCCGATCAACCCACCATCTGGACCACCTCACGCTCCTCCGCCTTCGGCCTATCCATTTTTGAGCCAGCGGGTACGTTTGTTAGTTCTTCCGTCACAGCCTCCCTCTAACTGAATTTTTAAAATAAAAAGCCGGATTTGATTTTTTTCTGGTTTTTTATGCGGTCGAAGTAGGCTCTTGATCCCTCTCGTTTTCGAAATTCTTTTTGGTTTGTTTACGGTAACGCCAATGCAGCGATGTCGCGCAAAACCTCCCAAACTAATTAGATTTTGGCGCCTAGGCATGTGTCGGAAATTCGCGTTTCATCTTCTCTATGAGCGGCGCCGGTCGCGCGATCTCTTTCTAATTCGGTTTGTGGGCGCGTCCCGGCATTCGGCCAGCCAAATCGTTTTGTATCGGATTGGGGAACATAATTTGTTCGCCCCATGGTGTCCCAAGCAGCAACAGTTTGTGTCATAGCACCTCAGAATTTTTTGGTTTCTGGTTACTGCCACGCAACTTGGTGTCCTAAACTTTCTGGAGCGCATCCAACCCATCACTCGGTGAAAAGTTGGCGGATGTCGCGACGGCCATTGAATCCTTTCTTCTTTTACAATTTTTCTCCCTAGAGCCTCCATGTTTCCATGATTTTTGCGCTGGCTCATCAATCGGCGACATTGGCACAGTGGGAGAGAGGCTGAAAACTTGCCTCTCATACGCTGGTTTGATTGCCCTCGGGGCACAGGGCCCACTTTGCTCCGCGCGTGTCCCTCGGGGCGTCTGTCTTCGTTTGATGGCCTTCGGAAGCGCGTGTTATTTCGCATCCGTTGCCGCCCCGGGCCAGCCGAAATGATGCCCTCCTCCCTCGCTCATAAATCGTCCTATTTACAGCCGCGCTGTGAATTCACATCCCGTCGGAACAAGAGCTGCTGCGCCTTTGCCACTTTTGCCCTAGAAGGAATTGAGCACTTTATTACTGTAAGCGCGTGGCTCACCCAATTTTTAGGCGGCGGCCTACGCGAGGCTAAGGCCGCATTTCTAGATTCAGTTTCTCAAACGCTTGGAGTCAATTGAATGAATTAATGAAAATGGAACCCAATGTCTTGCTCTGCAGCCTTGTAATTTTACTTTTTGTTTTTATTTTCATTTCAAAGGCTTCAAATATCGGTTCTCGTACATTTTATAGCGTTGCTAGTTCAAAGCCGACCTTCTATATAGCCCCACCAGCAGCTCCCCGAAAACATCCCGTATCGAAATTGAACGCCAAGCGTTATAAAAGCCAGACAATAGTCTCCCATCGCCGAGGAAATGAACCCCCCTTTTTCAGTTGACTTCGATTTCCCCAAACTTTTGCTTGGGTCCAATTTCCTTCTGGTTGGTTCCTGGTGGGTGGGCGGAAAGTAATGTCCGCGTTTTGGGTCGTCCTGCTACAACGCAATCGTGGTACCTCCTGATTGGATTCACGCCTAGGAGCGCGCCTTCCCAGCTTCACACTTGCTCGCTCAGTCATCCGGCTCGTTTTCCTTTTTTCAATCTTGTTGGAGAAAAGCTAGCTTGTTATCCAGAGTTATTTTTAGGGTTTTTAAAAGCTTTTCTTTACTTTTCTCACGTCTCGCAAGGTTTTTGGGTGCTAATGGAGTTTTAAGATGTGAAATAGCTCCTTCTATAGAGTTTGAAGTTTTGAAATAACTAATGATTCTTGAATATTAACGGTCTGGAAAGCTTGTCAAAGCTGACATTTTGTTAAGAGACGGGAAAAACTCAGCGATTTCAGCGCAGATTGTATGGCAAATTGTAATCGTTGAACAATTTTTTAGACATTGTACTTTTCAGAATACTAAGCTCTATAGAGTCAACTATTCCACGTTGCAAAAGCCCAATCTCACCGAAAACTTATCGTTATCGTTTAATTTCTCCACTTCACTCTCCTTTCCTTCAACCCCACCAAAACTTCTCTGGCGTAGGACAAGCTGCTGCAAAATGCTGTTGATGTCAAGGAGGAAGAACACCTCGTTCAGTGCTTCTCTAAAAGGCACTAGGAAAGGAGCAGACCGCAGCCCATGCCGTGCTACCTCACACTCTTGTAAAAGAAGCAATTCAGCTAAGCCTCGCCGCGACAAAGAAACAAAGAGTAACCGGGAAAGCTTAAAGCATTCCCATCAGCACCCCGGATGTATCTCTGGCTGTCAAAGAATCATGAATGTAAATTTTCAAGTTTTGCTAGGCCATAAGCCCCACATTCCTCCAATTAGCAATATTAGAACGGGGGAGGCTGTGACACATTTGTAACAAGCTGGGTTTTAAATTAACTTCGTTAATTTTAGGGATCAACCGTCAACCCGATGCCTCCTGGAAATGCATTCAACAATCCGTCAGCGCCTCCGCAGACTGTCCACAAGCCCGAGGGTCCTCCGCCCAGTGACTTTGGTGAGATGTCTTCTCCAGCTGTTTTTGGTGTCGTGAAGTGGCGTGAAGGGGAAGACGAGGGCACCCAATCCGATGCTTTCGCTCGCGATGATGAACATATTTATGCTGAAGTGCCTGTCGATCACGAATACCAGTCGCTAGCCGAATTGAAATCCACCAGCCAGCCCCACATCACGGATTCTATCGATATCGAGCCGGCTCTACCATCCAACGTCAAGGCGACGCAAACGGACGACCCGCTTCCTGCTCCGCGTTTCACCACACCGCGCCCTGAGCAACTAATCGGTCTCCCACCACCCGGCGCAGGAGAGCGCTACGTCATTGGACCGAATGGTGTACCAATACTCGTCCGCCAGAACGCTTTCGATGCAACTACACCATCCGAATATCAAAATGACCCTTCGTACCAACCCGGCGGCCGATATCCATGGATCGATTCGGGCCAGAAGACCCTGGAAAACTTTTCCGAAGGAGATGCAGGCCTCGGCGGTAAGCGTCTGCGGTGCTCTTAGATGGCACGAAAGCACTAGCTTCTTTCGAGGGCGCCCTCGTCGTAACCCTCACGCCTGTAAAATTGTAGCACGATTTCCAAACGGCGTTTCGTTATCAAATTTCTTTCGGAATGGTTGGATAAATATTGGGGGTTTGATTTACTAATGTCACGCTTTTCAGATTTGAGCTTCCCTGAAGTGCCAACAGGTGGGCTGCCAAGTCACAAAAATAATGGCGGTTCGGGAGGAGGAGCTGGAGGTACATATTTAATGGATTTTTTTGCAAATTACGTCATTTAGGTGGCGGAAATGATCTTGACTTTGATGATTTGGCCCGTCGCTTCGATCAGCTCAAGAAGAAGTAAAGTGCTCAACTGATGAAGACAAGAAGCTTCTGAGGTGTCCTGCTTTTTCTGCTTAATTTTGTCGTTTTATCATACTCCTTCCTTTTTTCATTTGGCCTTCTAGCGAAGGTTTTTTGTACAGCTCCTAATTTTATTGGAAATTGAGAGCGCGAAATAGAACGTTTTTTGAGAAATCTTTCTGCATGGTGCGCTCTCTTTGGCCACTCGCATTTTTCTTTTGTCCTTCCGTATGCGCTTTTTTAAAAAAAACCCGCGCCATGTACATATGGTTCGTGTCGATAGTTTTTGATGGGTCTTTTCGGGAATGTAGTGCTTATTATAAAGATTCGCTTTATTTGAATAAATGGATTCACAGAAAATCATATCAAATGCAACGTTGCAGTTCATGTTCAGTTCAACGCTTTCAGATAAATTGCAAGGGGGCGGAAAATGGGGGAGTTGACGATGAGCTGTTCACCGGGCTGAGGTTTTCGATCGGATGGGATTTGTGCCTAATGGCCTAAAAGTATGTGCTGGTCTAGTCGCTGTTTTCAGGCAACATTGTTTTTTTGACATTTTGACGGAAAAGTGAAGCCCACCAGAAATAAAGTGAAACACGTGTTCGATTAGGCATGCTGCGATAGGATACGGGGTTCGGGATGGGCCGGGATGTTGGAATATACCAAGCCAGTATACCGGTACATTGTTTGAAGACTTGAACGGGGGACAATGGAAGCGATACTGAGATATCGGCGGCTACTTCGCATTTCTAACGTACGAGCTGGGGGGGATTGAATTCTTTGTGAAATGGACACAATTCAGTGATATCATATGCCTGCGCCTTCTAGATGGGATAAAAGCAATGAGCAAATAGGTACAGAAGAGGCTTCTCTACAAAATCAACCGGATCGGTGAGACCTCAGGCGCGACTAGAATAAGTTACAGAAGAGCGGTGATCCCGTAATCTTTGTGTATTTTGGACTGAGTTTGTGAAAAGATAGGCCAACAGCCACTAATCGTGGGCCGACACAACTTGTTCACTAATCTCAGCCATCGTATTTAGGGTTGAATTGATCCATTGATGGAGGGCAGATCGCTGTTTCTTTTGGCCTTCCGGTTTGACATTGCCGTCAGATGAGCGGGATTCTTTGGCGCTGTTGTCCCGATCATGATCTGTCACCTCGGGGTAGTATACGTAGTCTTCGGGTGAGTCGGCCTGCAATTATTCTCATTGCCCCAGTCCTCTTCAACATTACGCAAATTTTGATTTAGAAACTGGATCGTCCAAAAAGTATAACGAAATGTGTGCGATATGCTAAATTTTTGTGCTGTTTTGCCGTAAATTGCAGCGAACGCTGAAAAAAGTTAACGACGATGGCTGCTACTTCAAGCATCTATCCAAGCGTGCAAAAGGAAGAAAAAGTTGCCTTTATTTGTGCACGACACGAAAACTCAAATGAGGTTTCGACAGCATCAAACATAAGGGGGGAAACACGACGATATGGCGGTACTCGGAAGCGAATGGCACTCGAAAATTGCGTTGTAAGTAGCCGGAAGCGTTAAGTAGACGTGAAAAGCATGGCAGGAAATGGGGGTGTGGGTGGTGGTGCAAAATTGAAGAGATAGTGGCTATTTTTCGTTGTTTTTAGAAGATAGATCTGGTTGCGAGGGCTGTTTTAGAGCTTGCTAAATAAAAAGCACGACGACTAAAGAAAGAAAGAAAGTGGAAGATGATCCAAGTCGAAAGAAGGTGCACAACACGAAACGAAAAGTGGTGGTGATGCAAATTAAATAGATTGACAAGCAAAAAAAAGGTGATGTGTGTGGGTGCGAATGTGCGTCTACTGCTGCTCGACTACCTTGACTTTGTTCAGTAGCTTTTCCTTGGTCACCCATTTTCGTAGTTCTTTGGCCGTCCAACGATCTTTCGGTCGAGTGGCAAAGGTTCTATAACGTAAACGAATTAAGATTACTAGGTTACTTACTTTTTGAATAATTTGATGCCTTTTTCGGTGAAGGCTGTCATTTTCTTAGGAAGGGCTGGATTCTTTCTCTAAAATACTTTTTTTAAGATATTCTTTTTGCGGATACCTTGAGCCATTGCTCCCATTCCCAGTACGGCTTGCACATGATTGATGCCTTCTGCCATGGGAATTTGCCCTTCAATGCATAGTAGACGATAACACCTAGAAATTAGGTAGGTAATTTTATTTTTTACTATTATTTTAACAAATTTGGTGGCTTATAGTTCGAATAATACAAACCTAGGGCCCAAATATCAATGGAAGTGGCGACTGTCAGCATTTCATTGGCAACAGTCTCACACAGTTCCGGTGCATGATATTGATTGACGTATTCAAGATACTTCACCGTTGAATCGACCTTTCGGGTTAAACCGAAGTCAGTGACTTTGACCTGAAGCGCTCTGGTTAAGCTTTTGCGGAATCCACCCACCTTGGTGTAGTTTTTATTGTCGAAAATGAGGATATTTTCGGCTTTTAGGTTACGGTGGACAAGTCCTTCGAGGTGCATATATTCGATGGCTGCTAGTACACCGGACATGACCGAGCGTGTCGCTACTTCGCCGATTCCTGGAATGGATGTATAAAATTTGTGTTTAAAGGATTAAGGGAGCCTTTTTTTTCGTGAAAAAGTATAACTTTTTCTTATCGGGATTTTGGTATGCTTGATGGGACAACTTTAATTTAAATATTAGCCAAGTTTTTGGATATCAACCGTCCATAAAAGGCCTAACTTTCAAAAGTAAGAAGTTAGTAAGAACGTTCAAAAAATAAGTGTATAACGGGTGTTGCTTATTTACGTCCGACTTTCTCATTTTTTATTTTTTCTGCGTAAATAGGCGCGTCTGTTATATACGCATTTATGTCTGAACGTGCGCTTTAACCCTATATTTTCCACTACTTCCAACTTTAGTACCCTGCAACCGGATGCGAGGCCCTACTGAGCGGTTTTTTGGCACGACCAGGCCCCGAGTGCAAGATGCCATGTGGCGCGAATTTATTTCCCGGTCCCCTACCGGGTAAAAGGATCAACCCCACAGGGGTGATCGGGACGCCTTTTGTAATGCGATGACGTCAATCAGGGGCCCTCCGAGGGGTCCCGGATCCACAAAAAAACACAGCGAAAGCATTGACTGGGTTGGACGAAACGGGTGGATGGGACAGCTGGCCACCCGCTACGGGGTCGAGACGATCTCTAGCCAATCCTATTTATAGAATAGATCCGGGGGGCAAGGGGGTATTTTGGCATGCCAGGTGGGTCCTGGAAGGTACAGTAAAGTTTTGGAGGTAAAAGGTTTGGGTTGGCTTAGGTCTGGAAGGGTAGGCTTCGGATTAGGCTTAGGATCGGCTCGAGATTTGGCTTAGGTTTAGCTTAAGCTTAAGCTGAGGCTTAAGTTGGGTGTTGGCTTAGGCCTAAGCTTAGCCATGGGCTTAGGCTTCGGATTCCACACTAGGATTTTCCCCCAGGGTTTTTAAAAGCAGCTTCAACTTTAGATGCTCCGTCTAAGGAAGCTCATGCTCAAACTGAGACTGAGCTAGAAATGCCCTTGAACACCCACCATTTGGATTCGCCTCCACCGCATCGCGCAACGAACCGGTGGCGCAGAATTCTTGCACGAAGAAAAACGCCGTCTCGTCGCTCGTCTAAATAAAGCAAGCCTCAAACCCTCGTCCAACTACAGTACCTGCATAATCCCCTCATACGTGTCGACAATGTTGTAGTGAGGGGAGAGGAAGTAGGAGTAGTTATACTCGCGTACGAATTCCGACTAGAAACTCGATTAATACAGACACCTAAAAAAGCCCACCTGCTTTGTCTGCGGTCTTGGGAAAAATTTGATAGCAATTTTCTGTTTTGATTCCTTGTGCTCGGCCAGCTTAATGTAGCCGAATCGCCCCGTGCCTAGCTGAAACCAAAAAATTTGTATCAAAATTTAAACTCGGTAATGGGGGATAACCTGAATTTTTTTAGGTAATTAATTTAGAAATGGAAAAGTCTGGAAACTCGCTACGATAGCGGCTGGTTTACAGTACAACGCGTTCCCAAAAACATCCCAAAAAGAAACATGCAAAATTGGCCGCGTATGAAGCATGCTGAAGAAAAGTAAGGTCCGGGGGGTTTTACGGGATTCCCATAGAAAACCCAACCTGGTGAGCTGCCTTGTCCGCCTTCGCGTAGGCGCTGGCATGCAACTGGAAAAAGCGGTTTAGGCAACTAAATTGAAAGGGAAAAACAGCGAGACTGGCATGCGGGTGGTTCACGATGAGATTTCAAAATTAAATCGGTAAATTTGAGTTCGTAAAACAATATATTGAAATTTAAAACCGGAAGCTTTATTAGACGGAAAATCATTACGCAGAGATTTCAGTACGATTCAAACGACATAATTAAATTCGGTTTAGTGACATTCTGGCGTAATGAAATTGGGGGTAATGAGTCTTTCGCTAATCGATATTGTCGAATAGTATTATTAAATCTATAGTATCTTATGAACCATCTACTAGCTTTCCAAGCCTTATCTCTCTCTCGCCCTCTCTCCTCAAAAAGCGCTACTTTGAACTTGCAATGAGTAGCCACTCGAATGCCCTCCCCCTGGGTTGAGAAGCCCTTTGATGACGTCCCATCCTTTTTCTGACGTCCCTAACCGATAGAATATCGTCGGTTGGCCCCAATCCAACGCCCTTGATTTCCCTCGTGATCCGGTTGATCCGGTCGAGATCTTTATTTGCCGATTTTTCACTATTTTTTGGCCTGGACGCACAACAGATCAAGCGAACGGTTCCAAGTGTGATGCGATAGACATGCTCTAGCGAAAACCTATACAGACCGAAGTTTAAAAAAATTTTAAGGACAGTAAAACAAGGGCCCTGGTATTCCCGAAATGGTTAAACCAATCAAAATTATCAACGTTAGCTTGCGGTAAAATTGAATGGACCCAGTTATTCCCAAAGTGTTAAATTATTACTATTAACTTAAGCTAGAGTTTAACACGCGAATTAACGACAAATGAATTTAATAATTGGTTAATATAGATAAAATGTAATACCTGCTTGTAGACGTTATATGTCGAGTCGAGATCGACCCGCTTCACATTCGGGTCCATCGTCATGGAACCACGCTTGTAGAATGTAGAATTACGTCTTGGAGGGGAGGCCCTTACTCCTGAACCCGAACACGTCGCTCCATCAACTGGCGTCTCCTGGAAAATGATGGGTACGGTAAGTTGGCGCAAAGTATAAAATAGCTACTCCGCGCTCTCTCTCTACTGAAAATCAAGCAGTACTTTTTGATTTCGCCGGGGGAAATTTTTCATTTTTTGCTATAATCGTTTACGTTTACTATATATAAAAAAATAGTGTCTGTGTGTGTGTGTATATTTGCATGCACTTCCGTTTGGATGTTCCGCACCTACAGGTTCAGGGAAGCATTGTTTCGGTAGGGAAAAAACGTCATAGGGTAAAGAAGGGGATGGAATCGACTGCACACACATAAAATCTTTGAAAAATTGCTATTTTCGCTATTAAAATTAGGTTTTTGTAAAAATCTTGGCTTCCCTCTTTGTTAGGGAAAAATTAGCATATGCCGGAAGTGGAAATGGCTGATAAAAAAGAAGGGAGGGCGTGGTGGTCATTTTTTGGTCATCGGTTTTCGGCAAGAATTATGCAAAGTTTCTTAAATCCTAGACGGGGCCAGGGTTGAAAAGCCGCGAAGCGGCTTTTCAACCCTGGTAATCGTTTTAATAACGTGGTTTTCGGTTGAAATTAAATTTCTTAGTATATTTTTCGATGTTGAAAAAATAGAGAAAAGGTCCAAAATTAACACCAAACCCCCCCATTGTAAGGGATTATTTTTCTATAACTATTTTTTTTATTAACTTATTTATGCTGCCATCAAGGATCATAGTATATTTCTGATGCTTGATCAGTGGGAAACTATGGCATAGGAGCGCCGCGTAGCTCGCCAAAATGCAAAATGCGCAGTACCACGCAAATATTTTTGGACAATTAAAAATGGCTGACAAATTTCGGGGGTAACCCAGGAATGACTGCGTGGCAGACGATCTCGGATGGGGGGCTCTCCCCTCTAGGCAATGGACACTAATCGAATGCATGTGGGAACCTCTGAGGGGGAAAACGGGATTCCAGAGAGAAAAAGAGAAGGGAAATACTCTAACGCTTTAGAACCTTCCACTGGGGGGAAGGCTTACGAGAGAATTTTAGAGTTGAGGAGCCAGATTCACACACATCCACCGTAGGCTAGTTGGCTTGCTGGGTTATTAAGGGCTGGGAGCGCGGCTAAGAATTTTTACCCACCTGGCGGCTCTTCTCGGGCGTAAAGTCTTTTATGTAAAATATGTGTCAGATTTCAAGCTAGCCAAAAGCAAAAGTGCCATCTGTACCGCTGGGCGACGTAGCGCTCCTAATTACCCTCACTTCAGCAGCACGGAATCTCGGCCACGCGGGTGCTTTTATTAAAAAAAATCGGGGTAAATGCCCGCTTGATTTGGTCACGAACCGGAAGTGGCGAGCTCGGGTACACCCAAAACACAGAAAACCAGGTAATTTCGAAAAAGCGAGACAACACTTGCGGACTGAAATTCGAGAGGGGAAGCTTAACTTTTAAAGAAGGGGATAATTACTTAATAAAATTGGCTGTGCATCGCTTACGCAGAAAAAATTGAAAGTGAGCTCAAAGCGTAGGAAGCACTACGTATACACCTATTTACGCAGAAGGCAAAGAACGATAAACAGATGTATTTTATGTATAGGTTTGCTTAAAATGGCTGCTAAAAACAAGCTTCGGCCAGCCTTCGACTACAACCCAAACCGTTCGTAATCTCGGGGGTGTTTATCGTTTGGCCAGGGTTGGTGTGAAAATCCGGGGTGAAATACGGGTTGAAAATGGGGTTGAAGGAGGCGAAGGAGAAGAAGGGCAAGAAGTGGGTCCATCCCTCCTCTCGGTCAACACACTCGACCTCATCCCCACCAACTAAAGGCTGAAGAAGAAGCCCTAAGAAGAGCACAAGCAGACCCATTACCTTCACACGAACACTTCTCACATCCTTTCCGAAACGTCAAAGGGGTCCAATGGGAACTGATGGGAGGGGGGGATGGGATTGGAGTGAAAGAGGTGATGGGGTGGATGGGAGAGAGATAAATTAGGCTTTAAGGAGTTGGGGTTCGCAACAGTGAGGATAAGGTTTTAAGGGTGAGCGACATAAGAAAAACTCTAGAAAGAATTCTACAAATTTTACAGTAGATGCTTAGGCACTCCAAAAAACTAACTTAACATTCGATTCTTCGAACGAATTTAACATCTGCTAAAAAAATCGCTACCACTCAATTCGACAGAAATTTCTATGGTAGCGTCAGGAGTGCACTAACGTACTGTCTCAGCATTCTAATTTTCCCAAGCATCCACTTTCTACAGAATTATCTACAGTACTCCGTCACCCCTTACCCTCACTTTGCACTTTATGCTAACCGACTGCCCACGTGCTACCCTCCTCCCTACCCCCCATACCAAAAACGATTGGTTTTCTAAACGGACACAAAATAGCGAATCTGCCCCCACTGGACACACCGGCAAGCGGGGGGAAAGCGTAATTTCGTTGGATGAGAAGTGTCCCTTCCCCCATCCCCGGGTCCTAGCTAGCGTCGTCATCAAAATCTGTGGGCCTAGCTGAAATTGGACGCGCGCCAAAATAAAAAAGGGAAAGCCGTAAGGGGGGAGACTAGTGGTGGCCAGAAGCAGGAAGAGGAGGTGGTTGGTGGTGTGTGTGGCCCGGAAGGGGGGGCATATGTGAATTCTTCGAAGCCCCTCCTCCAATATCTCATTTGGGCCGTTTTGGTCCTATTATCCGATGGGGGCACGGGGGGCTCAAAAATATCTACTAAATTATGGGGGGAAGAGGAGTGGCTCGTATGAAAACTTTAGCTTTAGCTTGAAAGGTTCTTCAAGGGACAGGGTAGTCAAAAGTCGGTTTTGAAGCATTGAGGCTAAGCCTAATAAGCCTACGCATAAAGCCAAGCAGCGGACTTTCAGTTGAGATTTTTGTGTACGTTGCATCATGAAAAACCGGGATCTGCAAAATACACCACTGGATAATGTCGCCTAAGCCTAAGCCAAACCTAAGCCTAAGCTTAAGCCAAACCTAAGCTTAAGCCTTAGCCTAAGTCTAGGCCCATTCCTAAGCCAATGTTTCGAAACTACCACCAACTTCGGCGCTTCTGAATCGCTATCCCACATACCCCAAAGCCAAAACCACCCTAATAAGCGGATATTACCGGAAATTATTCCGACGCAATACACCAACCCCTTCACCACCCCCAATAGCCCTCCAAAAAATTACCCCCATCCCCGATCGGCACGTAACCAAAATGCACGCGCACCTTCTACAAAAACGAAAAATGACTTTCACCGCCCCGAATGCCCGCCCCGGTAAACATCTAATTTTGGGCTGTAAGCCGGAAGGGGGGAACGCAACACAAAAAAGGGGGTCGAGAAGAGGAAGACGAAGTGCAGGGAACGAGGCGTAGAAATGGGGAGGAAAAGCGCCCGGTGCCATTCGTTCAAATTTCCCCGGGGACATCACCGGATCGGCCTCTTTGGCTTTTGGTTGGGCTTCGAAACATTGCTTTGATGTCGGAAGGAGGGGAAGAGGGGGATGTTCCGTTTTCGTTTAGGGGCTTTAGGTAACGATATCTTTCAAATATAGTTTGTCCCGAAAAGCTCGCATAAGCGTTTTAGCTTGATAATTTTGTATCTATTAAAGATCTTCTTGACAAGGTAGAAAACGACCATTTTCTATTTTTATTACTTGTTTTCTATTTTATTCCAGAGGTTTTACACGCGCAACTTCAAAATTGTAAGCTTATGCGACATTGGCATGCTAATTACGGTATCCTAAATTTCTAAAATTCCACGTTTTTAAGAAAATTATTAAAGTCATTCGAATGAAAGATAACTTTCGAAAAGTAGTAATGGTTGGCTCTCTATTTTGAGCAACAGCAGGATCTTAACCTACGTCGGATCGTCAAGGAGCGGATTTTTGGGTTGGCGCTTACTATTAATGCTCGAAAAATTGATTAAAAATTCAAAAGCCATGCAACTCCAATTTTCCGACCTAATGCAAATTCCTTTCACATGACTCCGACCGGATACTCTCCGATTCTTGAAGTCACTTCCAAAAAAGTTGGATGTGCCTTTTGAAGCGTTGCGTAACAGCCGTCCTTCCCTTCTTTGGTCCCATGAACCCCTTCCCTTCCCCCATGGGTTTCAGTTACCTTACGGTCGAATGGGTGCTTTAGAGGCAGTGACTATTCGATTCTAGGGTGTCTGTCTGTGTGTATGTGTGTCTGTGCGTCCATCTCTGCTGTTTTCGGAAAGGCATACCTGAATGCGTCCGCCCATTGTGGCCCACCGAGCGCTGGGACGGGGGTCTTGGGATTCTTTGACTTGTTTAGAGCCTTTTTATGGGGGCTCACGAGACGACGTCCGCTTGTTCGGAAATATATATTCGAGGCTTCTAGGTGAGAAAAGATGGTAATGTACACGAATGGAATGAGGGAGGAAATGGAAATGGATTAAAAAAGATGTTGAAATGAGCTCATGGATAACAAGAAGTTATTCTTAGGTAAAAAAGTCGGAGTTGCTAAGTGGGGAATTTCTTTAGGTAGAGTTTGACATTCCAAACAAGGTGCATTATTCAAAACATTTTCGCAACATTACCGTTTTTGATAAAAGGGCGTGAAACCAGAATTGACTTAAACTTGCTCGAAAATTGACAAAATCGTCCTCTCCAGAAGCAGTTTTTCTAATTTTTGAAAGATAAAAAATTGAAAAGGTTCTTGGAGCCAGACAAGTTGATATTACGGCTATAAGCTACAATTTCCAAGCAAAATTACATAAAAAATCCCAAAAAAAGATCTCCCGCACATCAATCGCGCCGTGTAGCCCCCAGGCAACTACTCCACTTTTACGGACAGATCCTGTTTACCCCCCTCAATTCCACGGGACCCCGTCAGCACAACGGGCAAGAAACGACAAAATCCTATTTACGCACATAATTTGCCCCCGAGACTCAAGTTCGCCCCCGGCTTCATCGGG